ACCACCTGATCATCATCTCTCCATGGCTAGCATTCCATACCATCGTTCCTCTCCGAGCAATGTGGGCTCCGGCAGTGCGTACACGTGCTACGGCGACGCTACCAAAGCTGCCATCGCCGATCTCCTTGATCACTTCAAAGCGATCCTCTAGAGTGGCCATCGAGGTATGTGACCTCGGTGTCTCATATGTGACAGTCATGGTGTGTCTCTTCAGGTCTGGCCAGCAGATCGGCGAAGAAGGGGTTTTCTATTCTTGTCAGCTGGATATTCAGTCTCTCTCTCTCAGGTCGACTCACAATTATGTAGGGAGAAGAGTGTAGTATATGGATATAGGGAATTAATTGCAGCAAGTGCTCTTATCCGAGATTCAGTGCGAGCCGGAAGATTGAGTTCCCATGGAGGAAAAGTAAGGAGTGACAAGGTAGTTGGAAGAGGGGGAGTGAAGGTGGTCATGTAGTGGGCGATCTGGACAGACCACTTAATGGGCACGAAGCAATAAAAAGAAATCCAGAATAGGAGAAGACCCGTTCTAGGTGGAGGGATCGGAGGACCGAGGGTGAGCCCCTGACGCGCTGACAGCTCGAGCTCCTAGACGGGGCCGTGGAGACGGTAAATTAATCACCTTAGACCGTTGCAGATCAGTCCACCGTGGCAAAGTGGGAAATGATCCAAAAGGCTATATTCCGGTACAATAGATATGTGTAGGATTATCAGATATCCAAGTGAAAAGAGAAAAGAAGAAAGCCTTTTTTGGGGGGAGGGAGAGGGGGGGGAGAAATAATGAGACTATAGAGAAAAAAGAAAGCGGAATACCAGACCATACGATACAGCAACAATACCAAACCCACCTCATCGCATGAAATAGCCACCCAAACCAAGCTAAAACAGGGCCAATACCGGGTTCCTCCCGTGCCAACCAATGGGACCAACTGTATGGAACGGGTACCTTATTCTTTTCTTACCAACTATACACATGTAAACAAACTGATTCAACGATTCCAGCTATTCCTTTCCAAAAGCAATATGAACTATGTGTCTCATATTCTCGATATTGAAGATCCATCACTCTGACTCCGTACACTGGTCATCTGATGCACGGCGCCTAATAATTCGGGGGTTGGGCATACACCTGCAGCCTGTAACCGTTAACCACGCCAGTCCTGTGTTGGCTTTGGGCCGCGTCCTGTAATTTACTGCCTCAAACTATCACGTCAAATCATTTCCGATTCTTTTATATCTATCACCTGAGATCTTTGTACGAGTCACCTCCTGCCCCCCATGTACTGTAGATGTAAATGTATACTGTACACTGCACAGAGGAGAGCAAGGAGAATCTCCTCCCCCCCCCCCCCCCCCCCCCCCCCAGATATCCATGGATGTCATCGTCCCACGTCGGAGCTATCTGGCAATTTACAAGGATCTCGGAGTGTCTGACGCTCTTACGGTTCACTGTTGTGTTGCCACCCTGATTATCCCGACCATCCGAGCTTTCCTGGGGAGCTTTCTGATAGACCAATGTTTGGGTGCAATTAGGTTCGGCTTCGGCCTTAAGAGCTTACATGCTCTGCTGCATATGAGGGGTTCTTTGTGTGGAATACACGGCCTAGAACCCGTATGCAGGTCTCGCATCCTTTGTTCGACTCAAAAGTTCGCCTCGATGGTTGCCGTGGAATCCGCCTTGACATCATGAGAGCTGTACCGCCTCGTCCGGCGGTTCTCCACACAAAGGGACACGTCCCGAGGACACAGACGCGGAAATGAAGAGTCGATCTCCAGGTATTGCATCACCTGCAGGAAGTTCACCTGTCAACCTCGACGAACCCTGGGGCGGCCGTTGGCCCGCAAAGGATCCCAGATGAATCGATGGTTTTACACATCCATTTCTATTCATCTACTCTCAACACCCATCGTTTCAATTCTCGGTAATCACCCCTATCCGATCTCAACCCTCAAATCTGAGAGGGGAAAATCCAATACCAGTGGATCAAAAACAACGACGCGAATATACACACCGCGTCTCAATACGCCCCTCCAAACTCCGTCACTCAAATACAGACCTCATAGTGCGATGGAGTCAACAATGCCATTGGCTGGAGCCCCAGAATAGCCCACTCGCTCCACGGCGATCCATTATTTTACTCCATCGCAACCACTCACAGTCCATGAAATCGCTCACAAACGCCTAGTGGTGCACCGGTCAAGTCGGGGCACCGCGGAATGGTCCACCGTGGACCTCGTCCAGGCCCGTCCCTGCTACCCGCAACCACTGTGCGCTCTCCTGTGACGCCTAGGGGGTGATCGCGCATGTCGCCACTGGAAACTATTTGCTTTCCAGTGTGTCGGGAGGCGCCGTCATGTTCCTTGGGTCTTCGAGAAGGCTGTTCCTGGGTGACCATGGAAACGACAACTTAATTGTAAGCTCAACGGTTCTTTGTCTTAAAGTACCTGTCCTCGAATAGGCATCTTTACGAGCGATGAAGTCAATTCTCAGGGTGGTTTCCGTCAAGTCTTGCCACTCGTTACCCCCTCAACCTGCCTCTTATCAGCCAAGCAGCCTACTGACAAATCCACGTCCGTACAGTCCCTGGAGTCACCGACATGCACTGTCCAAGTCCGGTCCTTACAGCATGCTAATACCTGCACAAAGGAGGTTGATCCCGACCTCCCTAAATCCAAAATCTTAAATTACCCACTCCAAACTACAAGATTGCCCAGGAACACACGGTTAACAGGTAAACCAATGCAAGCTAAAAGCCTTAGCCCAGCCCAAGCGGGCCCACCCCAAACACCGAAAGTCTCCAGCACGCTCCAGACACGACAATTTGAACCCCGAATCCCCGGGCCCCCTATGATCGCTGGAACATACACACAGATCCTGTCAGATCTAAATGGCTGATCGAATCGTGCATTTCCAACTGCCGGTGCTTCCAGTAGAGTATGGTTCCACCATCACTGCAGTAACGCACCAGAAATCAGAAACAAAATAAGAGCCTAACCCCCCTCCCCCTTATACAGCAAAAGCCAAAAAAAGACCGGCGTCTCTGATCTAACTCTCTACAGGATGAGACTTTTGCGTTTCGGGAAGGTGTTCCTTATTCGGCGCTTATTCCATACCTTGACTCCTTCATGGTTAGACTTGACTTTTGGGCCCCCCTTTTTCCTCGTGCCTCTCGGCCCCTACCCCTTCCGCAGTGATGCTATACCTAACTTATACAGTAATATGGATATAACTGCGGATCCCGGATGAAGCACCATCACCCGTCTAGGAAGGCCACCAGAAACTTCCGAGAATTCCAAAACTTCCAATGTTCCAATGTTCCAATGGCTCCCGTGCCGAACCCTGTCCCCGCCAGGCTGACGCCTGATGACGGATTGCGGATTGATGATTACGGAGCCCATATATAATTAGACAATTGGATCATCACGACGCTTTGCGTACGTAGTAAATCAACATTAATGGAGATTATGTAGATTATGATTATGATATATCCATTTGACCCCTCTACCTTCTAGCTCTGGAGGGCATCGCATCCCCTTGGCCCCGGCAGTTCAGGGCATTGTACAGTATAGCCCCTCGCCCCTCGCCCCTTCCCCTTCCCCCTTTCCCCTGTTTGGATATCCGCGTATACATGTACAGTAACGGATGTTGCTCCAGAGCCACCACTCCCTACGTGTGTCATCTCAAACTAGCCCCTCCTTCCCACCCCTCTCCCCCCCTCCCAGCATACTGGGACATAATCTCCGGCCTGTGGTTAAATTTGAAACTATCCCCTGTTCGGGATTGTGCATGTGGCCGGTATATTAGGATTGCCATTAGCGCCGGCTCTGAGCATGCGGTGGGGTGGTGTGCTTCCAAGACATGTAATTTGGTTCTTTGTGGACATTGACTGGTGTATGTGAGTCGGTTGATTGTTTCTATTTGCGGATTGGATAGTGCTTTGTTTATTGCTGCAGCAGGATGGCGTTAGTGCTCGCTTAGGCTGGCTTTGTTTTGCCGAGGCTGGTTTGGTTGTAACGTTATATGGTGTAGTCTCGACTGTTGGGGGTTATTGTTTAATCTCAGGTTGGTTTGGCGTGGCGTTTGGTTTGCCCCTTTTGTGGTTCTGTCTTGGGTGGTGGTGTTTGGGTATCTCGCTGAGGCATTTTTGGTAGGGCAATTTACAGTAGGTAGAGGATTTGCAGGATTCCTTCGAGAATGATCCGTTGGGTGGGTATTGCCCCTTTTGCGAGGCTTGCTTGACAGCTACGGTAGGGGTCTGATCTCAAGCTGGGCTAGTCAAGTCGAAGTTCGGGATTTCAACCGTGTACTGTATTGCTTCGCCCAGGTACTCTTTGGTGGCATTATTGCATTCGAGATTCTTGTTTTGTAGAAACTCATGAACTTGCCTCACAGAATATCGAGTTACAATAGGCCATGGTCTTTTCGTCATCTCAGCTCAATACGATCTACAAGTTTCGTCTACTATTATCAAATCGCAGCCTAATGTACTTGAGCACAATTGAAAACAAGGGGTGAAGAACAGAAGCCCGGTAGGACACGATTGATAAACACATGAAGCGATATAGTCGCTTCGAGGCCTTTGTGTCTGTATTGAATGTCCATTAATCCACCAGTGGCACTCGATGTATAGGCCATGGCCACTGTTATACTGCTCAAATTCGAGCTTCCGGGGCCATACTAACATCGTTTCTTAGAAATATGGGATATCTCATCGATCTCCTATTTCTATCAGAATCCAGTCTGGGGCTAATATGTAAAGCAGTGATGTTTGTCGAATCATCAGATCGTTTCACAATTCATTGACTGCGGCTTCATTCTTTGACTCAATTTGCATGACACTCCCAGGCACTACTCTTTCCTCCTTGAAACAATACCAATGGGAACTGGACTTCCAAACCGACTGGATATCTGTTGAGCCCAAAAGTGAGCATAGATGAATCGTGACGAGGTGATAACTTTGAGTGAACGCAGCGAGCCTACAATATCCTTCAATTCCGCAATGAGCAACGCAAGCCCAGGCAACGCTCCCTGTCTCGCCCAATCAGCCATGGATCAGCCTAAGCCCTCAAACGATTTACTATCTCCTCGATTCCTCACTCGTCGAATGTCTCTTGAAGACTCTGGGAATATCCTCACAGCCACAACGACCGCACGCCGCAACCAATCTTTGGTGCACTACCCTCGGAGCTATGATGGTACAATTCGTCAACTGTAAGTACACTGAATCAAACAGCCTTCAAATACTCATGGGAAACTACTAACAACATATATAGTCTAAGACAGATTCCACTTCCGCAGTCGTAAGTAACTTAGCCCATATCATCCTATGTGTTGCGTCGCTCACAAGTATAGGATCATTTGCTGTGTCTGCCACACCTATCACCCTCGATCCGAATTCTCCCCGACCCAACTCAACAATCTCCGCCAGGCAATTTACGAGAGCAGGGAGAACATATATGACCCCCACCCGGAGATTTTCTCCACTCAACAGATCACCAAGTGCATTGCCTGCTCTCAGAGCCAAGTGGTTGAGAAGAAGTGCGGCCTTTGTGGTCAATTTCGTGGTCTCCGTCAATTCTCGAAGAATCAGCGTTCCCGAGACATTTCTGTATGTTAGATCAAACGCCATTGATCAGCTTGGAGAACTAATGCTTTCTCAATAGTACTGCATGGATTGCATGGAAGAACAGATGTCAACCGATCCTGATGCTGAGAATGCTCGTATGCAGAGCTTGGGAGAACGGACTTCCGCGTCTGACTCGGACATTGGTCTGGGTGCCTTCACATTGGTGGGCGGCCGGTCCTACATGGACTGACAATGTCAGCATATGGATCACTGACACGAACGCTTTTCCTCTAGATTGACTTGAGCGATGTCAACACTGGACACGAGAATCCTTGCCAAGCACATGGTGACCCTGTTTCTAGTGGCATTTACAGGGATTGTCTCGCTAGTGTGCCCGCTATGCCTACTATGCACCGGCAGTTGAGTCCAGTTCCCGTGGGTTCTAGGTATCCCGTATTGATGTAAAAGTTTGCTGACACACATTCACAGCCAGCTCTTCCCAGCCCGCTGCCTCTTCTTGCACTTCAGAAAGCTCCTTCTCCTCTCCCTCGTCGCTGTCTTGATGGGGATGATGGACAATTCCTGTGAGTGGCTACCGGCCTGGTGCGATAACTTGGCTATTCGACCTGAGATTTTCATGCCTTTCCCTTTAACATTCGGTACTTTTTCAAATTCTCAAACAAGATGGAATTCCATGTAACAATCCATTTCATACAAAGAGCATAAATTACAGCGAACCATGGTTGAGAGATGGGGGATGACATCGGTTCCCCACAGTCAACAAACACTCTATAAATATCCCCTGTGATTCAGGCAAATCCCCGAGTCGTTAAGTATGGTTAGTAACTGATTTCACACTCTTGTTTATGTCGGGATTTGAGAATATATATACTGTATACTGTAATTCATTCCTTCGGTCTGCTGATCGCAGTCTGAACCCATCGGATCCCAGCCGACAGCTGGCAATGACATACCTGGATAGCAGAAAACAGTGCTCTTTCGCCCTATGATAGGCGCAACGGAATCGTAATTAATGCAGATAGCGCATGGAAGGTGCATGGTGAATTGCCGATCATGACGCTCCGCTGCAGCTAGTAATATGACATTGAAGAATTGTGGCACTCTAATATATTAAAGAACGACACCATACATAGTGTGACGTCTGAAGCACTTGGGAAGGCTGCGATCGCCACAACGTTTCACTCGCCCCCCACCAGCCTTAGGCCCCTCAATTTACCCAACTTTTCTCCCTGGAATTTTCACCTGATTAGTTATTCTTGTTTCCTGCGCATTCAAATCTGCATAAGCCCAGAGAGAGCTGACATTTCCAACCCCCATGGCCTACGATGGGTACTACTCCAACCCCTACCAACCGGGCCCCATAAACCCTCCCATCGACGGGTACTCGACTGCTCCTCCATATCCAACCCAATACGACGATCGTGCCAATATGCCACAGCCACAGATGCCGATCGGCTCTTCAGCTCCAAACCCGGAGTCCTACTCTGAGCCTCGATACCCCCAGAATCAGAACCAAGATCACAACCCAGGCGCCATCAACGACGCCGTGAACTCCGCCGTCCACAACAGCGGCTCGACGGGCTATCTCTCGCCAGAGGTGCTGTCCCAGATAACAGCAACAGTCATCCAGCAGCTCAAATCAACCGGTCTGGACAATCTCCCAGGATCGCCATCAGCTCCCGGTCCATCGGCACCCCGCTCGCAATCACAGCAGCCAACCTGGCAAGCAGACCCATCCACGCGCCCGCATGCTGAGTCTCCTCCTGCCATGGCTGCACGCAGCAACTCTATCCCACCCTCTGTGCCTATCTCGGGTGGCAACACAGAGCCTTTCAAGCCCTACGTTGAGCCCTACGTGGAACCATATGTTGAGCCCGAGTACGGTGATACGCGCCCCAGTCCGAGACCAACCCCCGACCCGGTTTCTGAACGGCGGGGTTCTGTGTCGAGCCAAGGAAGTGTGCGCAGTCATCACCGGGAGGCCAGGCCGAAGCCCCCAGAACGCGATGCTACTGTCATGGAGATGACGACTCTCGAGCGGATTTGGGGTAAGCTGTTTGAGGATGGGAAGCCTACGAAGAGGCTTGGCTTGTTTTTGCGTGGTATTGCGCTTCACTTGGTATGTGCTTTTGATGCCGTTTTAGTTTCGCTCTTTCCTTGTGTTCTGGCATAAGTGCTGACTCGGGCAGATTGAGGATTATCCTCCTGGAAACACTATCGTCATTGTTCCCCACAAGCTGCAGAAATTCTACAAGGACACTCACGTTCCTTCGGATTCCTACCCATGGCATGGTAAGTATTCGATGCATTCTTCTGGTATTTCGATATTAATATCCTACAGACATATTTGATGATCGCACGTCGTCTATCTCACGTCTATTTCGCGATGTCGAGGCCGAACATCATCTTGTACAAGACAAGCTTGGAGAGCGCCCAGACATTCCAGGCCTGACACCAAAAGGGTTTGAGCGATGGGCTACTCTCATGATCCTCGCCAATCCCGAGCGGGAATACGAGCGACTCCAAACAGCAGTCCTGAATATGCCAATCAGCAATCCCGACGACAAAAAAGAGCGTTTCCCCAAAGAGATCCCGCGCCGCCTCTTCCCAGACATCGGTGATCTCAAGATCCGAGAAGAGATCGAAGACCAAATTATGAAGCAATGCGGTGTCGACCTCCCCCGAATCACCGATGAGGAACGCGACGAAGCCACCCGCTCCAGAAGATCCCCCGTTTCAGCCACCTCTTCCACAGAGCGAACGCACTCATATGAAAGAGGCCGGCCCCCACCAGCAAAAGCATCCCCGCCCACAGCAAAACCAAGAGTAAGAACGGCCTCCACCTCGCCAGTCCTAATATCCGACGAGGACGAAACAATCCCCTCCGCCCCGATCGAGCGCGAGCGCAAGCCCTACAGAGCAACTCCAGGCGGCGGCAAAGTCTACCAAGGACCAGGCTCCAGTACAGGCTCCGGCGCCCAAACCCCCAGCCACAACCCCAGCGGCTCCTTCTCGACGCCCAGACAATCAGAAACGAACATCAAGCCCCACCAACCACCACCAAGCAGAATGTCAATGCCAGACGCCTACGACCGAGACTCACTCTACGCCCGCACAGGCACAGGCACAGGATCAGGACCAGGAGGCTCAAGCACCACGCCCGGTCGCCGTTTCTCTCGCGGCTCGCGCAGTTCATCGCGAAGCGTGAACCATCGCTCTAGCGACTACAGACACTCGGAAAGTGACCTGCTAGGCCGGGACCGTGAGCGCGAGCATCTGCCACGGTACGCGGGTATTTCCGCGCAGGATTTGCAGTACATGGAATCTCCCACTCCTGCTTCGCCGGAGGTCGATGAGCCAAGACGGTTCCACCACCATCGTGGAAGTAGTGCTCGTCCTGATGATGATTATTATCGTGGTATGCTTGGTGGACAGGGCGGGGGGCCTGTTCATTCCCATACTCATGGGCATGGTTATGATAAGTACTATCGGTGAGGGCGGTAGTCAGGGTCATTGATCTTGATTTTGATTTGGATCTTGATACTTGGTATTGTTGTCGACACGGACATGGATCTGGATATCTATGTTTTTCTCTTGGGTTTACGTTTTTGGGTTTCAAGCTCGTTTCCGGGCTCTTTGCTGTTTGTCTTTTTTTACACTCCAGTTTGGCGTTTCGGGGCAACAAAGATACCTCTTCTTTTTGGGGACTTGTTATTTGTGCATGACTGACGATCTAATGTCGAGCATTGATACCTATCTATCTTGGATATATTCTATTGAAAGTTATCGCTTTAGGAATTGCATACATTCATTCATTCCTAGGCCTTTTATATTTCAACATATTCCTTGATATAATTTGTTATTCGCATCCAATGAAAAAGTAAACTTATTTATCACAGCCTATATCCAGCCCAGTCTAAGTCAAGATATAGCATCACAATCCAGTTATACACAACCGTAACCCGAAGTGTCAATTCAATCACTCAAGATCACACCCATTCCCCTCCCACCCAAACCTCCTCATAACCCTAACCCCATCCTCGCGACAGAAAACCCCTTCTTTCTCCCTCTCCTTTTCTTCGCGCTCATACCTCTTCGCAATAATCAGAGCATCCCTCTCTTCCCTCTCCCTCCGCTTAACGCCACGCCTCTCAACCCTCCTCCGCTCCTCCAAGGCCCGCACATCCCCCTTCTCAGCATCAACTCTACACTTTTCAATCTCGTCATCTGACAAAACCCACGGCACGGACAGAACCTCAATCAAAAACCGAAGACGCTGGTCTAGAAATCCCATCTCCGAGTTCGTATCTGGCACCGGCATGAATCGTTCGAGGTTTATTTGCATTCTTTGCCGGAACATAGACAGGGTTCCTTTTATTCGGATGATTGTGCCTGGCTGGAGGGGGGTTATGTCGATTGATTCTTTGTCTGTTGCTGTTAAGTGGGTTTGTTGGGGGTTCGGGTTCGTATTTAGGTGTGTTTTGGATGTTAGGGAGAACTGGGACCAGGGGGTTGTTGGGTCTGGGTCTGATTGGTCTTCTGTAGGTTCGTTGGTGCTGGCGCTGGTTGATGAGTTGCTGGTTGGGGGTTGCTGGGGTTGGGGTTGTTGGAGGACTATTATATCGATTGTGGCACCGCTGCTGTCGTCCAGCGTTAGGATTGTTCGGCGGGTTATTTCTGTTCGCGCTACTATCAGGCCTACTAGGCTGACAAAGCGGATTGGGTGGTTGTTGTAGAAGAAGGTGTCCTGGCCTGGTTGGTTGTTAGCATGGGTTCTTTGTTTTGTTTGTGATGGTTGTATAGTTCTGGGGAATTTGTGGTCGAGTATAGGAGTGTATCGCAAAAGGGAAATCCCATGAGCATGAAATGGTAGAACCGAAGGAGCTCCAATATATAGTAAGAGGGGGATGAATAACACAAGGTGAGCGCGAAGATATCGTTTAGTCTTGCTATCGTCTCATACAGAGCGTTTGGGTCTCAGCACTACCGCAAATGGAATATGCACAAGAACACTAGGCATGTCGATCCTCAGGGGACAAAGAAATGACCAGGATTTAAAAAAAGAAGGCTAAAATAACCTACCAACAAACTGTTTTGCTCTTCGGAGATGGTGAACATCTGCGGCACTCATCTTCACCCAGGTAAAGTGTGTTGGTGACGCCTTGAAGCAGAACGCGGGGTAGAAGGTGAGGTCCACATTGGTGCCTGTCGCCATTGGGTCATCTTTGTCTTTGGTATATTGTCCTTGAGGTGTAGACTTTGGATATTGAACAGTTGCTGCCCGTGGATGAAGTTGGCCTGGAATTGAATGTTGGACATGGTCACGTGTCGGTGTATCAAGTCGCGCGGCACACGTGTTGAGTGAATCTCATATGTTTTCTATGACATGGTTCTATATTGAATTAGTTATGTCTACACCCAGCCACCTAAAAGCGACTTCTATTGTTTGATCTCATGCTTGACTCAGGTCCTTCTCGAGCACCAGAGAGCAACACCAGCAAAAATAGTTAGCACTTTGTTCCTAAACCATGGCCGAGACCGAGAGCCTATCATGCAGATACTTTTGGATCCCCTTTATTAATACAGAGAAATCTCACCCTCCATCATTCTCTTCTTCGGGTTCCGTGGAGCCTCCTCTTGCCTCCTCCTCTCCTCAGGACTAATATCATCAATGTTAGTCCCCTTCTCCCCAAGAGCAATGCGGACCTCCTCCTCTCCATTCTCATGGCCAGCAAAAGCAACAGACAGAATATCCCGCTCCAACCCAGAAACATGCTCCCACTCAATTCCCGCCTCAGTCAACATCCTACAACCCTCAGACTCCCCCACAAAAGTCTCCGGCTCCTTGACTCCAAAATAAACCTTATGAATACCCGCCTTACCTCCTTCCGTCGTCCGCGCAATGCGCTGTGCGCACGGCGCATTCCCAGATAGCCGTTTCCCGCACGGCTCCATCGTGACGTACATAATGAGCTTGCGGCCCGTCTCAACGGGGAGAACTGTGCTGACTAGGTCGTCTGGCACGTTGTGGACGGCGGCGTAGTTGGAGAAACAGCATTGCTCGGCGTGGGTGTTGCCTGCTAGTTCCATTGTGTAGCCTGTTGAGAGGATGCGATCATCGGCGAAGGTTGGATCGTTATCTTTGCGGGAGAGGAGGAGGGCCCCGACTCGGAAGTTTGTCGGGCGAGGTGGTGATTGCTCAGCTAGGGAGAGACATTTCTTCATGAAGGGTATGTGAGGGGAGGTGGTTGTCGTCATAGTGGGTGGTCGATTGGTGGGTTATGGATTGTGTTGTAATCTTGGTGAGGGATGGGTAAGTTCGGTTGATATCTGGTTTGGTGTAGCTGTAAAATGATCCAAGACTGTGTATTTGGAAAGTCGAGAGAAAGTAGCGGCGTTAATGAGCTTCGAATGTTCGAAGGTGGGCTGGATGTGAAGTCGGGAATCTGTGGCAAAATGACGAAATGGCCCGTCGCGTCAAAGCGCGTCAGTTTGGAAGGCTACCAGGCCACTACACTATTTAAATTCTATGGGGCAGAGTCTCGACCAGTTTACCTGTGTTTACGCAACCTACTCTCACTCACTCTTCCAAAAAAAAAGCTCAAAGCCAGCTGCTGCGTACCATATAATCTCGCAATGGCGAAAGGCGCGAAACCAGAGCAAAATCATGCCTCAGACGAGGAAATGCCCTCCGTCGAGGAGAACCTCTACAAGATTCTCGGTGTAGAATCAGAAGCAACCCCAGAAGGGATTAAGAGCGCATACAAGAAGAGTGCATTGAAGAACCACCCCGGTAAGCAATTAAGCCGAACACACCCAGAAGTGGTACTGACTCCCTCCTTCCTAGACAAGGTCAGCGAAGAAGCGCGCGAAGAAGCCAACGCAAATTTCCAGCGTATCGCACTGGCATACGGTGTTCTTTCCGATCCACGTCGACGAAACATATACGACCGCACGGGCAGCACAGACGAAGCCTTCGGCGAAGATGGCGACTTCAACTGGATGGACTTCTACCGCGAGCAGCTATCGGCTATGCTTGACAAACGTGCGATCTCGGACTTTCAAAAGAAATACCAAAACTCGGACGAGGAAAAGAAGGATCTGCTTACTGCGTATGCCACGCACGAGGGAGATATGGATGCGATCTACGAGACGGTCATGCTGTCCAATGTTCTTGACGATGACGAGCGGTTCCGTGCCATCATAAACCAGGCTATTGCGGATGAGGAAGTGGAAGACTTTGAGACCTATTCGCATGAGCCTGAGGCGAAAAAGAAGCTGCGGGTAAAGAAGGCTCAGAAGGAGGCCAAGGAGGCGGAGAAGTTGGCGAAGAAGATTGAGAATAAGAAGAAGGACGCGGCAAAGGGGGCTAAGAGCTCTGGGGGTAGTCTGGATGATCTTCAAGCTTTGATTACCAAACGTCAGCAGGATCGTGGTGCTGGGTTTTTGGCTCGTCTGGAGGATAAGTATGCGCAACCTAATGGGAAGAAACGTGGTATTGAGGATGAGCCTTCAGAGGAAGCCTTTGCTGCTGTTGGTGCCCGGAAACAATCCAAGGAGGGGCAAAGCCCAAGTCGAAGAGGTCCAAGGCTTGAACTGGTCTTGCTTTTTTATTGTTCTGCATCATGTCTCGGCGTTGATCTTTGTTAGGGAGGTTATTGCATCTGGTATACCTAGTTTGAATGTTTCGGTTCCTTTTTCACTGTATCACTACTTCCACCACTTGCTCTAGTGACTGGAGGTATCAAAGTTCAGATGCGTAAAGCGCCGTAACCGCTTAGATGTATGTGTCTACGATTTGTGATATCCATGCAGCCACACCTGGTGGCTGCAGCAGGAAGCCTCACCTTGGGCGCCTTCTTCCTGAAGTCTGATCTTTGTTCTCCCCGCAATCCCTTGCATTCTTTCTTTGACCTTGAATTCGGTAAGATGTTCGAGCAGAAGCTGTTTGTTTGATTGGGCTATACTGTCGGCGACCGAGCTTCATTCTGATCCAGTGAGCTTCCTAGACCCATTTTTGAGGTCTTATTCCGTTTTCTTGTAAGCTTCTAGCTGATCAGATGCAGATAAACCCTCGCCACTCCAGCGAAATCGGCATAACAGGACGATCTGCTCCACATTCTTCAGTGCTTGGCGTAGTTGGAGCGATGAGTTCCCCACCGGAGGCGGTTCCGCTGTCGTACCACACAACTTCCCCCATATCCAACACGGAGAAGAGCTTAGGCCAAACCATATCAACAACCGTGATCGAGGAGAAATCAACGGGTCTAAACCGTGCCTTGCAAAGCCTGCTGATTGCCCCGCCAAAGAAGAGTGCGGGGACTTGTTCGCCTAGAGCTCGCGCAACCCGCAGCCCAGTCGAGCCACTCGTCTCATCGCCTTTGCGTATCAGCTATTCAGACATGGCATCTGCTCCGAGTTCACCGGAGAGGACTAGGACCGAAGCCCTTCCTTGGGAATCATCCGATCATGCCGTTGAGACTGGTCGACCGTCGAGCCGTCTTGGCACCGATGATGATGCAAAGTCCGAGGTTTCCGCCTCTCCATCCGAGCCGTTACATTCCAAAAAGCGTTTTCTGCAAGCCCGGGACAAGTCTCAAAATCGGAAGAGCATGGCAGCTATGATGTCAGGATTAGAATCACGACTCTTTCCGAGGAGCTTTTCTCGCGGGAGAGACTCTTCGCGAAGTTCCCTCCAGCGTGGCTCATCCCTTGACTCTAGATCTTCTACTTCGCTGGAGAGGGGCCGCCCTAGCTCATCTGGAAGCCATTCTCTCCATGTGGAAACAGTACAGCCTGCCCCTAACAACACTGGCAAGGGAAGAACTGTCAATATTCATGATCATTTGAATAAATCAGATGAAGCATTGCCCAATTCTCATGGGACTCTTCCTGATTATGTGAAACCAGCAGCAGTGGAAGAAAACGGGGAACGACTGGCCAAAGATGTGTTTGACCGTGACAAGAATATCATTGAAAGCAGTGAAAGCGAGGACACTTCAAGTGACGATGACAGCACAACCGAGGTCACACGGGGTCGCAAAAAGAGGGCTGATATCACATCTATCACACCCAGTGACTTTGAAACACCGCAGAATCATAAGCCTAAGCCGACAGAGCGTATGTTGCTAATTCAACCACCCTTGCATTAATCAACCTGGGGCACAATTGACTAACACCATATCTAGAAAAATCAGCGGATAATACAACAGGGTCCCTAGAGAAGAAACCTCGGAAATCGGCTTTGAAAGCCGTTGTGCATCCACAGACAAGCTTCGATATTCCGACCCCTCGTATCCAATCAGTGGCTGGTACCCCTTACGGATCAGATGATGAAGCGGAAATTGGCGATATCCATCGTGCCCAGAAGCTCAGCATTTCCATGTCCGCTATTGATAATGGCGTGCACAACCGATCTATCCGAACCATTGTTCGCGGGAACTTTTCAGGCTTGTCAGATACCGGCGATTGGGGCCGTCGCCGTCGGCGGAAATATCTGGTCGCCACCGACCTAAGTGAAGAGTCAGTATATGCCCTCGAGTGGACCATCGGCACAGTTCTTCGAGATGGGGACACCATATTTGCCATTTACGTCATGCACGAAGACTCAACCAGCACCTCTGCGGTGCAGGTCGGTGAGGGTGCCACAGTGATGAAAGACGCAACAGCGGTCGTGGGCACGCAGACAAAGGAAGCCCAAAGTTCTGGCCATGGATCCCGAACCATTCTGGGTCGACTTGGCCCTGGAACTGCCAGCAAGACACATTCGGCTGATTCCCGGGCCTCATCAATGGCTGAGGCAGAACGGGTGAGGGCTGTTGAGACTGTTTCTCAGACTTGTGTAAAGTTGCTGCGGAAAACGGTACTACAAGTTCGCATTGCAGTCGAGGTTATTCACTGCAAGAACCCGAAATCCATGATTACTGAAGCTATTGATGAGCTTGAACCGACCCTTGCTATTGTGGGTGCACGAGGTCAAAGTGCTCTCAAAGGGTAAGTCTATTGTTTCAATCGTGTCACTTGTAGGTAAAAACTAACATCATCATAGTGTGCTTCTTGGCTCGTTCTCCAACTACCTACTTTCCAATTCTTCAGTGCCGGTCATGGTCGCTCGTCGAAAACTAAAGAGGCACTCTTTCAAGGGCAAACTCAGTAGCGCAAACGTGCGCCTCTCTAATAATTTGATTACCCCGAAGAGTCTCTCCCAGGCCAAAGTGGACTAATTGGTCATGAGCCCTCTATTTTCTTCGGTATTACTCTTGCTTGCATTTTCATGGATTATTATGAGACTACTGGCATATGACCTAGTGGTTCGAATGGGACACCAGACCTGGAATTTTTGCCTTCTTGCTGTTAACATGTATGGATATACCCCGTTGTCATCGACTCCCGATCTCTCGTTGCTATTTTACTCTGTCGTACCGACTATTATGCATAGAAAAGTTTAGCCCACTGAATATTTTGTCCTCGTAGTTTCCACTTTCTTAACCACCGTAAATATTTTCTCTCTACAAACGAGTAAATCCCCAATATCTGAACAAGTTGAGGATGTACGCGGAAATGCCAAGAAAACCGACGCAATCCAAACTCACGACCCACCTCACCGCCCAAGCTCCCCGTCCCGTCGAGACAGCTGGAACCCCCGTCCCACCTCTAACATCCCCATACTACCCTTTATCTGTTCATTATGGCCGACATGGATGACCCCCGGATGAGCTCTATCAAGCCCCGGATCCGCTACAACACCATCGGGGGAATCAATGGACCTCTGGTCGTCTTGGACAATGTGAGACCGTTCGACTGTCAACCAGGAACAACTTGCTAATGAAACGTTGCGAATAGGTCAAATTCCCCCGCTACAACGAGATTGTCAGCCTGAGATTAGCTGATGGCACTGAAAGATCCGGCCAGGTGCTGGAAGCCAGAGGTTGGTCGCCCACTTTCTGCCGTTGACATACTGCCAGACGCTGACTGTTATCTACTCGAACAGGAAACCGAGCAGTCGTTCAGGTACAGACGAGATCGCCATTCATCGCCCCTTATGCGCAAGGCATTAACGCAGACTAGGTTTTCGAAGGCACTTCCGGTATCGATGTGAAGAAGACCACGGTCGAATTCAGCGGCCACAGCTTGAAGCTCGGTGTGTCCGAGGACATGCTGGGCCGAGTCTTCGACGGTTCGGGACGTGCTATTGATAAGGGTCCTAAGGTCATGGCGGAGGACTACCTGGACATTAACGGCCAGCCTATCAACCCTTACTCACGAGTATGTGTATCGCCAATATGAGTAGGAGCTTTGCTAACGATATCGCAAGGTGTACCCCGAGGAAATCATTTCCACCGGTATCTCCGCTATCGACACTATGAACTCTATTGCCCGTGGACAGAAGATTCCTATCTTCTCTGCTGCCGGTCTGCCCCATGTATGTGGACACTGACCTCGCTGCCACTTAAGTGACATGTTGCTAACACAGACGCAGTCGGAAATTGCTGCCCAGATTGCCCGACAGGCCAGTCTAGCAAAGCCTAGCAAGGGTATCCACGACGACCACGAGGAGAACTTCTCTATCGTCTTCGCCGCCATGGGTGTCAACATGGAAACTGCCCGTTTCTTCACTCGTGATTTCGAGGAGAACGGTAGTATGGAGCGTGTCACCTTGTTCCTTAACTTGGCCAACGACCCTACTATTGAACGTATTATTACTCCTCGTCTCGCCCTGACCACTGCCGAATACTACGCCTACCAGCTCGAGAAGCACTGTCTGGTTATCATGACCGACATGTCCGCCTACTGTGACGCTCTTCGTGAGGTTTCCGCCGCCAGAGAAGAAGTCCCCGGTCGTCGCGGTTACCCCGGTTACATGTACACTGATTTGGCCACCCTCTACGAGCGTGCTGGACGTGTCGAGGGCCGCAACGGTTCCATCACCCAGATCCCTATTCTGACCATGCCTAACGACGATATCACTCACCCCATCCCCGATTTGACCGGATACATTACCGAGGGCCAGATCTTCATCGACCGTCAGCTCGACAACCGCGGTATCTACCCACCAATCAACGTCCTGCCATCGCTCTCCCGTCTGATGAAGTCCGCCATCGGCGAGGGCCGCACCCGCAAGGATCACGGCGATGTCTCCAACCAGCTGTACGCCAAGTACGCCATCGGTCGTGACGCCGCCGCCATGAAAGCCGTCGTCGGAGAGGAAGCCCTTTCCTCGGAGGACAAGCTCTCTCTCGAGTTCCTGGAGAAGTTCGAACGCACCTTCATCAGCCAGTCCGCGTACGAGTCTCGCACAATCCAAGAATCTCTCGACATCGCCTGGAACCTCCTCCGCATCTACCCCAAGGAGCTGCTCAACCGTGTTCCCAAGCGTGTCCTGGATGAGTTCTACGCTCGCCAAGGCCGCAAGATTCCTAACCGGGATACACGCGATAACTCAGACGAGAACCTTCTCGACGCATGATGTGTCTGCCAGCGTAAGTGTTTCTGTCTCTTGTTGGAAGGGTCGAGGATGAAATGAAGAGAAAGCGTGTTTGGCGGGGCTGTGTGTGTACCGATTGTCCTTGTCAATTGCATATACTCCTTTCTTGTTCCTGTTTCTGTTCTGTTGCGGCTTTGTCGTTTGCTCTGCGGTCATACTCTTTGATTTATGTCTTCTCCCTCTCTCTTTCTCTCGTAAAGCATGATACAATATTGAAATCGAATTATAAGGCCTGCGTTTTTGTCAAATAGATTGATTGCGCTAAAATACATTGATATAAGATGTAGTATTGTGAACTTCTTGTTGTAGATGTAAGCTTTGCAGTGAGAGACCGGATCATCGATCTATTGCCGAATATTATGGAAAGCTTCGTTTCAACGTGATACGTGGGACCTAATCAGATCTACAATGCTACATGCTACCAGAATAACATGACTTCTAAAGAGGGGTATCAATTCCTTTTTTGTATGTATGATTGAAGTGTACGAGAATAACCCCAAGTGTCCGAGTAAAAAACTGCAGGAACTCAAAAAAGGAATGCAGGAAAGAAAAGACTGCAAGCCGAAAGAAAACGCTTTTTACAAAGTCCGTATTGTATGTGCCCTAGACAAAGGCAAATCAAGTAATGCGATTCGACCAGAAAGAGAAAATGCGAAGAAACGTCTAGCCATGAATGAAAGGCTTAGAAGCGCAGATCCCAGCCGATCTTAGGACCCAGGCGGGGAAGCTCGTCGGCGACCTGCTGGACATCCTTGTCACCACGTCCACTAAGGTTAAGGACGATATCATGGCCCTTGCCCATGGTCTTGGCCAATTGCATGACACCCCAAACGGCGTGGGATGACTCAAGAGCAGGGATAATACCCTCGTGCTGAGAAAGAGCGCGGAAGCCCTCGAGAGCCTGGCTGTCGTCGGCCGTAATGAAGGTAGCACGGTCGGAGTCCTTCCAGTTGGACAACTCGGGGCCAACACCGGGGTAATCAAGACCAGCAGAGATGGAGTGAGTCTCGGCAATTTGACCGTGCTCATTCTGGAGAACGTAGGTACGAACACCGTGCAGAACACCGTGAGAGCCACCGGAAAGGGTGGCGGAGTGACGTCCAGTGTCAACACCATCACCAGCAGCCTCGACACCAACCAACTTGACGCTAGGGTCGTTCTGGAAGGGGTAGAACATTCCAACTGCGTTGGAACCGCCACCAACACAGGCAACAACGGCGTCGGGAAGCTTACCAAGCTCAGCCTTCATCTGCTCCTTGGTCTCGTTTCCGATAACGGACTGGAAGGTACGGACGATGGTAGGGAAGGGGTGAGGACCGATAGCAGAACCGATGATGTAGTGAGTGGTATCGAGCTCGACAACCCAAGCGCGGAGAGCCTCGTTGACAGCATCACGCAGAGTGCGGCTACCAGCCTCGACAGCGACAACGGAAGCACCGAGGAGCTTCATGCGGAAAACGTTGAGGGCCTGGCGACGCACATCCTCGGCACCCATGAAGACGGTACACGGCATACCGAATTTGGCGCAGACAGTAGCGGTGGCGACACCGTGCTGACCAGCACCAGTCTCGGCAATGATGCGGGTCTTACCAAGGCGACGAGCGATCAGAATCTGGCCAAGTGCGTTGTTAATCTTGTGACTACCAGTGTGGTTGAGATCCTCGCGCTTCAACCAGATGTTTGCACCACCGACGTGATCAGTCAGACGCTGAGCAACGTGGAGGCTGCTAGGGCGACCCATGTAGGGGTAGTATGAGCGGAACTCCTCCCAGAACTTGGGGTCATTGTTGGCAGTGTCAAATCCACGCTCGAGCTCGGCCAAGCAGTCCATCAAGGACTCAGGGACATACTGTCCACCAAATTCACCAAATCGAGAAGGCTGGGCGGAAGTGTCGTTGGTCACATTGAGAGCCTCGAGCTGGTCAGCGAGACCAGGTCCGGAAGGAGTGTCAGCGTCGCGGATAACCTTGGTGGGCTGGGCCACCGCGGAGGGCTGGGCCTTTTCGATAGCCTCGATGATGTTAACCTCGCGGGTGATGGCACCCTGAGCATCACGCTCAAGCTTGCGCCCAGTGACACTGGAGAGGTACTCCTCAGCAGCCTTGGCGGCCTGACCAGCAGGAGCCTTGCCAACAACGGTAATAAGTTGACTTCCAATGACAACACCCTCGGCCTCGTTTTGGAGGGACAAGAAGTGCTCACGGGTGCTGACACCGAATCCCAATGCAGCGGGAACGTTACCTGAGTACTCGTGGACACGGCCCAGAAGTTCAGGGATGTTGGCACTCAGTGAGCCAGTAGCACCGGTGACACCCATGCGGGAAACGACGTAGATGAAGGAGTCGGCAATCTTGCAAAGCAAACGCATGCGGGAGTCGGAGGTGGCAGGGGCAATCAGTGGGACGTAAGATAGACTAGTATAGAATTAGCTTCCTGTAATGGAAAATATACGATAGAACATCCACACTTACCCAGCGCTTGCGCAAAGGTCACGGAAGCGAACAGCCTCCTCTGGGGGCAGGTCGACCATGATGAAACCATTGACACCAGCTTCCTTGCAGTCCTTGAGCATGCGCTCCTCTCCGTACCGCATGACAGGGTTGTAGTAACCCATCAGAAGGAGGGGGGTCTTCAAGCCTCGGCTGCGAGCAGTGCGCACAAACTCAAGGACTGTAGTGAGAGTGACACCATTCTCAAGGGCCTTGGTGTTAGCGGTCTGGATGGTGGGACCATCAGCAATGGGGTCTGTGAAGGGAATTCCGAGCTCAATGATATCTATGTCAGTCCCGTTAGTAAATTGTCTCGGCGCCACCGGGATCGGAGAACAGTACCAGCACCGCCGTTCTCCATTCCGAGCATGGTATCAACGGCCTCATTGACTGTGGGGTATCCAGCAGTGATGTAAGCGACAAGGGCAGCACGCTTCTGCTCCTTGCACTTGGCAAAGGTCGCCTTGATGGCGTCCATGGCGAAGTAGTGCGAAGAATGTGGGGATTAAAGAAAGAGATGAAACGGATAGGGAGGGCCAGGTGTGGCTATCGGTCCCTTGGATGTAGTGTAGTTGGTGAGTATGGTATGTGAAAGATGGTTTGAGAGCAATTGACAGATTCAACTAACTTGAAGCTAAGAGTCACTCTATGAGATGAGTCAAAAGGCCATTGCCAATTTCAAGCCGGTGCCCCTCTGTCACGTGTAGATAAGATAATGAGTCAGTGCTGAGTAACCTTGGGATCTGCCCACCTTCGACGATGTCACGTGCTGCATCTATAGTTCTGACAAAACTAGTTATTGACTTACCTAAATAATGGTAATGAAGCCCTTGAGAATACCCTTAGAGCAGAATTAATATAGATTAGATCTTGATTTTGCTCAAGCGAATCAATTACTTTCGGAAAGTGCGGTAACTCCCTGAGACATTCGTTATATATAATTTTATTTGTCCAACCATCTGCATCAGACTGACTACTTCTGGCTAGCAGAACTTGAACATGATTCTGACATGAAATTGCTGGTTGCATTGAATTGCTAGATACCTATGCCATTCAAAAGGCAAAAGGGCTCTGTTACTTCTCATTCATATCTTGGATATGTCTAATTTCACCAAGGCTTTGCCCTGCTTCCAGCGCCGTAAATGCCTTAGAATGACATAGCTTGCAGGGTTGCGAAATCAATCACCTTTCATCAAACATTTTCTCCAAACGACAGAAGCAATCAACATCAGAATTTGCTTGATAATCTCGGACGTTCGGCCAACACGTCAGTCAGCCTCGGTTATCGATAAAGAAGAATCCCCGCACGCCCCAACCCAACCTCTACTTTAACAAACTTGTAGAACAGAGCCAAACCATCTTGAAGACACAAAATCAAAATGTCCAAAGCAATCTACATCTCCCCAATTGATGGCAAGCCCGGCAAGCCAGGCCAAGTCTACTACCCACTCTCATTGCGGACCGTGCCCAAGCCATCGCCGCAAGGGGGGTGAATTGTTAGTCAAATTGACCGCCGCGTCACTAAACCACCGCGACCTCTTTCTCCGCCAACATCTGTACCCGGGCGTAACCTTTGACGTGCCCTTGCTCGCCGACGGAGTGGGAGTCGTTGTCGGCGCCGGACCAGACGTCCCGAGCCCAGAGGAATGGCAGGGCAAGCGGGTCATTCTCAACCCTGGTGTTGGGTGGAAAGATTCGCCTGATGGGCCCGAGGACGCGACCGGGTACCGTATCATGGGCGGTACGAAGGTTTATGATAAAGGTACCTTGCAGGAATATCTTGCTATTGATTATTCAGAACTCGAGGAGGCGCCGGCTCATCTCTCTGATGCTGAGGCTGCTGCGTTGCCTTTGACTGGGTTGACTGGGTGGAGGGCTTTAATTACCAAGGCTGGAGAAAGGAACTCTGGTGCAGGAGCTGCTGTTCTGATCACTGGGATTGGTGGCGGTGTTGCGTTGATGGCGCTTCGGTTTGCGGTTGCGAGGGGGGCTCATGTCTTTGTGACGAGCTCGAGTCAGGAGAAAATTCAGAAGGCGGTTGAACTGGGTGCGACCGGTGGTGTAAGCTATAAGGAGGAAGGTTGGGAGAAGAAGCTGCTCGGTATGCTTCCCGCCGGAAAGAAAAACTTCGACGCGATCATCGATGGTGCTGGTGGTGATTCGGTTGAAAAATCTGTCAAGTTGCTCAAGGTGAGTAGCACGATCAGATGTCATCACTGTTCCCACGGGATTAATACTGACAATTGCAGGCTGGTGGTGTCCTTTCGATCTACGGAATGACCGTTTCTCCCAAGATGCCATTCACAATGAGTGCTGTGCTCAAGAACATCGACGTCCGTGGTTCCACGATGGGCTCTCGCAAGGAGTTCAAGGACATGATTGAGTTTGTTAATGCTAAGAAGATCCGTCCCGTGGTGTCTCGGGTGCTGCAAACAGACTTGGAAGACTTATCTGCCATCGATGGACTATTTGAAGACATGAAGCAAGGCACACAGTTTGGTAAATTGGTGATTGACTTTAGCAAGTCTACTGGCAGCAAGCTTTGATAACAATGTCCTCTGATGAGTGCTTGCTTCAGGGTTGTTTATACACATGGAATGTGATGCTTTGGCAGGAACAAAGGCAGAGCCTTCCAGATACACAGCAATGAGCACATAAGATTTGCATCCCCATCTTCATGCACTCGTCACTCGTATTGTAACATTGTCTGTCCAACAAGCACCCATTCCACTCACTGTATAGCCCTTCACTCATTGTCACTCCTCTATTATGTCCAAACGACAGCACTCCGGGCGGGAGTCTTGTTCCGTTTCACGGGGTAATGGACTGCCCATCGCGACGAACCCAATCCGCCCTTACCAAGAAGATGCTTGGGACGAAGATGGTTACCAGGTATGTCGAAGCTACTCTCGTGAAATGTATCCCAACTGACAGTCCATACAGTCCTTCGACGCCACTCACTATGCCCTCAAATCCGTCAACCACTCTATCGAACGACGCCTGTCGAAGCTGCAAGCCAACACCACACGCCTTAAACGTGAGCTGTGGCTGCTTCAGCGACATGTCAAGGAATTCCGTCATCCTCTCTTCGAAGTCTGGGAAGCCGACATGCTCACCCGGCTGATCGAGGTTGCAAACGCCCATCAGAACCGAAAGCTACCGGGGGCCGTCGTGCTTGGGCATTCAAGCTTCACAGAACGTGAGCAACTCACGCATGCGCTCAGTATTGCGGCGAAAGGGATCCGTCAACCCACACTGTCGAAGCTTGGTCTCGGCGAGAAGTATCGTCAGGCCCTGCAACGATATTCAGAGGTCAGTCACTGTTATGCTCACGTTGAATGGACTTCACCAGAACCCTCCTTAACATCAAACCAGGTTGCTCCCTATCGAAGCACGAGTCCTTTCCAGACAGAGTTCGCCTTTGCCAAGTGGCTGGTCGAGGAACAGGAGGACAGACCAGAGCTGTACACATTTTGGTCCAAGCTTTTCCCTGTCTGCTACGACCGCAGCGTCCAAGAGAGTGCCTCCATCTTCTGAATTACCTCATTTCCTTGCTGTTTCTGTATATAGAGCACTACGAAAGGGGGTGGGCACATTGGCCTGATACTCGCACGAGAATTGTCTCACTGTCTAACGCTGTCCGCTATTGGTCTGTTCCTGGTCCGGATTTCTACGTCGACCAAAGCGGTCATTGTGTCTCATTTCAGCTTGCTGTGTACAAGCCTATTCTTATCCGACCAAAAATTGGACTGCAGAGTATATTGACACTCAACTCCATACCTTTTTTTATCCTTGTGGCTCGGAATCATCTAAGAATAAAGAATCAGAGACAACCCTAATCAAGCCACAAACCACCTTACCAGACGATCATTCAACTAGTCAGCCCACCAGCTACGCTTGGAACCATCCCAACCAAAAGATTACCACCGTAGCATTGAACGTAAAAAGCAAAAAGCAAAGCTAGAAAATAGAAACCACTTATTCACCGCTAGATATCAGATCTCACCACATCCACAGCGGCATACAAGTACGGCGTACCATTCGCGCAACGTATGCCAATCAGCCCCAGACCTGTGCTGCAGCAGCCAGAAAAAAATCGACCCATCACTCTGGTCTGACAACCAATACCCTCCCCATAAACTTCCCGCATCTGCACATTACCAGGAATCCCAATGAACCGGCCCGAAGTGCCATATGTACTTGGCTGTATACAGTCTCCCATGTCAGAATTATACTCCATATTCCAATTCGGCATTAAAGTTTCCCACCCTCGCTAATAATAGCTTCCTTCTTACCTATTTACCATTCACCACTGAGACAGCCGGACCAGTAACTTACTGTATACCCTACTTTATACCCTGCATGGGACGGTTGGACTTGGCACACTCGGCCAACGCTCCTCTCCTCTCTCAGTGGGCAAATCAACCTCGTGGAGCTGCATTTCAGGGTCCCTCCCCCGAGTCGCCCCGACTCGGCTATTTTCCGAAGTAGCCCTTGGGGGGGGGGTTTTCTGTCTTTCCCACTCTAGTGTACTCTTTAGTGCACTCCTAGTGTCTTGGCTATAAACAGTTTAGTTGTGCTCCAGTTGGGATGCTACCACTGACGTTATACAGTATTTGTACTGTGTGCATTGGGCACTATGTCCGGTTTGATTCAAGTTCGATTATGGAGTAAGTTACTGGGGACGGGCTCCATTGGTATGGATTCATGGATAGACATTGGCTTCTTTTGCATGTAGGTCTTGGTAGAAGCTTTTTAGGGAATGCTTCTCCAAAGATAGATGCTAAGTTATTGATTCTTCCATTGACCTCTTTTTCGAGTGTCTAATCCACTATACTAGTGCACAGCACATGTGTACAGTACATTTCTACACACCTTCACCGGGAGTCAAGTACTGCACAAACATCAACCAACAAATCCAAAAAAGATTAGCTCACAGCGTTGCATGTACCAAACCACACCCGCACGTGTACCGTAGTTGAGCAGCAAAAGCATAAAATAAAGCGACCCAGCGCCCGATATAGACAAAGTTAGGCCCATACGTTGACTGACGTAAAGCATACCTGAAAAATGTAAGTAAAGTGCCAAAAACAAGAAATAGAGAGAAGAGAGAAAAAAAAAGCATAACCGAGGTTCAAGCCCAAAATGGCTGCTGCCTAGCTTGGCATGCCCAAAAGGGGAAGAAGGCTTGGCAGAAGCGTAAATAAGAAGCCAATTGGGTAAAGTGCTGCACCTCCCAGATACCCAAAGAACAAAAAGGAAGGAAAAAGTGGGTCAGTTATACATGCTATGGAGACTGCTGTCGAACTTGTGAAGTTAGCTTCTTTGATAGCGTCGGATCCGACCACTTGTGTGGACGGAGTACTGGGGCATGGATAATGGGGTCACATCCGGAAGACTGGGGCGTGCTGTACGGCCTATAATAAGAGCGAAGATGCGAGCTGGATGTGGCTTAGTGGCTATGTGGGTATCGTTTAGCACTAATATGCACAGTACAGTACTAATCCTGGATAATGCGCTAGCTTGATATGCCAACGGGTGCTGATAGTCGGAGGTTCTTGTCGTTCCGATATCCGGCCGAGGTGGACGCTGATTGGTTGGGATGGGGTTATATATTTACTTGGTGTTTATAACGTCTGATTCTTGTGATATTCTTATCGAGCTTTAGGTTCGGGGAGCTTTGATATAGACGGGCTGGAGAGATCAACTTGGTGCCTGGAATTGGCCGGTTTGGTGCTGCTGATGGCTCGGGCGGCTTCAACTTGAAACCGTCGTAGTTTGCGCGATGGTTTCATGGCCTGTTGATCAGAGCCGATCCTGTGATTAGATCAGGATTGGTTATCGACTTGACAGGTTATGCTTTCGGTCGGTAAAATAGTCGGATAAATTCATTCAGATGGTGATACACGTATATATATATGTTGACAGCTGGGTATGCATCCACATCTATAAATGACTCTACAACCACAACTCCCAACAACACATATACTGCTGCACCAGGAACTCCAGAAGAAATAGATCTCACTATTTCTACTCTAGAATTATTCCAATGCTGAAGACTACATGTATCACTCATCGGATGCAGGGTATCCTATCCGAATCAGATCGTCATGTTTCAAAAGGAGACCGAAGATCTCTGTCTCACAGCCCCTGAATCATTCACATCTACAAAATTACCCCGTACTTAGTAGTATTGCCATATGCAGCAGAATCAACAGTAAAAAATCAGGCAGCAAGCAAACAAGCAATCAAATGGAGCACGCTTCCAAGTCAGTACAAGATCAACAACGGAACTGCTCCGTTTCCCTAATCTTCACCAGAGCCCATGAAGCAAAGCGGTCTCCGTAGGCATCCGCAGCACCCCGTAGCGGGAGAAGAGTGAGAAACGCGAAAAGCGAAAAGCGAGACTGATACCATACGCAACTGAAACACCACGGCGAAGATGAGTGGCTCCGAGTCAGGGAACGCGGGAAGAGACATCGGGGATCCCGTGCTGGAGATGGGATATGGAGACAATCAAAAGACCATAATCTAACAGCTACCAGGTTCTGCGACAGTAATGGCCTCTCCCTTTCCATATCGTTCTAATTTACCCCGCCGAAGTGCAGAGTCTGCGTATGCTGGCGGGGACATGTCCCGAAACACCAGCCAGTGACCTGGTTCAGCCAAACGTTGACCGCAAATATACAGCTTCGATCACCAAATCAGCGTGTGCGATGCTGGTCTGAGAGGATTATCATAAATTCAATCGGTGGTCCCGCCGAACAAGGTTGCTACCGACGACCAAAGAGCTGATGGCAGTGCAGCGCATTGGCTTCGGGCAAATACTGTAGTGCCTTCTGCCCAAATATACCGAGAAGTGTCAGGGAGAGAGTGCGTGCGTGCGTGTGCACATTTCCCCTGTGCGTAGCGTCGAGAATCAGCGCGGTCCGAAGAAAAGGTAATTTTCAGTTTGACGGTGTCCACGCTACTCCAAATAGTCTCACGCCTCTAATAACTATGCCAGTGCCCTGGTGGCGCATTATCATCTGATGACACTGGTGAGATCGTATTCTTGTCCTGTCGGTCGGTTAGGAATACGAAAGAACGGTGAAGTTCCGAAGTTTCCACTTCTAGCGTGGAAGGATTGACATACCCCCGAGAAGTGCAAGAGGCCCCTCAATTTCCCATTTAGCAGATCATAGTTGGGAGCTACGGTCCCAGACCGGCTGATTTAAGCGCTTTTAAGTGGCTGACTGGGACAGGTTTAGTATGGAATATAGTTCCTACAGTATCTTCCCGCGTTCGATGGAAGGGTTCTTGACGAATGAGGAGACAAATCGGTATAACGAATGAGATGTTCGGTTTGAAAGACCGGTGCATTTTCGCTCCCCAGAGATCAAGTTCACTGCCTTCCTTACCCCGACTCCAAATAATCGCCCCAAGATGTGGCTGAGCAACGAAACCAAGGTAATAGGGCGGGGCCGCATTCCTCCGAGCTATGGTCACTCCCCTTCATGATGTGAAATCAAGGCAGGGAAACAGGCAATGGGAACATCAGAGTCCAGGAAAACGAACCGAGGGCTGCCGCTGTTTGCGCAAGCTCATCATAATGCGAACCCGAGACACAACATGTAAGGATCAACAAGTGACGAACCTAGGGTGCATACAAAGAATGTTCTTGGTCTGGTTTCACCATGAGAGTTTCCTCCGATCCGTGCCCCAATGCTAGCCCATGGGCAATCAGACGATCCTTGCTGAGAGCCCTGACATCCATGTCTCTCCTTCTCTCCTTCACTGTACTCCCCTTGGGCAGATCAAATGGTGGTCCCCGTCAATAATCGTCGTCGAACCCGTGCTCGTTATGCAGGGTGACTCCACTACTAGACAGGCACGACAGACAGGAGACAGGCACAGGCACGAGTGGCAATATTCATCACATACAGGGTGCCCGATAACACTTGCATATGCATGGGGAGAAATCAATATCGTCCCTAGTTCCCAAAGCGTGCAGTCGAATCAAAACCCTAAGTTTAGAGACAAACCTTCCGAGCTGGGTTACGATGTACAGTCCAGTCCGACAGCGACGGGGTCGTCATTAGCCTCTGGTTTCTCTCAATAGTCCAATCAATAATTAACCTTAAACAGGGGATGTGAGGGTACAGCGCCAGATCGGAATCACGACGCTGAAAGTCAAAATTCGCAAGCCCCAAAATTAAAAATTAGAACCGGGCTATCCGGCGCAAACTCCAACGTCAATGATTCAATCCTCACTAATCCAGTAGTGTGCTGTACCGTGCACCACGGAGGATCCTTTCAAACAAGGTTGCACGTCCGAAGCCCTCATCTTCTCCCAGTGTGCGGGAGCTCCACCTTTCTTGACTGGAGATCCCTTCCAACGAGAAAATTATTGGCTGCCGAATAAATTCCGTCCTCATGGGGAGGATGATCCTGACTCCTTACTAAAGTTAAAAAAGAACGAGAGAAGAAAAAAAAATCTTTCATTGGAGATTACTCGGAGAGGTTGGTGATGTGGGGCTATCGTGAAGGAAGCCTCCGAGGATTGGCCGATTATACTACAGACGACCAAACGACCAAGCAATTTACCCGGTCTCTCTACAAACCAATTAAGATTGCATTGGATTTCTTAAAACTGTCAAGGGATAGTTATTGGGTTCTTGTTCAAAGGGTTGTTGGAGAGATCCCCTTGCTCTGGTTGATTATTGAGGTGGTTGGGAACTGTACACTGACACCTAGGATTGACATCAACTGCGTGAGGATCCTCCGACTGTATACACTATAGTACACTAAACTATAATAGATTTGGCGCAATTTCCCGTATAGCCTATTTATGACGTCGGGTGAATCATCACTGACAAGTCCTTGCTCAACACGATCCGATCGGGTTCCAGTAGGAAGTTCGTGCCGACATTGCGTCCAGTCGTTTACGGCATGGCTCCCCAAGACCCGGTCCCGAGATATCCCCAAATGCTGGTTTGCTCAGGGAGCCCGTACTACGGAATGGGTACCCTCAGAGCTGGTGCATGTAGTTCCCGATCAGCGCATGGGTTTCGAGGGTGTACCTGCGTCGGGAACCATGTTTGCATGAACGGACATTTCCTAGTACAGAGTACATCTCCATGTGGACTCCATCAGAGGCAGCAGCATTGATAACCCTGAGAAAAGAAAAAAAAAGTAACCGGAGGCTGGTAATGCACCCCGGGATATGCTGAAGCCTTGAGAAGTGTGGAGTGGCATATCACGCCGGTAAGGGCTAAGCCTAATTGGGATCTATTGCAGCAGCGATAACCCTCCGTTCTGACTACTGAGCTCGTACAGAGCAGTCCTCACGGATAGCAGAATGCGGAATTACCGAGAAGAACCAAGGAGTTATTAGGCAATTATTGAAGACGTTTTGAAACCCGTTTGTATCCGCTGATCATGTTGAAGCTTCGCCGATCGCACTCCACTGTCGCTTTGTTCCGCTTAGATATGATGCTTAGATATACCGTAAGTTAGTGCTTAGATATGGTTCGGGATTTTGCACCGCCATGTCCTAACTTGCGATCCTCTTGGTTCCCTATCCCCGAATTTTGTGTGGTCCAGCTCCGCTTCCAACAACAGGATGCCTATTGGGGTAATAGTAGAGCGTCGAGTCCACAACGGGGCCCGCCCTCACAACGTGGCAAAATCGCGGAGATACCAAATGCAGCTTTCTTATCGATAAACGAACGCGAGGCATCCGATTTTTTTTTGATCCCTTTGCACATCGTGGCTGGTGCTGCACGAAATAAGGAAGCTATGTCGGACCGTTTACGCTATTGGATCCTAGCGCGCTTTCCTGCGCCGAACATTGCCGTTCCGAGTGCAGGGTTCTTCATTGCATGTCGGACCCTGATGATCTCATGGCGATTCACACAGTGCCTTGCACAGATGTAGGTATGATCAACCCGGAAGGTTTTCTCTCGTGTTGACCCTACGCAACTGCACGACGCGCAGCGCATTCGGGTAATTAAGGTGATCTTCTCTGTACCTCATACCTCCACGTTGATAAACCGTGACACGCCGGTTTCCATCTCTCAGCCTATAGATACAGTACAGTAGCAGTGCAGTTTCTTGCGATTCTCTAAGCCTTTTTGATTCGGCTACGTCCGAACAACGGTAACAGCGCAGAGAAGCATGGACAGGAGGACGGAGTGATACCCGATCGGGATCCGTGGAGCACGGCAGCCAATCACCGACTCCAGACCCTTGCATCGTCAGGCCACCGAGTCACCTGAAAAATGCAAGGTGTGCTAAACTTAGCCCTGTGAACCTTTTTTTTCTATTCTTACTCCTTCCTCACGGTTTGTCAGATGATGAAAATTGGATGTGGATCTTGATCTCCCACTGTCCTATTCCAGTATGCACTGAGTGCTGTCGACCGTCCCGGACTTCTGGTCCCTGTCATCCGCACCGGCTTTTCGAGAGGATCGAATTGGCCGGTGACGACGGGAGATATTTGATCGGCCGATGGATGGGCCCCCCAAAGATCCGTGGTGGAGCCCTTAACCGGGAGAGCAGAGAAGGGTCTTCACCTCCACTGGTTTGGCGCGGGTAATCCAAGGGTCGGCGTTGGCGTAAGGGCGTCCCAGCCTTCGGAAGGGGTCGATCTGACAACACCATTGACGATGAGAGTCGTCGCTCCTGTCAGTGAAGGGGATCCAGCGAGTATCCCCATGACTAAGAGGGAAAAGAGTTGACTAAAAAAGAACGAAAAAAAGCAAAAAGAAAAACGCGAGAAAAAAAAACAGTAAAAAAAAAAAAAAAAAAAAAAGCAAAACCAAGCTGTACAGTACGGTGACGGGGTAGCTCCCTGATTGGCGGAGATATAGTAGCAGTGCAGCCTTTCGGAGGGCGTCCTCGTTATAGACACAATCCCTGATTGGATCCTTGACCGTTGCTTTTGTCCAGGGTTACAATATGTATCCCCCCTTTCAAGAGCGCTCTGACATGGACCATCATAAACACTTACTGTACACCCTTCACTTATAGTCCAAGGTTACTCTCTCTCTGGAAGATAGGACCCTAGTCTCCCCTAGTCTCCCCTGTACCGTCGTGATTTTCATCTCTCTTCAATGGTCGACCTGCTCCACTTTTTTTGATGCGGCGCAGGCCGCCAGATGGGATTAATGCCCCGAGTGTGCATTTTCACCACGTTCGCAGAATTCCCAGCTTCTCGTGGAGTCCGGACATCTCGGAAAGAGCAAAAGCCGTGCACCTTACAAATCCCCGTCACGTTGGGGGACTCGACAGTACGTACATGTATAATTGGAACCCCCCTCGTGTCACCGAAATAGCCCAGTTTCCGAAGTCAGTTGTGCATCCCCCGCCACGATTCCCAGAAAAGGGTATTTTTTGGGGTGATTTTAGGATTTTATGATTTTCCCATTTTACAAATTTACGATTTATGGATGATTTTTCATGATTAAAAAATGGGGAATTCTTTTCCTCCCAAAATAATCAGAAAATCAAATATCCAAAAAAGAAAAAAAAAAAGAAAAAGAAAATCCTAGTAATTCTCCACAGCTCGTGGCCTGAATACAGTTAGGTCGTAAATGATTGTACTCTGTCCTGCTAATAATAATCCATATAATCCTGAATCCTCGTTGCTTTTAACCCTTCTCGTCCCTCTTCCTTGCATCACACTTGATATCACCCCCCCCCCCCCCCCTCCCCTCTTTGATCTGTTATTTTACTATGACACTTTAGAGGTCCACATTCGCTCACCACGTTCGCTCTTACGCTCGCTTTTCTGCTGCTACGAGAACCACGTTCGCTACGTTTTATTGGAGGATATCAAAAAAACAAAACAAACCAAAACGACTATTTCGATATTTTAATACTTAATTATCTAAAGGGTACCTTGCGCCTGAACCCTTGATTTTCGGTCCATTTGCACACGATATCCCGATCTCAGCGGAGACTTTCTAGGGCAAGGAGGGCGAGATTGTTCCACCTGCTTTTGTCCCGACTTGCGCGTTTGCGCGTCTTGAGATCCAGTAGATCTTCCGTTTGCACGGTCTCCCCCGGTTCAACTGTCAACTGTCAACCGCCAACTGCCAACTGCCAACTGTCGACTGTCGACTGCCAACTGGAAGATCAACATCAAAAGTCCGTTGCAACGGCCAACTGGTAGAACAGTTGCCAATTCAAAACGCCCAGTCTCACTTGTCTCGGCTGAATACACCGGTCGTTCCAGTATCAAGCGGTCACGCAGCCCTCTGTTTGGAAGGGTTTTAGTCTTTCAGGCAGATCAGGATTATTGCTCCAGCTTAAGGTTAGTATCTCCACTTTCCCCCCCTTTGCCCACGGTCTCAGTGCTCCTGCCTTGCATACTTCCTCTTTGGGAGGATTTCCCTGGGTCCCTATTCCCGATCTCCTTGCAGCCCTGTCCCTCTGGCTCTGGACTATACCGGGAAATGACGAGCTTCAATGGCGAAGCCGTCGGATGGCTTCCCCGTCCCGCAATTCCGGTGTTTGTTGTTGACATGAATCTCTTCTTCACTAGTTTGATGACCCTCGGATCTTGCATATTATCCTGAAGGCGAACGTCAGAAATTGTGGTCTCAGTTCCAGAGCTTCTTTTCTTCTCTGATTCAGTGAGTGTCCAGGCCTATGCACCGATCCGCCTCAAAGCTCGTATACTGATTGCAGTTAGTCTGACGCCCAACTGGCTTTTTGATTTCTCTCTTCCCGAAACCTCAAAGCGAAACCTGTTCCTCGCAACCTCTTTGGCCCACCAATTGTCTTGCACGGTCTGAATTGGCGGTGGACTTTGAGATCTCGTCAACCTATCTGAGTCTATCTGGATCTTGTCTTCATGAAATTCGTGACCACTGCATCTGAGTCGATTCCTGCAGCAAGCCTTTTCTAGTCTCAGCCTTAGTTGATTGCTGGATGTTGATTCGAAGCCCTTTGTGATCCTTTTTTCTGAAACTGACAGTCGCTTCATCTTTTCACTTGTTCTGTCTCGGAGAGCAGTTCATTCTCGCGTGTGCTTTTGCAACCTACAATCGTTTGGAGAATAAATTCTCAGTCATTCGCTTCCGGAGGTTCTGTCTTGTTGCACTCGCTGCAACATCTTCAAGCTGGCTTACTCGGAGACACACGGAGTTTTGGTAAGCTGAACCCTTTGACTGGCTCTGGATGCCCGCATGTTTTATCTCTTTCCAATCCCAGCCCTGGATCCTGTTTGACTCCTCGCTCAACCCTTGTTGCGGTGCACAAGAGACCTCCCCAGCTGACCTGTTTCGCTCGCAGTTCGACCCAGATTTCCAAACGCCTCTGATACTAGGCGAGTCGTTGGATCTCTCGGATTCTGAAGAGTCACAGTTTGTCGGTGCGTTTTCAGACGGCCTGTGGGCCAAGTCTGAGCCCATTCTGTCCATGTCTGCTTTTCAAAAGCCCACCGCAGGCGCCATACTAGGTGAGATGAATTGAGTCATTGGGCCGCAATACCTGCTAAGACGACAACAGATTACGGTTCCACTCGATCTTTGCATGATGCCGCGTCTTACTCGGCTTACGGTCAATCGCCTTATGTGACCACCCCGTTCGTGCCTTCCCCCATGGCTGACCAAGCAAGCCAAATCTCGGATTGTGTTCCATACATGCCCAACAATGAGTACGCTAGCTCGTACGAAGAGGCCCAATCACCCATGTTGGGCGCTCGTCAGCGCCAGATCCCCGAGGTAGTGACCTACAGCCCGCAACGCGGAGCAGAGGGAGCGAGAGTCACAGTGCAGATTCAAACGCCATACGACTTGCACAATTCGACCTATGCCAACTTGTACTTGGTATTCGGCACCAAGAAGTGTGAATGTATCCCGACTTTCCACGGCTTCGAGGGCTCCGTCTTCCAATACCGACTCTCAGTCCATGCACCTGGATTTATGATCACTGGCTCCCCATCCCTCGCAGTTCCCCTGTCCGTCTCGATGGAGACACACGATGACTCTCCCGCCACTATCCTCCAGGTCGGCGTTTACACATACGAGCAGGCGGCCCAGTCACCACCTGTGGATTCCCGCAAGCGCAAGTTCTCCTACTCCGACGTCCCCGTTGTAAATACCAAGCGTCACAACGGAACCTCGATCAAAGTTGAGCAACAGCACGACGGCTACCACAGCCGTTCTGTGTCTGCATCCTACTCGCCTTACCTACAGCCTCTTCCCGCCATGTCTGGCTTTGTTGCTCCCTTCCACGCTGGATCCTCGCCTCAACTTGGCTCTGCTCAATACTCCTCCGTATCCGCCACTCCCCAACCTGGTTTGCGTGCTCCATCCCCTTTGACACCTGCCTGGAGCCCCAACTATCTTCCCTTGAGCAACGAAGGTCGCAACCCGGGAATGCCCATGCCGCAACAGAAGGGTCCACAGCGTGCCAATGGTACCCCGACTTTGATTCGCACCTCCACCATGCAGACGAGTACGATTTCGCAGAACCCTCAATTCAACCCCTATGCCATGTACCCTTCCAAGGCTGTTCTCAAGCTCAACGGTGATTTGGATAGCATGACCCAAGGTTGGTCGAAGGAGGAGCGCCACTGCCAACGTCGACTGGTTCAATTCACCCGCTCCCAGACTGGTAGCACCATTGTCGGAGATTTTAAGGCTGTTACTCCTGAAGATCGCGCCCCCAACAGCATTTGCATCAGCTGTATCTCTTGGGAGGGTAAGAGCGAGTGCTACGTCACCAGCGTCGATACCATCTACTTGCTCGAATCTTTAGTCGCCGTCCGTTTCACTGTTGAAGAAAAGAACCGCATTCGCCGCAACTTGGAGGGTTTCCGTCCTCTGACCGTCTCCAAGGCCAAGGCCGACAGCGAAGAATTCTTCAAGGTCATCATGGGCTTCCCAGCCCCCAAGCCCCGCAACATCGAGAAGGACGTCAAAGTCTTCCCATGGAAGATTCTCAGCTCAGCATTGAAGAAAATCATTGGGAAATACGTATGTCCTCCCTCTCTTTCAATCCAATTCACATACTAACCTGCACCTCCAGTCCGCAAGCTACTCCTCCACAGCCAGCGCACTCCCCAACCCAATGCCCAGCTACCCCAGCCACATGGGCTCCGACTCAGGCGCCGAGTCCCACGCGATCAACTCCCCCCAATCCATCTCCGACTCTGGCGCGCCAAACTCATACACCCCATCCTTGGCGCCCACCTACTCTCAGCCTGATCGAGCCACTGTCCACATGTCCTCAGCCCCCGATCCCCGGAACATGATTGCAGTGACGCAACCCTATTCCTCCGTCGGCGCATACGCATATCCCGCCATGTGTCATCCGCAGATGGCGCAAGGACTCCCAGCCCCTGCTCCCCGCCCGGCATGGGACATGCACGCCCTCAACACAAGCGCACCCCACACAGGTGCGCCGGCTAACGGGGCCTGCTACAGCTACATGGATCCGGTGTACAACATGCACGACACAACACATGGCCATTGATCGCGCGTGGCTGGCAGCACATCTCTGACTGCGTTCTGTTCTGCTTTTTTTTTCCGTTTCTTTTTCATACTTACCCCCTCTTGCTTGTTTTATTTTTTTTTGCAGATACGATTTTCCTTCCTGTCACTCCTTGTTACAAGCCCATATCGCGCGCGCGTTGCAGTCACCAGAAATTGACTCTGATCTCCCTACTTGGAAAGGTGGGAGGATTGGCTCTGTTTCCTGGTGTCTCTGTAGCCGCTCATCCGCTCATGATTTACGTCCCTCCTTACACACCTTTTTGATGCCTGAATGCCCCCACACCCACCATTGTTGCATCTTCGATTCTTGTTTTTGATCTACATCTAGATGGTGTCTTGTTCATTCCTTTCCTGGGTTCGCATATTCCTTGCTGGGCATTTCTGGCTTTCCCTCCTTTTTCGCGCTATTGCTATTTTTGATTTTGAGCTTGGAGGCTTTGCAAGCTTCCCTGCTGGGCTTTTGTACTACTACTACTACTATCTGGCATAGCACAGGCGCTGCTGTCTCTCCTTTTGCATTCGCAGGATTGAGTTTTTTGTTTGGTTGGAGAATTGGGAATAGACTTTTTGGGGACTGTGTTACTTTTTTCTGTCTGCTTCTTGGGAATATTTTGCACGGCTGCGTCCATTACATTTTGCTCCTGGTGCATTCGGATGATGAGGATTCCTTCCTTGGATTGGCATTGGATTGGTTGACACTCTGTTCGATGCCTTTTCTCTGCAGTCTGGTTTCCTCATCTAGGGTTTTACTTATGGTGGAAACTTAGGAGTTTGATTGATATTTACACTTTTTTTGTTCTATTGTTACTTGAGCTGAGGGCTGTTATTTACTCTTGCATCGTTCTGGCGTTTGTCGGGGCCATTGGGACGGTTGGACCGTTTCCCATGCTCCCCCTGTTTGTTATCTTACTCTTTTAATTTTGACCTGGTCGAAGTTCTAGTTGAATCGCAGTTGATTGGACTCTTGTCAATACGTTCTTGTTCTCTCCTTCGTATCGTTACCTTATTTCGGACGTCCGGCTCGTTCCCATATCTGGCCCACCACCTCCCACTTTGGCTTGTTGTGATTGGCCTGCTTGGGCCCCGGCGCTGTATGTCTGATGCTGGTCGATCTACACCTGTCCCTTGGCTCTGGGTTGAGGCGTTTATAGCCGTATGGTAGCGTATAGTAGTTTATTCGCCATGAGATAGATTTTCCTTCCACTGTATTTGTATAGCACTGACTGGGTAAAGACATGGTCCGGATTGCGTCCGCGGCTAATGATCCCAGTATACTTTCTTTCTGGTCTTTGTGTCTGTTGTATTTGCCATTAAGTTTAGGAGATAATATCGACCAGCCCCAGTTGAGATCAAAGCAAGATGTAGAGGAACAAGGCTGTGCACGTATTAAATCCTCATGGTGGTCCGTATATAGAAAGTGGAAGGGGGAGGAAGGAGCCGTGTCGCGAGTTGCCCAGTGCGTGCTGGGAGTAGCCTAGTGCATGTTGGGAGAAGCCTGGTCCGTGTATATATCGACTAGCCGCACTTAAGATCGAAACAAGATGAAGAGAAACAAGACTGTTCATATATTAAATCCTAATGGTGGTCCGTATATGGAAAGTGGAAGGAGGAAGGAGCCGTGCCGTGAGGAGTCCAGTGCGTGCATTTAAAAAGTTTCCTCCCTTCATCGACAACTCTTCTCCGCAAAAATTCGTACTTCCACGCACATCGTTCCACGCATTTCATCCCAACCCATCACGTGATCACGATACCCTAACCACAACCATGTCTCCCAAGAAAGGCTCCAAGATGAGCCCCAAGAACGGCCCCAAGAAGGGCGCCAAGAAGGCAGCCCGCCGATTCCGTGTCAAGAAGCTTCGTGCCAAGAAGCTCCTTGCCAGAAAGGCAGCTGCCAGAGTGAAGGCTGTTTCCGAGGATCTCCACATGCTGTGGACGGCCTACAAGATTGCATCTGAGGGTGCCCCGGTGAGCAGAGCTATCCTACACTACTCGAGATCCACTTCCTAATCAATTCATCTGTTTCATCTGATAGGCATCTGACAAGAACATTGCTGAGAGACTGGGGATTAGTGAGGGCGCTGCCAGCGATAAATGGTGGGCCCTTCGGTCCAAGGTCGCGCCTTTTGATGCCGAGTACCAGGCCGAGCGTATCCTCGCCGAAGGCAGGAAGGACAAGGAGATGACCGAGAAGCAGGAGGAGGAGGAGGCAGAGGAGGAAGATGAGGAGGAAGAGGAAATTGTTGAAGAGAACGAGGCAGACAACGAGGCAGACAACGAGGCAGACAACGATGCAGACGATGAGGCAGACGACCAGCCAGACCAGCCAGGCCAGGCATTCTCTCTACCTTGCAGATTTCGATACTATGGCACAGTTTGAAGCCCTCCTCGGCCGAGAAGTGACTGAGCAGTGATGTCTATATTGAACATAAATCATCTGCCAAGATCAGCACAAACTTGATACCCGAGGATCCCACTGCGTTTGTGGTTTACTCTAATGGGTCAGATTCTCCAATCTATCATATTGAAGTCTTCTTCTTTATTTGTCCCTTCCCCTGCCTAAACCAAAAGCTGTACCTGTAACGATCCTATAAGCTGTTTTTGAGTCATTGGACGATGACAAAAGCACTGCATACGGTCCGAAAACGACGACTCTGGAAATAATGGTGCAAGTCACTAATAGTGGTTGAATGTCCTATTCGGCACACGGGTTGTATTTCATGGCCTTGGTCCGTATTTCCCAGTCAACTCGTATGTTTCTGTAACATCCACATGGCTAGCCTTCTACTCACACTGTCCACTGGACAAAAAACCCTACTGCTGCTTGCTTGTATGACTCTAATCAATGTGAGACCAAAGAGCTTGCATAAGAAGGCCATTAGTGTGTTTCTTAATGAGAAGGTGGAGTGGAGTATCGTGTAATCTTGTAACAGGATAGTAATGTAAATTCAAAGCCCAGAGAGAACAATCTTCCATTGATATCTAATCGGGAACCAAATAATTCACTTTCTTCCACAGACCCAGCCTTGACGACAGTCAAACTTAGGGCGGCAGCGGTGATAGGCACCACACCGAGACTCATCAACCTCCCTATCATAGTCAGGAAAAACTCGAACCGAAGAGCAATTCGACGATGCATCATCATATGGAGAGACACGAGAGCCAGTATTAGAATGATAGTCCTTGTGACAGCAATCGCAGTGCCGAATCTCCGGGTCTGCGGGCGTGGGGTGCCTTTTGCAGGTGCATTTGGCCTGGAGTGGCTTAGTTCGAGGCTTTCCAGTCAAATGGTGCGTATGGGGTGGTGTTGGATACGGGCCCCGCGTAGCAGGGGGATCCTCCCAGCCGAAGACTCTGCGGCACGAGTAGCAGGATTGAAGAGGAGATATCGATGTCGGCTTGGGTATCTGCGGACGCATTACAGATGCAGGTGATACGTTTTGGGACTGACATTCCGGGCACACTGTGACGGGTGGGCTGATGGGTCTGTGGCAGGTGCATTGAGCTTTCTCTGGAGATGGCTCTCGTTGCTCCCGCCCGCGTTTCACGGATGATGTACAGCAGTATACTCCTCGGATAATCTCGTCCTCAGAGCCATGGCTTATGCTGGGGCTTGGGGGAGGTGTTGGTTCATGATGCTGATGTTGATTTTGATGTTGTTGCTGGTGCTGGTGCTGGCAATCGTAGCACATACATGGCGGTTTCACCGGGGGCGCAGGTGGAGACAGCGACCTGTTTGACAGACATTCTTTGTGGGAGCAACTGTGACCGCCAGCGCAGGGCACCCTTTTGATTTGCTCAACCCAATCAAGGTTTTTAACATAAGGCTTTCCCATCCAAAAGTTCGCATGTGGAATACCGCGTCTTGATCGCCCCATAGTGATGAAAGAGAAAGCTAGCTTGAACTTTGACTAGACAACGAAGAAAGACCTGTAAAGAATTAACAATCACATAGAAGAAAAACAGCTTAGTGAATTCGTCTTGGAGTAAAGACAAGGAGAAGGGAAAAGGCCGGAGCAGCCAGCGGTTTTATAAGGGCTAAATTGTATAGATGAGAGGTGAACGCCCATATCGATTGGGCCTGAAACCCCTGTGCGACTGAGTAACCAGTCAAAGCATTGTGATCGATATAGGAAGCAGAATTCCCCGATCAAACCAATGTAACCTGCCATTCCCACAAAGAACAAGGTGATCCAGCCTTACGGACAGGAACAGAGAATGGGATTCTTAACCCAACCAGCATTGAGCCCGAGTCTCACACAAGACTAGGAGGGGTTACCCCATAGTAGAGAGTCAAAAGGAAGATCCATCTGCATCAGAAGCTTTGTTACAAGTTGAAAGAGGTCAGAAAGCAGGTGAACTCCCAATCAGAGAGAGGACGTGGTGCTAAGTTTGATACACGTCTATCCCAGTGTTGCCACGACGCTGTTTGCGTCAAGCCACCTACTGCATACTTCCCATAGATTTGGGCTGGCAGAACAACCAGAGCTCAAGCTTGGACTCACCCTGGGTTTCACCCTTCTCTCTCAGGCTCTTTCATTCAGATCAAATCCAGTGGTTTGCCCTCTAGTGTGCAGCAATTGTAGACGGGACTTATGCCACCGTGGACAAACACAATGTTTTGTGTGTATCGAATACCTGGCTCCAGTAAGGGTAACGGTGGTTCTGCCAATACATGGTAATGAACCAAACCTCCAGCAAATCACGCGCCCCCAGTCCACCCCTTACGCTGTATTTACCCCCAGCACGCCTAATGCCACGCACACCGCTTAATCATTTTTGCTCCAAACTTCCCAAAATCGAAACTCGATCTCTCTCTTCACCTTGAATCTGGCCGTTTTCTGCATTCCCTCAGCTCTTCTCTATCTCATTTGATTAGCTTCTAGCTGTCATTCCCCCAACCTCAATCTTCACTCCTTTGTGTCTTGCGACTCTGTCCGTTCGCATCACACATTCTCGAAACCCGCCACAAGTCTCGCGACAAACTATCTCATCGGTTATTTCGTGGGGGATCAACATCCGACCACAATACCTTATCCATAATGCCTACACCACTTCCATCGAGTTTCGCTTCGGCCGCCGCCGGCAACACCCAGGATCCCAATCGGAGAGGGGATGGGACTAGCGGAGAATGGTATGCAAACATTGCCCTGTCTTCCCCCCCCATATTGCTGGTGGTTCTAATACACTTGCATTGTTGCTGTTGCTGGATCATGCCATTCAATGGCTGAAGCTTCATATTGGAATGCTAACCCGTGTCCAGGTCTCGAAACCGCATGAACGGAGCTACGCAGACCTTCCGCCGTCCTTCTGTCGCTACCAACACTTCCCACCAACGGGACAGTAGCCAGCCTGCATCTGCATCGACACCTACGGCCGGCGGAGCGTACATCCCCCCACACATGAGCTCAAACATCTCTAGCATTGCACGAAATGGGGACTCTCGGTATTCCAAGGATCAGCTTCTAGAGCTGTATAAATCGCAACGGGAGTTGGGATCCTTGAACAAGAACGTGGAGGAATACTTTGTGGCCGACTGGGATCCCCACACAGTGTCAGCTTCTGTAAATGGCGCGTGGGGGAAGCGGGATGACCACAAACCCAACTCCGCGGGGCCTGAAGTGTGCTGGGATCATGGTGGCCAGGTGGAACCTCTCGGACTTGCTACTATGTCGGATAGTGAGAAGGAGGTTTGATGACCCCCTCCGAGGTTGCTGTGAGTGATTATACTGACACCGAATAGCTATTCGCCGCCTCGGTCAATTCCCCTCTGAAGCCCCCACCTACGAACGCCCAGAAGGAAAATGTTGTCCCCGGAACTAGTCGCAAGGGTTCCGTTTCCTATCCCCAAGGCCATATCAATAACTACAATACCGCCTCTCCTACTGCTGGCCGCCCGGGTCCTCGACGCCGGGAGACTAGCGAATCGATCGGGAATCCAATGTCTCCTACCGGTTCCAATTCCCGTTTCTTCCGCGATGAAGCCAATACATCTACCCCTCCCCCGGCTTTGTTGCGTCGCAAGACCGATTTCCGAGAACCTACCGGAAACGAGAAACCGAAGGAAACTCGAGAAGACCCATCTTCTCCCTTCGGTACCCTGAAGCGTAGCTCGACCAATCCCCTGAATACAGGAGTGAGTGGACCGAGCTCCCCTTGGGGCTCGGCCTCCCAAAGCGCCAATTTCTCCCCCATGGGAGCCTTTGGAGCATTCTCACTTGGCTCGAATGCAAACACCCCCACGACCGAGAAGAAACCAGGATACGGAAGTCTTCGTGGTGAAAGTCGCTTCAAGGGCTTGCTGTCGAAGGATAGCTCTGAAGACATGGCTGGATCTGCTAGGGAAAAGCCTATGGGCAATCTCGAACGCCTTGCTGAAAATGACAGTGATGGTCGCTCGCAGTCACCTTGGGGCGATGCCGTCAAGACCCGTGTCAACCGCAGCGAGACCAATCCATTCGACGAGCCTCGCAGTGGAAGCGCAGCTCTTGGTGGATCACAGGATGTCGAGGGACCACCCCAATCTGATCTTGGGTTCGGCGCGTTCGGCATGACGTCCAGTATTCCGGGATTCCGGGAGTTGATGCAGAGCCAGGAAAACTCTCGCAACCCCACTCCTAGCCTGCTCCAAGGCCACGAACCGACCAGTCCGACCAACACCAATCCTTACCAAAGCCCGCATGGTGATCGCCACGGTGATCGCGTGGACACCGAGGACGTCGACACTGATGGATCGGATATCCAGCAGGCCCAACATCCTGGGCTGAGCGGCCTTCGCGACCCATCTAACCCCTTCGGATCGATGAGACGCGTAGGTTCCGGAATGGATCTACCCACCATAGACCGCAGCCAAAACTCCAGCGTCAATGCTAACCGTACTTTCTCTGGACTTGGTGGACTTGGTGGACTGTCTGGTCTGGGCGGAGCTTCGACCTGGTCGTCTGGCGCTGCTGTTGGCACCCCGACTCGTGAGCGTTCTGCCTTCGTAGGTGGCTTCGGCGATCCTATCTTTGGTTCCATGGGAGATCTTCAGTCCCCAAGCTTGAGTACTCTCGGTGGAGGCGGTCTTTTCAGCCCGCATGCTGGAATCTCTGGCACTGGAAGCATTGGACGGTCCAGCAAACTGGGTGCGTTGTTCTCTTCTATGCAAGACGAAAGCCGCCCAGAGTCTGTTGGTTTGGAAGGATCGATCGACCAAGGTGAAAAGGCAGGGCAGCTAACAGGCTCGACACCTGCTTCGCAAACCCCTGTCTCAGCTGTTGGCTCAATCCCCAACATGGCCGGTCACGATTCCACTCAACCTCCTGGAACTATTCCTGCTTCCCAGCAACGGACCATGGTCATGCCGGACAGAATGCGCTGGATCTACCGTGATCCTCAGGGTAATATCCAGGGTCCCTGGACTGGACTTGAGATGCATGATTGGTTCAAGGCTGGATTCTTCAGTCCCGATCTTCAAATCAAGAAGCTTGAGGATACCGAGTTCGAGCCTTTGGCTCAGCTCGTCCGTCGCATTGGGAACTCACGCGAGCCATTCCTCGTCCCTCAGATTGGCCTTCCCCACGGACCTGAGCCCACTGTTGCCCAGTGGACCAACACCACCGCTGGTTCTGCCCAGCCTCCCTTCCCTGGCAGTTTCCCCAGCTTCGGCACTACCTTGACTGCCGAACAGCAGAATGCTCTTGAGCGCCGCAAGCAAGAGGAGCAATACCTCATGGCTCGCCAGAAGGAGCACCTCGCTCAACAGCAGGCTATTATGAAGCAGATGGCACCCCCAGGCGCCCCTTCTTCCTCTATGCAACCCCCACTGCAGCATCAGTCTAGCGCACACAGCCTGCACAGCCAGCCAAGCTTCGGAAGCATCACCTCTCCAGTTGGTTACCAGCCATCCCCTATCCAAGCTCCCATGCAGCAGTCCTCTCAGGGCGTCCCTGGATTCTTTGATGGCGCGCCCATCAGACAGGGTGGTTTACCCGGATCTGGCATGCTCGGTACAGACCTTATCGGTGGCCAGGATCAGCTCCCTGCTCTGCTTGATCGTCTGAACGTGGGTCGCCAGGATCCATTTGCCTTTGGCAGTGCTGGTTCCTTCCGTCAGCCTGACAACTTCCTCCACTCTCAGCAAGTTTCTTCTATGCTCCAGGATCGCGCTCAGCTCCAGCAAGAACAGGAGGACTTCGACAAGGCCAATGAGGATGATCCTTTCGACCAGCAAGCTCGCGAGGAGAGACTTCGTCAGTTCCATGCCCTTCGCGCCCAGGAAGGGGAGCTGGGTATGCGCACTGCCGATGGCTTGCCCACTCACCCCGCCGCTTCTTCCCAGCAGCTTGAGTCTGATATTGGCGCCGAGATGGAAGAGGCCGCCAAGCAGCTGTCTGACTCTGTCACTGGCGCAGAGCCTCTCACTCTTTCCCAGCAGGTCCAGAAGGCTGCTTCCGCCCAGCGCCAGCAGCAGGAACAGGAGCAAAGCCACGCTCCTACTGAGTCAGTCTGGGGCAAGGTTGACAGTGCTATGCCCCAGCCCTTCCCTCCCCCGCCATCTGCCTCTCCGCTTCCCGCACCAACCGCCCAGCGCAACCGTCAGAACGTCGCCGAGTCTCTGGCTACTGGCTCTCGTTCGCAGACCCAGACTCCTGTTGATGCCGCTCCTACCTCAGTCGCACCATGGGCTAAGGAAGCCAACGACCTGCCCAAGGGCCCCTCGCTCAAGGAAATCCAGGAAGCTGAGGCTCGCACTGCTGCCCAGCGTGAGGAAGTTGCTGCCGCCGCTCGTCGTGCTCAGTTCCTCGCCGAGCAAGAGCGCCTGAGCCAACAGCAGGCCCAGGCTGCTCCTGGTCTTCCCTCTTCCGCTAACTGGGCTAGCGCTGGATCCCCTGCCACTCCTGCCTCGACCGGTTCCCCATGGGCTAGCAAGACTGTGCCCGCACCTACCGGAACCACGGCCAAGAAGACCCTCGCTCAGATTCAAAAGGAGGAAGAGGCCCGCAAGAATCGTGCAGCTGCAGCTGCCGCTGCCGCCATGGCTGCGACTCCCAGTCCTCCAGCTCCTCTCTCTGCTGGTAAGCGTTACGCTGATCTTGCTAGCAAGGGCCCTGCTTCTGCCGCTCCCGCCGCTCCAGCTCCTTCTGGCGCTTGGACCACTGTCGGCGCCAGTGGCAAGGTCAAGGGTGCTCCTTCTGCCCCTCTAGGACCTCGCTCTGCCAGCGGATCTGTCCCAATTTCGCCTGTCATTGCCAAGCCCCGCCCTACTACCGTTGCTCGCACTGTGACTGTTGGCAGCGTTCCCCAATCCAACCCCAACCAGGCCATTGAAGAGTTCACCAAGTGGGCCACTCTCGCTCTGGGCAAGGGTCTTAACAGCAACATCAATGGTATGTCTATGCAGACCCTCTTTACTCCGATATGTCTTCACTGTATACTAACATGTCTTCTTTAGTCGACGACTTTGTCCAGCAACTCCTCTTCCTCCCCGCCGAGGCCGAGATCATCTCCGACTCGGTCTACGCCAACTCACAGACCCTCGATGGCCGTCGCTTCTCCGAGGAATTCATCCGCCGTCGCAAGCTCGCCGACAAGGGTATTGTCGAGTCCGTCTCCCCCGGTGCTTTCGGTGAACAGAAAGCCGGTGGTGGCTGGAGCGAAGTTGCAAAGAAGGGCTCGGCTGCCACTGTTGCTACTGCTTCTCAGCGCGAGGAAGAGAGCGCTAGCGCCGCTTTCAAGGTTGTCGCTCCCCGCAAGAAGGGTAAGCGGTAATGGTGTGCAGTCTCTGTAGTTTAGCCTCTTTGCATTGCATCATTTTCTCTTGGTGGTTCTTTAGTCAGCTATCGATCTATTCTTTCCATTTGGTCGAAAATATGCGCGCTTACGTGCCTGCCTCTACGCGTCTGTATCAATAGCATCTCACACTTGTGTTGTATTCAATTGTCTACCCGAAGCTTTCTCAGAAAGAGGTTTCCACTATCATTAGATCTGTAGTGGTTGCAAGTAAGCCAACCGACCAACCTTGGAAGTTCGTTAGATTTCTCAATTAGTAACTCTCAGTATCAAATTTCTTACATCTAAATTCCACCATACCCTTTGGGCAATTAAATGTGTCATCATTTCCCACAACAGGAGCATTCCCTGTATAGACAGAACCTTCAAAGTTCACTGTTTAGACTGGCTTGAAACAACTCGATAGTTGTAAAAGAAAAGGGGGGCAAGGGGATATCTATCAGCAGCCCTGATGTTGACTTACTAACTTCCAATGTATTGAATTCTCATTCCTTCCATCCTATTGTTTGCTGCCAAGCTTCAACTCAGTATTATCACACCAACAAACATCAAGCATTGTGTCATGTGTCTCACTAAACAAGGAAGCTGCATATGCTGTGCTCATTTCTGGAATAACGCCGGCTACATTGGGCAATACATGTTGATTTGCTTCTAGGGAGAAATTGGGAATGAGGTATGTCCAGGACGAAGATTATCTAGATAATGTTGGATTGACTTAGGCCTCGTGATAGATAACAGAAGAATATCGTCAGGCTATGTGAATTTGGTCCAAATGGCGATATACTACTTCTTTTGCCTTTACTGTGTTCTTTTGTCATGGGGAAAGTAATTTGCAAGGGTCGAAGGAATTAAATGAATGCTCACTTCGTAGATAAACATAACCCAGTCCCACCCGATTTTACATGAGACTTTCATTCACGAGGAATTGACAGCAGAGAGATACAAGAAACTCAATACATCATCAATCATTCCAGCCTCGCGTGTGGGGTATTCATGTGCAAGGATAAATGATTTATATCAGACCGGACTCTGCAGCACAACTCGTCTCTGCGTAAGAGACCCAACCCTGAACAACCGTTTGAGCCCCATCCAAGGTGTATTGACCGGACTGTCTGTCCCTGTGTACAGGAATAGATCGTAGATCCATCCCCCGAAGGCGCAGCCGAGGATTGGCGCAACCATCGGGACCTGGGGGTATGAGTTAGCGCATGAATGAGATAGTCCAGAATGGGCTTATAGAACGAACTAGCAACGAGAATGGGGATGTGGAAAAATGTACGGGGACATACCCAGAAGTAATAACCACCCGCCGACCAGACTTCATGTCCGTAGCCAAGCATGTACGACACAAGCCTAGGACCAAAGTCTCTGGCAAGATTAATCGCATACCCAGTCTCCCACCCGAAACAAGCCCCAATTCCAAAAACAACAAAGAATAAAGCCAGAGGAATGGATGTTCCGGCGCCTAGGTTTCCGTCATCTTTCAGCGCAAAGATCATAAACATCAGTATGGCGCTGGCGAGGAACTCGGAGAAGAATTGCCCTGTCTTTGACATGAATTCCGCGGGGTATGTGCAGAAGATACCGGCTGTTGCTGTAGTCGAATAACCTGGCACAGTGCGGATATGGGCACCGCCCTCGTAGGCGTTGATGGCTGATTTGTAATTTCCGTATACAATTGCTGCACCGCTCATGGCGCCGAGGATCTGGGCTAGAATGTAGATTGGAGCTTTGCGCCAGGGGAAGCCGCGGAAGATGCAGTTGGCGATTGTTACTGCTGGGTTTATGTGGCTTCCTGATGCACCGCTGGCGTAGACTCCTAGCATGACGCCGAGGCTGGGTGGGTTTGTTAGAATTGCATAGTGTGTATAGGGCGGCGGGGGTGGAGGTAGAAGGAATGGGAAATGTGATATGATGACTTACCCCCATCCCCATGAGATAGATTGATAGTCACCCTTCTGGCCATGGCTGAGCAGGACCTGCGCAACAACCCCATCACCAAATAAGATGAGGATCAATGTCCCAAAGAACTCCGAGAAAGCATCACGGCCGTACTCCCGTACTCTCGACCAAAGCAGCGGCCGAGTATAAGGACTCTCAATCCCGGGGTTGATATGATGAATCGAAGTCTCGTTCTTACTTCCAAGACATGACGACCCACAGCCGCTATCACGATTACCAGAGGGAAGAGTCTCACGGTGAACTTTCGACATCGGATCAACCTCAAGCTCTTTCCAGGTCGCCATGGATGCAGAGCAGAAGGGAGGCCTTCTTACGAAGAGGGACTGGTCTCGACTTGATATAGTACGACAGCCGCGGGGGGAATACACCTTCCTCGTGCGTATTGATGTGTGGGGTGTACGGGGAGTGTGTGGTTGTTCTTTTAGTATATCAACAGAGCCAGAGCTAGGTCCGCACAGTGTAACCCCTTTTCTTCTCAATCCCCAAAACTTGCGCTGCTGCTTGTACAAATCCAGCTGGCTCGATTGGTTGACACACAGTCCTTGTCCTGCTCTTTCGGGGGCTTCTTTTCAGGATCTGGGGGCGTGCAAGCTTGCAAATGAGATAATCCTCAGAGTCAAATTCGGACAGACTCGGAATGGAAATGGAGTGTCAAATGCAGACATCTTTCTCTTGAGTGGGCTGGGCTGCGATTGTGCCTTGTTGTTTCATTGGTTTTGATTTTGCTTTCCCCTTTTCTTGTTAAGGAGGTCGAACTGTGACAGCGCACATGTAGCATGGCTTTTAATTTTCTTCGTCTTCTTCCCATGAATCCGTTTGGAGGAGTTGTTCGTTTGGCTTGGGATGGCGGGAAACACTGTCTAGTCCCGGTTGGATTGTTCCTGTTCTTTGGCGACGCTGTCGTGTCATTCTCACTGACCAGTAATTGCCGTTCTGTTGCTGTAGAGAAACTTCTATTTCTTCTGTCACTCATCTTCCACTCGTCGGGTGCCAGACCACACGCAGTCCTGATTGCAATATTTTGGAATTCCCTCATCGTGACACTGAGGCGGTGACCATGGTCAACATGGGACAACGTAGCATTGATCTTTGCTTATCGTCGACAGTCGCACTTTCGACCGTTCGTGTGACCATCTATCAGGAGGTGTGGCATCAGCGAGGCCGGGGTTGGCCAGATTGACTGTGTGTGGTGGTAAAAGTGCTATCTTGTCCTCATTTCGGATACTATCAAGCATAATCTGGGCAGAATTGAAATGGCGTGCAGTTGTCAAGTAAAAGTCGCATAGTTGCCCAGGTGAGATGTTGAGGAGTTGAAGTGCTGATCTTCCCCGCAATATGCAAAGTGGTGGAGTTGGAAGATCCTTGAGTTGATCTGTTGATCTTTGATCTTTGACATTCTGATCTGATCTTTTGATCTTTTGATCTTTTTGCTGTGGTCTTTGTGATATTTCCCTGGTCTTGTCTTTGTCCTTCTCGTGCGTCTCTTGGGATACGAATCCCAACAGTCAGCTCGAAGCCAATCGCTGTCTTTTGGCCAGGATATTCCCACCAATCCCTTTCCTCTCCAATTTCCTCGAATCAAACATTTGATACAAGTTTGAATTCTGACCCCGTGGGGGTCTTGTCTTATTTGGTTGTACTTCCCTCGGAGCATTTGCCAAATAATTTCCCATCTCTTGCTCCCCTTCTCCGTACATACTGCATACTGTATAGCCCTATAACCATGCAGTCCTCAGAGATATTTGTGGGATCTATTGACCAAGGAACAACGAGCACCAGATTCCTGATCTTCAATCGTGATGGTGAGCCAGTAGCCTCCCACCAAGTCGAGTTCAGCCAGATCTATCCACACCCAGGGCAAGCCAAACCACCCTCCAGGATCAAGATAAGCCATACAAACTGACAAACCAAAGCTGGCACGAACACAGCCCCTTCGAGCTCATAGCATCCGTAGAAACCTGCATGGAAGCCGCAGTCCAGAAGTTCGAGTCAGCAGGGCACAGCCGCAGCAGCATAAAAAGCATCGGGATAACCAACCAGCGCGAAACTACAATTGTCTGGGACCATGAGACCGGTGAACCCCTCTACAACGGTATTGTCTGGACAGACACACGCTCGCAATCCATCGTCGCGGAACTAAAGCAGAAGCCCGGCGCAGCACAGCTCCAGGCCATATGCGGCCTGCCGCTGTCAACCTACTCATCCGCGACGAAGCTGCTCTGGATGCTGGCCCATGTCCCGAAAGTTCGGGATGCATTTGACCGTGGGACGCTGGCGTTTGGGACTGTTGACTCTTGGCTCGTGTACCGTTTGAATGGCGGCGCGGCGGCCAACGTCTTTGTCTCTGATTCGACAAATGCTTCGCGCACTATGTTTGTGAACCTGGAAACGGTCCAATATGACGAGTCTTTGCTTGAATTTTTTGAAATTAGGGGGAGAGTTCATTTGCCCAGGATTGTGCCTTCTTCTGATCCGGTGGCTTATGGGGCTGTTGCTTCTGGGGCTTTGGAGGGTGTTCCGATTATGGGGTGTCTTGGGGATCAATCTGCTGCTCTTGTTGGGCAGAAGGGGTTCTCTCCGGGCATGGCGAAGAACACATATGGGACTGGGTGTTTTCTGTTGTACAATGTTGGCGATAGGCCTGTTTTCTCGACTCATGGGTTATTGGCTACGGTGGGTTATCATTTTGGCGGAAAGCCTGTCTATGCTCTCGAGGGCAGCATTGCTGTTGCGGGTTCTGGGATCAAGTTCCTGCAAGATAATCTGAACTTCTTCAGTCAGTCAAAAGAAGTCAATGAAGTTGCCAGCTCGGTAGAAGACAATGGTGGATGCGTTTTTGTCACTGCTTTCAGTGGACTATTCGCACCCTATTGGATTGATGATGCCAAAGGAACCATTTGTAAGTCTTCCTCTGATATCTACTGGCAATAGCAATTCCTAACAGATTATCCAGTCGGCATAACCCAATACACTCAAAAAGGCCACATCGCGCGCGCAACCCTAGAAGCAACCTGCTTCCAGACAAAAGCCATTCTCAACGCAATGGAGCAAGACAGCGGCCACACCCTATCTGAGCTGGCTGTAGACGGAGGGATGAGTAATTCGGACTTGGCAATGCAGGTGTGTATAGCTTTCAATCAATGTTTCCGCGGGCAGCTGACTTAACCTTGATTAGACCCAAGCAGATCTCATCTCTATCCCAGTCTACCGCCCCAAGATGAGGGAGACAACTGCTCTCGGCGCAGCAATTGCAGCAGGTCTCGCAGTCGGCATGTGGCGTAATTTCGCCGAGCTGCGTGATATAAACCGCGCCGGTGGTATGGTCTTCGAGCCTCAGATCACTCCCCAGGAGAGTGGTACTAAGTTCGAGGTGTGGGAGAAGGCAGTTCAGATGAGTAGAGGATGGATAAGATCTGAAACATCCCAGGAGGAAGTCAAGGGGGCTAATGAAAATACGACTCAGTCACTGATTAAGGAGAGCCGTGAGAGCCAGAGGGTCAAGCCATACCACTCCTTGAACTTGCAAAAAGCTCAACCCTTTGAGAACCGCGAACTATTCAAGTTAAGTTATTCTCCGGCCTACTCAGTCCTAAATGAACAAAATTCGCCCATGGAGACGCACTACTTGTCGAAGCAAGTGGTTCCACTGCATGCGAAATCAGACGCGGACAAGGCTCCTGGCGTGACCACAACTATCAAGGAGATAACCCATACCTCGATGGGTGAGATCAAGCTCCCGTCCTTGAAGACGCCGCTACTCAGTTTCTTGAGTGATATGCCGGAACCAGATGAGGAGGACTTGTATTTGGAGTTGCGGAAGGTAGAGATTTTACAGAGGCTTAAGGCTCTGCGGAAGCCAAAGGTCAACTTCTATTGATTTTGTCTTGAGGTTCCTTAACGGGTTGGGGATTGAAATGATAGGATGAATATTTGACGGCCGAAATATTTCACTGGGAATTGAGTTGGACATATAACTATAACTTTCATCTGGAATCAATAACTTACAGCGAATGTTAGTCTTGATTGCAAAATGCTGCTCGGATAGCATAGGATCTTTCGGTCATTTGAACATTATGATATAAATGAATCAAAATAGTGGAAAGGGAAGAAGAAACGGCCTTGAAGAAAATGGAATTCGGAAGATATTAGGGTTTAGATTTACTGTAAACTAGGCCACGATATATAAGTAGACCTCTCTCGTTTTCTTCATTCTGGATGTCTCAAAAGTCAGGTAAACCGTAATAGCAAATTGTAACTCCAATCCAAAGCCCTAATATTTATAAGAAGCACGACTCGCCTCCTCTCCTTCCTTAAGGAAAACACAATTCAACTCAGAGCCAGGACTAAGCGTAACCTCAAACCTCAGCACAGGATCCTCAACCTTCTCCTTCCCATTAACAGGCAACGCAATAATACGCTCATAAGCCTGCAAGATCCGAATAATGGTATAGCCCATTTCAATAGTGGCAAATTGCTGTCCAATACAGATCCGCGGGCCACCATTAAACGGAATGAAATGCCACGGCCTGGGCTGCCAATTCGAAACCCACCGCTCGGGAATCCACCTCGCGGGATCAAAGTAGTTCTTTGATTCGGGGCCGTCATATAGATCCGGATCACGTTGCATCAGCATCGTCGAGTAGATGACTCGGGAGTTGGCGCGCACGCCTACTGGTGCCATTCCGTCTGGGCCGCCGCCGCGTGGGAGAGTTGTGTCGCGGAGGGAGTAGCGGACGTTGAAGGGGACGACTGGGTAGACGCGCATTGTTTCGTGGAGCACTGCATTTAGGTATTTCATTTCCTTCAGATCATTGTAGGTTGGCTTTTGGCCATTGGCGCCTACGCCGAGGCGCTCGCGGATTTCCTGGCGTAGTTTGGCGACGACTTCTGGGTTGCGGGATAGTTCGAAGAGGCAGAAGGATAGTGTTCCGGCGGTTGTGTCTCGGCCGGCTAGGAGGACGGCTACGAGTTGGTCTCGTAGGACTCGTGGATCACGGGTGAATCGGGCAAGCGCATCGAGGAATGTCTCACGTTTTGAGAGCTTTTGGTCTAGTTCGTCGGTGGAGAGGGATAGGACAGTTTCGATGTAGGGTTGAATGAAGTCATCCATTACCTTGAGGTTTTTACGGAACTCTGTCCGTGACATGGCGAAGCTGAAGACTCTGCATATTGAGTTGTACAGTTAGATTCAGTTTGTTTTGCTGCCAATGGGATCCGGTGCTGGCATCACACAATATCAGGATTGCTTGCTTACCCGAACCGGAAAAGCTCCGCTTGACGTTGCTGCACGTATCTGAATGCTTCGGCAAAGTGGGTGGCTGGGTTCTCAAGACTGTCTGTTCCCTGGCCGAGGAGGTAGTCGGTTGCTGCATCGAGGGTGTACCGGAAGAAGAGCGACCCGACATCTACAACTCTGCTGCTACTAGGAGAGTGACTACCCCCAAGAAGTGGAATCAGTTTCTGGACATGCTTCTCGAAGATTTCCGTGTCGACAATACGCTCGCGAGCAAACATAGGACGGATGAGCTGTCGAGAGCGAGACCATAGCTCTCCGTCCGTGGCGAAGATGCTGTCCCCAAGAAACTCCTTCCAATCCTTGTGGAATGGCTCGCCCTTGCCGTAATCAGCAAACTGACCGGTAAGCAGAGCCTTGATGTTTTCCGGGTCTTTAGTCATTATAGCACGGGTCGAGATGCCGGCATCAAGCTCGGCGGTCTTCACGTTCGTCTGGCCGCCTGCATTCATGATGGTTTGATCCCAGAATTCAATATCACCGTTCACCAGGTTGGCCTGGTGGCCTTTGTAGATGAAATCGAGGGCATAAGGAAGGCGGAAATGGATCTTTGGAGCTCTCGCACCAAGGCGAGAAATTTGAGCAGCCGCTTGTACCTTGCGGAATACGCACCAGGCGACGAACAGCCCCAGAAGCCAAAGTGCTGCCCGGCCAGGGGAAGTCCCAGCGAGCAGATCTTCAATCATGGCGCTGTTGAACTGGGCCGGATTGAGGTGTATTTCTTATAAGTTCAATGTGTGTGTGTTGAGATCGAGATATCAAACGCAACGAAGAGACTTATAGTCCAGATTAGAATCCGACGGGTCATCACGAAACTACTAAATAATTCGGACATCAATCTCTCCGATTGCCCAGAAAGTGTGAAATGGCCGTGTCCCAAAAGAGAGTAGACTTTGCTCTTTTCAGACCACCTTGCGAGCCCCGCTCTATACTATGACTTCATTGCTGCTCTCCGGTCCCTTTGATGCCATTTGCACCCAGTAAGCATGGTCTACTATTGGCCTGCTGGCTTTAATTAGGCTTAATTATCAGTCCACACTCCGGATCTCCACGGGTCCCGCCTTTCGGTTTCACGCTGAATCTTCATAATCCGGGGAAACTGTGGCTGACACCTCGGTAGTCGTGCATATGATTCCGAGCCCTGCACACGATCGCCATATTCGGTTAGCCAGTCAGCAGCCACTCGAGCCGATGACAGTCGCCAGGGCTACAAGTGGCTTAGGGCTAACGTTATGCCTTAGCCTGCTGTACCTGGCTGCGCTCCAGTAGACACGCCGCATAACGTTGACAGTCTGCATGTTCGGTGTTCTGCTTTTGGCTCGAGATAAACTCCAATCCAATAGAATACTCACCCTCATAAATCTTTCCATCTCATTCATAATGAATGGCAGTGGCTATTGACACAACTAATAATAAACATACAATAGCTTGATCGGTGGCCCATTGATATCTTGTACTTTTATTCGTCAAACGTTTCTTTCAGCTGGGTCTGCTTTCTTCAATCCTATTTTTCAGTATGACGACCTCAGCCAGAATCATGATTCCGCTCGTTCGCTCATGAACGAGATTCATCTCGAAGATCACAACACTCAGCTGCCGTTTTGAGCTGTTATGCCCCCCTCACCGCCCGACCACCCACATCACGTGACTGTGTACATTTTGGTCTCGGGTCTTTAGCCTCACTGCAACTGCTTGCCAAAGTCCCCCTCCTTCTATCACTTCCAAATTCCGACCGGCGCAACGAACAGAGCTACTATTTCACGTTCTCACGGTTCCATCGCAACGTTTTTCCTGATAACGGCTTCCTCAGTCACTCTGAGTCAATCCGAAACGCCTCTATCGGGTGGCGCAAACCCGTTCTTTAATCGCTTTATTCTCCTCGCGATCTCTCACTCAACCGTCACTTCATCGTTACTCTACAGTCTCACTAACCATGCTGCCACAAATCACATTGGAATCGCCTCTGGCGCAGGCCGTTGCGAATGTCATCCAGCCGAAGCTGGTTGAGATGGGTTGGAGTGATGGCCAAGAATCGCCGTTGGTGGAATATATCGTTCTTATGCTTGTCAACGGCAAATCCCAAGAGCAGATCGCCACCGAGCTGTCCAACGACTTCCTGGGCCTTGATGAAGGCGACACTGCTGCGCTTGAATTCTCGCGATGGCTGTTCTCACAGGTTGAGATGCTGAACCAGCAAATCAACGGCAGCGCCCCTTCAGACGATCTCAATATGAACCAGCCGATTCCCTCGCAAATGGGACAGAACCCCGAAGCGCAGTCCTTCATTCCCTCTTTCGGACAAGAGACCAACGGCCAAGATGCCGAGATGGGAGATGCAGGAAGTGAATTCATGTACGTTTTCCCTTGCGATTTGCTAAGATTTGAATGCTGACAATATCCATTATTAGTCCTACCGGGCCTAAGGCGATGCGCAACGGACGCGGCGGCAAAGGGCGAATGCTCAATCAAATTAACCGCACTCTAGACCGCGGCTCTGACGCAGCTCTGCATCGCGTGCGTGGACAAGGGCAAGGAAACGGCCGCATCGGCGGTAACAACCGAGGCATGAAAGCATACCAGAATGGTCGCGGTGGTCGGAACATGGGTGGCATGGGAATGCCCAACAACATGGGCCAAGGCCCTATGATGCAGATGTCACCCGAAAACCAAATGCAACTCATGTCAATGTTAGAAGAACAAGCGCGTGTGATGTCGCAGTTGATGCCTGGTTTTGTTCCCCCCGCCGTCAACCCAGCTTTCCAGAATGGCCAGCAAGGTCGTTCACTCTTCGATCGCGTCGAGCGTGGTGGTCACCGTGGAGGAAACCGCGGCGGAAACCGTGGGTACAACAAGCCCAAGAATACCAATGGCGGCGATATGGATATGGATACCGAGCAGGACGAAAGCAATCCAAACAGCGTTTGTCGCTTCAATCTTCGATGCACGCGTCAAGATTGCCCATTCGCACACCAATCTCCAGCTGCCCCCGAAGGAAGTTCCCTGGATCCATCCGATGTCTGCTCATTTGGTGCCGCTTGCAAAAACAAGAAGTGTACTGGTCGTCACCCTTCACCAGCGGTGCGATCCGCCCACCAGGCGGAGGCCATGTGTCGATTCTTCCCGCATTGCACCAACCCCAACTGTCACTTTAAGCATCCTAGCATGCCTGTCTGCCGCAATGGAGCCGACTGCAAGACCGAAGGCTGCAAATTCACACACATTGAGACCGCTTGCAAGTTCAACCCATGTCTCAACCCCAACTGCACCTACAAACACGCCGAGGGCCAGCGGGGTAATTTCACCGACAAGGTGTGGACTCCACGCTCCGGTGAGCATGTGAGCGAGCGGAAGTTTGTGGATGATGTTGATGGCCCCGAAGAATTGATCAAGCCTGAGAACCAAGAAGGTACTCAGAGCCAGGAGCTTACCGCATGACTCCGCCTGACATGACTCAAGATCACCAATCAAATCCTAAACAGGGCCTGGCCCCGTTTTTCAAATCCAACAATACCATGTACAATCCAATCTGCTGCGAATGAGGAACGGAATGGGAGGGCGTTGATACTCATGAATTTGCTTGTTTGTCTGGATATCTTTTTTTTCCCCACTTTTTTCTTTCTGTACATAGATATCCCTTTTGATTTTTCCAAAAAGAATAATCTTAAAGCGATTAATATCGCTACACCCCGCTTAACATTTGTCTTCCATTGAATATTTTGTAGAGGGCCGAGGCGCCCGTCCCTGGGGCCGGGGAAGTCCCCGGCTTAAGTAAGAACGTGATAGGCCCGAGGACCTTCGCATTTAACCTTCGCTTCTCCAACCAAGCATTGCATGCCCAAGATGCGACTACCACACTCCTCGAGCCTATTAAGGCGAGGAAATCTCGTTAACGTCCACAGTCGCCTGGGCTTCACAAGCACACGTAGCCACAGCACCGCCGTGCTAGGCGGTGGTATCACCGGCCTCACCGCGGCCTGGCAGCTGATCCAAGACCCCAAATGCAAGCAAGTCGTGCTATACGAGAAATCAGAAAGACTGGGAGGATGGGTCGACTCTGAAATCATCCCCGTCAAGGGCGGCAATGTTGTCTTCGAGTATGGGCCGCGGACGTTGAGGAGCTCCCTGCCAGGCTCTTTAGCTACGCTTTACCTGGTACGATCAAACACCTGCTCGCGTGCAATTGTCTTCTTAGGCAAGTATGGCAGCAATATGCTGACTCTGACTCCAATTGATAGGCTACGAACCTCGGCTTGTACAAAGACCTCATCCTTACCCCGAAAAGCAGCCCCGCTGCTCGCAATCGCTACATTTACTACCCCGACCATCTTGTTCGTATGCCCGCGCCCGAACCGGGTTTGACCGCATTTGAGTTCATCAAAAAGACCTTGAAAACCATGTGGAACGAACCTGTCTTTGATAAGTTTTTGCCTGGACTTTTACATGATATCTATACTCAACCGCGTCATGCGACTGAGTGGGCCAACGATGAATCCGTCGCGGACTTTATTGGACGGCGTTTTCACCCCAATGTCGCTGATAACCTGCTCTCCGCTGTATATCACGGTATCTATGCCGGTGACATCGATCAATTAAGTGCCCAGATGCTTATGGGTACGATCCGCGATCTTGAAGGTGGCACCGGGGGCGTTGGTTCGTTTGTGCCTGGAGGCGTTGTCTCCTCTATGATCAGCCGAGCTTTTGCTCGCAAAATGTCACATGCGATAGATGATTACTTGGCCGTGGACGCTATTTCGAGCTCGCTAGAGGCATCGAAAAATCAGCACGACCTAGAGAAAATAGTGGCCAAAGCTAGCACTTTCACCTTTAAAAAAGGAGTTGGCCAGCTGATCGATGCTCTGGTTATTTCTTTGAAGAATTCCGGCAAGGTTCAAATCGTCACAAACTCAAACCTTGAGCGTGTTGCTTGGGATGCTAAAGATGGAATCCTTGTATGTCTTCGCACTCCCATGTCACACCAGAACCATTGCTGACTACTTATAGATCGACCATTCAGCGCTCAGGGGGAAAGGCCTCGAAACAAAGAAATTCAACCATGCCATATCTACAATTCCCCCAGCTTCACTGGCCAAAATACTCCTCCCAGCCAAGGGAACTAACCAGGAATACGAAGGTGTCACCCGTAGCCTCCTCCAAAAGCAAAATTACGCAGTGACAGTCATGGTCATAAACCTCTACTACCCAAACCCAAACCTTATCCCAGTGGAAGACGGGTTCGGGTACCTAATCCCCCGTTCAATCCCCTATGATCAAAACCCAGAATGCGGACTCGGTGTGATCTTCGCCTCAGCCTCAAGCAAAGGCAAAAGCACGCATCCAATCGGCCCAGCCACCAGTCAAGACACAGTCTCGGGAACTAAACTCACCGTCATGATAGGCGGCCACTACTGGGACGGGATAGACAAATATCCAGACCACGACACAGCCGTCAAAATGGCCCGCAACATGCTCAAGAGACACCTCGGCATCACCGATGAGCCTACCGTTGCACGCACCCGTCTGCAGAAGGACGCTATCCCCCAATACACTGTCGGCCATCTGCAACGGATGTATGCTCTTTCAAATGCGGCTAAGATCGAGTACAGCAACACGCTCAGCCTCGCTGGCAACTGGTATAATGGCGTTGGGGTGTCGGATTGTGTCAAGCAGGGTATTCTGTCGGCGACGTATGGCACTGGTAGGGTTACGCCTGATACCAGGGATGGTCCTTGGCGGCCTTGGAATGGTGTTGTTGATCCTCAGTGGCAGTATCAGGGTGGTATTGCTATGTCGCCGGTTAGGTTTACTGACTCGCGATTGTAGATATGCAATTTATGTGACTGGCTCGCATTGTTGTATTTATAGTGTGTTTAGTTTTGTATGTTAGAGAATTTACGGTGAGTGGATCTTTGTACGATATTTTATTTTGGAAAAGATTGGGAAATGGCATATATTGGGATGCTTGGTGCATAATTCTTGTTCTTATTGCAATTTAGCGCCGTGTATTGGCATTCTCTGATATTGTCTGTCAATAATGGTTGGAGGATTCACTTCTAAGTCGAGACTGGTGTCGGAATTAAATATAAAGTGAGACCATGAAGGGTGCTGGTGATCGGCAGAATATGGGGAACCTGGCGGGGGACTGGCGAATCGTCGCTATGGCGAATTGCACGAGGCCAGCGCTTGATCTGGACGAGGAGGAAAATCGCTCTGTGTCGTCCAGCCATATCGAATGCTGCTTACTTTCCAGTCATCGGCTGCAGATATGCAGATTTGGCGGGGCATCGTATCGTGGGGTGCTTGTAGTATGTCACAGTGGCATTCGAATGTCCTCATGGCATGATGTGTAGAGGATCCAGGCCAAAAAACCCAGTAACCCCGCGTTTGAGAACGGACATCAGTCTTTGGATCACTTATTTCTCATCCGTCTTCTTGTCGCCGTTGGAGTCAAATCCAAGCATATCTAGCTGACGCACCAGTTCCTGGATCTTGATAACCTTCTCCAGTTGCTCGGGGAGCAAGGCCTCACCCTGCTGTTTCTTGAGACGCAGATCACGGGCCTGACGGAGTTTCTTTTTCAAATTTCGAGCCTTCTTCTCCTTCTCCGCCTCCACGTCAACGGGCTCCTCGGCGGGCTTTTCCTCCTTCTTAGGTGGTGCGGGTGCCGCAGCCTGGGCACGCCAGTTGTTGGACTCCACACCTTTGGTCTCAGCGGAGGTGGGCTGGTCGTTTTCTTTGGTCTGGCGCTTGGCTTCACGCCGCTTGGCGTTCTTGTTGCTGGCTGCGGTAGCGGCGGTGGTTGCGGCAGTGGTCTTGTCTTCGCCGGTGCTCAATCGTTCAGCACCTGGCACCCCGCCTTTTGCGCGGTTCTTCCAAGCGGCTGCTGCACCGGTCTTGTAGACTTCGACATCTTCGGGGGGTCTGTAGCCTGGCTTGACACGAATCTCCTTGCGCTTGGAGCCGTCAGCGCGTACCGAGGAGGGAATGTAGCGTTCGCCGGTTATGGCATCGGTGGTGATGCCGGAGCGGGCGACGTGGGAGGCCATAGTGGGCGGGATGTGGTTGTTGCAAGAGAAAAGTCAACAGCAAGAACAAGAACAAAGGTCTAGAAGAGCAGCGTCAAGCGCCCAAAGGTGAAGTTGGTCAAAAGCAAAAACAACAAAAGTTGAGTGCGGATGGCCGGAGGCTCTGTGGGCCAATCAGCGGGCCGGGAATTCCCGCAGCTTTTCGCTCAACTTCGCAACCTCACGTCTCTCTCGACTCCATCCTCTCGAACTCCCCTCGGTTGACACTCACTCAATCGCCCACAATGGCCGGTGTATGTCTCTCCTTTCCTATATGGATATTTTGCTATGCTTTGTACTAATCTTGTCGCCGGACAGCTCGCAAACGTTCTCTACTCGCACGTCTCCCCTCCCTCGCTCCTACGATCGCAATTGCAATTGCCCGACTAGAAACTAATTGTGGATTGTTTCGCTTTGTTTAGGACCTTCATCCGCAAGAACACTGTTCTGCTGACTACCGCCTTTGCCGGTGCCTTTGCCTTCGAGCTGTGCGTGACATTCAAACTCCTGCTACGTTGTATGGCTATTGTACGCTCTACAGAGAACTGACCATGCAATTCTGAAACAGTGGCTTCGATATCACCTCCAACAAGATCTGGGACTCCTGGAACCAGGGCGTATGTCACCTCTACCTACTCTGCCTACTCTACCTACTCTCTCCCCCGAGGATGGGAGTCACGGCCTATCTCCCAGAACATTTACTAACTACTACTCTTATACAGCGCCAATGGAAGGACATCAAGCACCGCTACATGGTTAAGGAAGAGGAGGATGATGAATAAGTGGACGGAGTGGACGTTTGTACGTTGAGCCTTGGACGTGGACGTTGGCCGTGTAAAGTGGTGACAGGGGGTCAAAAGAACCCGTGCGACTTGCCCTTACTCTTATTTCTCATTCCCATATGGCTTGTATGCGATAGATGGAAATCTGTATTTTGACTTATTTATACCACATGTGGTTTCGTGATCAGGCCGTAGCATGATGTAGTGTAGTAGTCTGTGGCGTTTGCTTAAGAGACAATCGTCATAGTCAGAGCCAAATATGTAAAACAATAACATTTGCTTTACTCCGAGCATTTGAATCTCTTCTACTCGAAGATCGTGCTCCACCTTCAAATTCGAATCACATATGACTTCACCGTCATCTGCTCGCCTGTATCGGTCCACACCCGCTCTCCTCTTTTTCCCCCACTACAAAGTATCGAGCAACGTGAGACATTAACTCTACTCGACTCGATTCGGGTATTACGACTCGACCTCGAAAGAAAATTCAGTTCCGGCTGCATATCGAGTCCCCCTCTCCGGCGTCGGACGATTCCCACTCCGTTCTGCGCATTGTTGCGACATTTCTCACCACACCTGCGATAGCCGAGCGGCTGCAACACTCCGGTCGCGATAAGCCATGCTCATGCTCGGAGAATGTGAGAAGCTCCTTGGTGATGGTCTACTCTGCTTGCCTAAGAAACACAACAACCGCTATGGCCCAGCGGCCGAAAGGGATCTGCTAGAGCTCTTATTCCGGTCGCTCGTGGGGCACAACCAGGAGCTGGTACAGCATCTCTTCCCAGAAGGTACTCCAACGGGACCATGGAAGCTTGCCGAGGCTCAGGGTGCCCGTGAGGGCGCCGAGTATAGTGAGGCGGCGCGGGGCAAGCGATGCGGTCATATCTTTCGAGCTGGCGAGGCCACCTACCGATGTGTGACTTGTGCCGCGGATGACACTTGTGTGCTGTGTAGTCGGTGCTTCGATTCGTCCGATCATAGTGGACATCAATATCAGATCTCGTTATCGTCCGGGAATTGTGGTTGCTGTGATTGTGGTGACGATGAAGCATGGCGGTTGCCGCTCTTCTGTGCGATTCACACGGACAGTGGCAACGCCAAAGGAAAGGAGCGTGCGAAGCGCGAATTACCGTCTGAACTTGTGAATTCGATTCGTCTGACTATCGCTCGTGCACTCGATTATTTCTGTGATGTCATTTCTTGCTCTCCGGAGCAATTGCGGCTACCAAGGACTGCTGAGGGCATCCGAGAGGACGAGAAGGCATCTCGGCTGCGTCCAGACTGGTACGGTGCTGGTGATGATGAGGAAGAAGACCCTGAATTCGCTGTAATGCTGTGGAACGACGAGAAGCATACAATTCGAGATGTATCCAACCAAGTTTCGCGTGCTTGTCGGGAAAGAGAAAGCTACGGCATGGCCCGGGCGCATGAAACAAACGATATGGGCCGAAGTGTCATCAAGTATTCAAAGGATCTGCAAAGACTACTTACCGTTTCTAAGATCATTGAGGAAATCAAAGTCACTGTCACTGTGCGCTCGGCACGCGACACATTCCGCGAGCAGATGTGCGCCACAATTGTGGAATGGCTGGCCGATATTGCTGGTTGTGAGATCCTCGAAGACAATGAGATCTTCCGTCAGATAATTTGCGAGGAAATGCTCACTCCGTGGAACAAGGGTAGCAGTGGCTCAAATGAAGACATTGGCATGAAGGGCATCGATGATCACCAGAGAAGTGAGAATGGCCCCGGTCGCACGCTCATGATCAACTTGCCTACTCATGGTCAGGTCATTTTGACCGCAGACGATGACGACGACGACGAAGATGATGATGGACTCGACCAGGATGTAGATGAGGATGAGGATGAGGCTTATGTCCAGGCTGAAGATGCGGATGACGAAGACGACGACGAAATGGAGATCGAGCTGTCTCGCCTGCAGGCCGAGCAAGACACAGATGCCATGGACATGGCGGATGCAGATGAAGAACTCGCTCTGGCTGAGCGAATCCTTGCTGAACTTTCACGCGCGCAGCCGCATTCTCCTCGCCCTCCACGTGCTGAAACCGCAGAGCGCGAATCAGTTGAACCGGAGCAATCCAGACTAACTCCCTCTCGCGATACAAACGCTAAAGGCACTGGAACCGGTGGCTATATTAACATTCCACGCACTCCTGGCTTGATCAGAAGGAGCCCGGCCAAGGTAGACAGTCACTGGAAAGTCCAGCCACCCATGCCCGCTGCAGGTGAGAACTTACCACCATATGAAGACTTGTGGCAGCGTACTCGTCTGGACTGGCTGGTGCTTTATGATTTGAGACTGTGGAAGAAGACACGTACCGATTTGCGTGATCTTTATATCAGTACCGTTGTCAACGTTCCCCAGTTCAAGCGCATCATGGGTCTGCGTTTGTCTGCATTGTACACGGCATTGGCTCAGCTTTACCTTGTTGCAGACCGAGAGCCCGATCACTCCATTGTCAACCTCTCTCTGCAACTCCTGACGACTCCCTCCATCACCGAAGAGATTGTACTGCGAGGAAACTTCCTTACAAAGGTCATGTCCATCCTGTATACTTTCTTGACCACGAGGCAAGTCAGTGAACCGACAGGCGTCAATCCCAATGCAACATTGGCGTTTGATGCTGGCTCGGTCACAAACAGACGTCTTTACCACTTCTTCCTCGATCTCCGATACCTCCTCCAATCCGAATATGTCCAGCATCGAGTGCGGACTGAAGAGCAATATCTTCCTCAATTCCTCGACCTTGTCAAACTATCGCAAGGCATCTGTCCCAATGTGCGTGCTGTTGGTGAACACGTTGAGTATGAAACAGATGCTTGGATCAGTGCTTCCATTCTTATGCGCGAGATCAACCGACTTTGCCGTATCTTCTGCGAGTCCTTCCGCAACCCTGACAATGACCATGATGAAAACCTCTTAAGAGCAATCAAAACTACGACTAATACTGCTATCATCCATTCAGTCGGCATGGAGCGCAAGAGATTTGATCAGGCCGAGATTAAGGAAGAGATGAAATTCAAATCGCTGCCACCTTTCGACTTTGAGGTTGGCGCCTCTGGCCAGGTTGTCTGCCACAGAGTTATTGAGTTCGTCGTTGAGCGTGGTTCTATCAGTTTCCACCACGCACTTCACTACACTCTGTCCTGGCTTGTTGAATGCGGACGCAACATCAGTAGCGCTACCATGCGCACTGTTATCTTTGATGCAGCTCAGACAGCGAGGGCTGCCATTCAAGACGCTAATGCGAACGATCCAAACAGCGTTGACGACCAGTTGCTTTCTCTTGGAACTGAGGATCTACTTCTTGCTATGTTCGATTACCCACTCCGGGTATGCGCCTGGCTTGCGCAGATGAAGGCCGGCATGTGGGTTCGAAATGGTCTCAGTCTTCGTCACCAAATGTCCCAGTACCGCGGTGTCTCTTCTCGTGACTTTGCGTACTACAGAGATATCTTCCTTCTTCAGACTGCTATGGTGACTTGCGATCCCAGCAGAGTTCTTGCTTCTATTGCACACCGGTTTGGAATGGTTGATTGGATGGCTCGAAACTACACCCCTCGTCCTGGCTATGAGGAGTCTCAGATTGTGGATGTGGCAGAGGAGTTTGTTCATCTACTGGTTATCATTCTGACAGATCGCACATCTTTGACGGCTATCGATGATAGCACTCACCTCACCAACGAAAACATCAAAAGGGACATTGCTCATGTTTTGTGCTTCAAGCCACTTTCTTTCTCGGACCTCTCTACCCGCCTGAGCGACAAACTTCTGGACTCAGACATGTTCCAAGACGTCTTGGAAGAAGTCGCCAACTTCCGTCCCCCGGAAGGCTTAAGTGATTCTGGAACTTTCGAGTTGAAGCCCGAGAACCTTGACCTCATTGATCCGTACAGCGCTCACTACACAAAGAACCAAAGAGACGAAGCAGAGAACATCTATAAGGAATGGATGGCCAAGAAGACCGGCAAGAATGCATCTGATATTGTCTTTGAGCCGAAGCTTCGGCCCATCAGTTCTGGCGTGTTCTCTGACCTTCCTCGCTTTGCTGGTACTGGGCTGTTTGCGCAGATCGTCCACCAATGTCTGGAATATGTTATCTCGTCTAAGGAGTGTACACCAAGCATTCCACCAACACGTGTTGAGACATTCCTTCAAGTCATCTTGCATCTCATTCTCGCCGCAGTGTTAGAAGATGATTCTCACGAAGATGACATGGTTGACGAGCATTCCAACTCCTTCAATTGGAATGCCTTGTCCAAGTCCCGAGAGATCAAGGTGGGCAATATAACCATTGTTGGCCTTCTTGAGAAGATTTCCGTGACAACCGATTTCACCTCTTCTGGTCCAAAGATTCGTCATATTCTTAAGCGCATGTGGCAGAAGCGCCCTCGCACATATCACTCGGCAACTGCCTCTCTGAAATTCCCCTTCGACAGAATCGAAACCAACTCCCCTGCCATTGATGTGGACGGTGAACGAGAGAACAAGAAGAAACAGGCCATTGAGCGACAAGCTAAGGTCATGGCTCAGTTCCAGCAGCAACAGCAGCAGTTCTTGAGCAGCCAGGGTAATATTGATTGGGGCGAAGAAGACTTTAGTGATCTCGAGTCTGACACTGAGGCGGCCCCGGAAAAAAAGCTCTGGAAGTACCCAAGTGGAACTTGTATTTTGTGTCAAGAGGAGACCAGTGACTCCAGACTATATGGTACTTTCGCGATGATACAGGACAGTACAATTTTGCGGCAGACGGACATCCGGGATTCCGACAGAATTCGCGAAGCACTCAAAACTCCCTCAAGTCTGGACAGATCTGTCGAGGAAATCAGGCCCTTCGGTGTGGCTGGAGAGAACCACACTACAGTCAAGCGACTTGATTCTTCTGGTGGTGAAGTCTTGAGTGAAAAGATTGGGCTGAGCAAAGGGTTTAATGCAAAAAGCACACTGCGGGGACCTGTCACTACTGGCTGTGGCCATATCATGCACTACTCTTGCTTCGAGGCATACTGTGGAGCAACTCAACGACGACACACTCAGCAGATTGCCCGCAATCACCCCGAGAACACACTGCTTAAGGAGTTCGTGTGTCCTCTCTGCAAGGCCCTTGGTAACGCATTCCTTCCCATTACGTGGAAAGGTAAGGAAGAGTCTTGTCTTGCGCCTCTCCCGGAATCCGAGTCCTTCGACCACTACATGCACTCAGGCATTAAGTATGCCTTGAATCAACAGCAGAACTTCCCGGTTCTCATGGAAAAGGAGAAATCTCTCCCGCAGCCCTACACAGACCTATTCATTGAGTACCTCTCGAAGACTCTGGTCCCGCCACTTTCGACAAAGATCGACCAATTGATGGCCTCGTCCTTCCCCGCATCTGCAGCTGCTCAGTATATTGCGTCAGCTCGGATGCCAATGCCAGGGATTTTCCCTCCTACGGAGGACCCCACGCCATCCAGTCCCCTCCAACAGGTTTCGAGTCCTTCTGATAGTCCCATGTCGGAATTGCTTCAAATATATAGGCGACTAAAGAAGACGATCAAGATGAACCACGTCAACTCAATCTTCACCAACACCCCAGAGGCGCTCAACAATGATGATCTTGTGTTCACCGACTCCTTGATCCGCAGCTTTGGCTTCAGTATCTCTGCGGTTGAGATTGCCCAGCGTGGCATCGAGTCTGAGCCGGGCTCAACCTTGCTAGACAAGATTCCTCCCCTGCTACTGACTCACCTCCGTGTTCTATCGGAGACTGCGTTAACGTACGCTGCTGTTGGGTGTCTTCACTCAACCGGATCTCCCAAGCTCCGTACAACAAACGAGTTCCAGGAGATGCATCGACAGAAGATTTGTCAGCTGCTTGTCGGTCACCCTTGTTTGAGTGGTACTCCCCTGCTGAATGATGTCCGTAATATCGAGCCACTTCTGGGTGTTGACACTTTCGTGTTCCTTGCGGAAGCTTCGTTATCTCTACTTCCAGTTCTGAACATGGATATTCGCCATCTTGTTCACATGTGCTATGTGGCTGAGATTGTCAAGGTCGCTGTTACCTTCATTCTTTGGCCAATTGGTTTGAAGGAAGAGCTTTCCAACCATCCTGAAGATCACGCCTCGGTGCCCAACGTATCTGACGAACAATTCGGCGTGACCAAGCAATTCTTTGATTCGATCGTGGCTGAACTTAAGGCAAACTCAGTCGGACGTGCCGAGGGCTCTTCCTTCCCCGCCGAGAGTGGCTACGTCAAGGACGGCGAGGAAACTGCCACCCGCAATGTCATTTACGCCATCCGTCGACTCGTTTCGAGTTATGGCTTGGCGTTCCTGCGCAAGGCAGTGATTCTTCTTCACGTACAACACGGCGTCGAGTTCCCGAACACCGGCTTCGCTGATGTCGATGCATCCGAACTTGACCGCCTTACAAAGGCACTTCAGCTCCCCTCCCTCGATGAGATCCTCATGTCCATCAAACCCGCGCGCAAGAGTAACAACGCTTTTGACGCAGTTGTATCTGGCTGGATCTTCCACTGGAATGCCTCGCGCTCAGGTATTCGCTTCGAAGACCACCGTCTCTGGCCAAGTCTCTCACACCCTGCCCTCTTCGAACTCGTCGGTCTACCCAAATACTTCGACAGCCTCATTGAGGAGGCAAACCGTCGCCGATGCCCCAAATCCAAGAAGGAACTCAGTGACCCTAGCATCTGTCTGTTCTGCGGAGATATATTCTGCTCTCAGGCTGTTTGCTGCATGACCAACAAGCTTGGTGGCTGTAACCAGCATCTTCAAAAGTGTGTAACGCTCCTACCTCCTGATTCATCAACATGAAAATTAACATATATCTCAATAACAGATGTGGCAAGAACATCGGCCTGTTCCTCAACATTCGTAAATGCACCGTGCTCTACCTGCACAATACGAACGGATCTTGGAACTTCGCACCCTATCTCGACCGCCACGGCGAAGCTGACCCCGGTCTCCGTCGTAACCGCCAACTTATCCTCAACCAGAAGCGGTACGACCGACTCCTGCGTGATGTCTGGCTGTCGCATTCTATCCCCGCTACTATCAGCCGCAAGCTGGAGTCCGAGATTAACAATGGTGGCTGGGAGACTATCTAATGAACTCAAAAGATCATTTGCTTTTTTGTCATCGATTATGCGTTTGCACTTTAGAATTTCCTTTCTTTTTGCATGTCTTTTCAAAGGGCGAATTGGGAAACTGATGATAATTGTTTGTTAACGCTGTCCTTTTGAGGGTTGTCATTGTAGATCGAAAATGTTCCAGTTTTATTGTGTTTTATTTAGGTAGGATTCAATACTAAGTTATATTGTTTGTTTCCAAATTCTAGTTCAACAGTAACGAGAAAAGATATAGTGTGCAGACAACAAATCGGACCAATTATTCCACAGAGCTAATCTAAGTATTCTAAGGTAGAGCAAATCTCGGACAAGTCCAAGCAACGACAGGCAACAAAAGTCACTTTAAGCTTAAATTGCCCATTCAAGGTTGTCCAACTTATTCCTAGGACAAAGTATCGCGGATATAGTCTTATCGATAAGGAACGCCAAGGCAGATCTTCACCTTCGACATGCAGCCTTTCGCAACCTCATCTCTGGACCACCCAACATCACAGCCATGAATAACGAGCAATTTTGGCGGTTGCTGGCTGACCAGGGGTCCTCAAAAGCCAAGGACTCCAACGCAACGCCGGGCCGTGATGCGTCGCGCGGCGGCGCAACCCCCGGCGGGCTATTGGGATCGCGAATGCGATCCAGTATTCCCATGACCCCGTATGTCGTGTCACTCTGCGACTAATTATTTGATAAGAGAACCAAATGCTAACCGCGCTTTTACTTAGACGATCTGTGACGGGGGTCGATTTCGGCCGCCAACTCGCTGAACAACGCCAAGGCGATCGTCCCTCGAAGCGGTTCAAGTCTTCCGCTGCACCAAAGGGTACCGCGCTTCCAACCGGGTATCAGGACCGCGCGCAATTGCGCAATTCCAAAGAAGGGGATGATGAACGTGGGGAGGATCTCGAGACACGGATCAAGGCACTAGAAGATATGGTCAAGCTAGGACAGATCGATCAAGCAACATTCGACAAGCTTCGCAAAGACCTTGGAGTTGGAGGTGACCTTGGAAGCACGCATATGATCAAGGGTCTGGATATGGACCTGCTTAGGAGGGTTAAAGCTGGCGAGGATGTCTCACAAGCGGCTGAGAAGCCAGCACCAACGATTGAAGAGCCAAAAGAGGATGCGGATGAGGAGTTTGAGCGCCTCATGGAAGAGAAGGGACTAGAAGAAGTTGCAGCCGCCCCGAAGGAACAGAAAGAAAAGAAAAAGGGCAACATGGCTCCACCGCCTGCCAAGCCGAAGACTCGCGATGAGATCTTACGCGAATTGAAAGCCAAGCGGGCTGCTGCTTCTGCCCCTGTTCCACCTCCAGAATCAACTTTGGGATCGAAGTTCAAGAAGCTCAGCGACGGAAAGCCCGAGAAGAAGCGGTTTGTCGAGCGTGACGAGACCGGTCGACGCCGAGAGGTGCTTCTTATCACGGACGCTCAAGGAAATACCAAACGGAAGACTCGATGGCTTGACAAGCCGATTGACATCGCTGCGGGAGATCTTCCCATGCCTGATAAGGCTGCGAAACCCCTTGGTATGGAGATCCCGGCTGAGATCGCTGCCCGCTCAGCTCCGCCTGAAGATGAAGACGAAGATATCTTCGTTGGTGTGGGTGATGACTATAACCCACTCGCTGGCCTCGAAGGTGACGACGATTCTTCTTCTGACGAGGAGGGTGAAACAGGCGAGTCAGCGCCGAGGAAACCGACCAAGGATACTGTCAGCGAAACAGACAATAAGACCATGACTGAAACAGCACCTGCCAAACCAAGAAACTACTTTGGAGAATCAACAACACAAGAACAGTCCGATGACCGTTCCAATCCTCTGACGAAGGATCCTACGATTCTGGCGGCGCTGAAGCGAGCCGCAGCCATTCGTCAGACCTCTCCTTCCGAGGGCGAAGAAGGCGAGTCCTCTGAAGCAGCTCTTCGACACAAGCGGTTCCTTGAAGAGGCACGCCGTAGAGACGCCATGGATGCTGCAGATATGGACATGGGATTCGGAGAGAGCCGCAACGAGGATGGCGAGGATGATGACCAGGTTTTGTTCGACTTTGACGATGACAACCGAGGCGACAAGAAGAGGAAGCGTGGACCCAAGAAGAGGAAGGGTGACAAGGACAGCGCTGCTGATGTTATGCGTGTCGTTGAAGGCCGGAAAACGGACGCTTCTTGATAGCCTGGTCTTGGTTCTCTGTGTATTAGCTACTGGACATAATTTTGCCAAAATGAAGCTACTCGATACCCTTGCTTTCACAAACGTTCTTTCCGCGTATACTGAAATTGTAGCTCTACTTGTAGTTTGGGAAGGCGTGAATGGCGATGTGCCTACTCCCGGTCTGCTCTTTGACTACATCTGACAGGGTTCTTCTAGCGTGTGGCTACAGGTCGAGTGGTCACCGAAAGTATAGCTGCCACTGTCACTGTATATGCAAATCTATGGCTTACTATGCTCTCAGTTCTGAAGCTGTTGCTTGCATGTCTATGTGCCTGGGAGCGAATGGTCTTATAGTATGTCTATTGCATTCATTCAAGGGTGTATGGCTGTGGTCTGGAGATGCCTTATTAAATGATTCATACGACACGATGATTCAAATGCTGATTCTATTAATAAATCCTCTCAGTAACGGGCTCACACCCCTAAACTCTCTGCTGCTTCATGCGCAATCTTCAGCTTTGAGTCATCGCTTCTCCAGCTTTCACACCTCATGACCAGGTTGAGACATGGTCGATGAAGCATTTAAGCTCGTTTCCAAGCAAATACCTCATATTTCCCACGGTATAGCTGGTTTTGATCACCTGCACAGGGCAAATTACCCAATCAGGAAGGAGGCTCGAAAGCTTTTTGTGACTCTTAACAGACATAAATACCCCATGCCATCCCTTCTCTTTCTCCGTTTTTCTTCCCTTCTCAAATCCCCTCCTCTCCAGTCCCCTTTCCTCTCCTTTCAGCTTCCCATAACAACTTTCGGGTTTCGGGTGGTTTTCCATCATTCTCATCTTCTGGCCATGTCTTCGACAAGCTCGCGGCTGTTTTCAACCGACAAGACAAAATATGACCGTTCTGCTGGCTGCCTCACTGAGGCTCTGTGACTCATACCCTGGCGGTAGGTTTGTCGTTTCTTCTATCTGATTCCTTGGCCTTGCGGTCCTTCTGTCTCGACAGCCTCAGGCCCTCATGTGACTATTTTATTCTCCTTGACGTCTTCATGTCTTCATACCTTTGTTGACTCATATCACTGTGTCATTATACCTTCATGTCTCCATCCTTTTATGCCTTCGTGTCTTCTCACCCATGGCGTCATACTTGGACATATGCTGACCTTTTGATAGACTTTCATACAACCCAATTGTACCCACTTAGTGAACTGCATGTGCTAGACACTCGAGATACAGAAGAGAAGCATGGTGAGTTCCTCACTCGTGATTAAGATGCCTACTCTTCGTAACCCCTTATCCCGTGTACTGTCACTTTGGGGTTAGTCTCACCAGCTTTGGGCATCAAGCTGAGGAAGATTGTTTCTTCCAGGTTCTAGGAATCTTGCCTTGCGTCGAACATTTTATCGACTTCTCTTGACCCACCACCTCTGCTTACCTTGGAATCTATAACACTTGAGCAGTGAGTACATCCCTCGTGATTGACATCCCCATGCTTTGTCTCCCGTTGGGTCATCATGATACGGCTACACTCGCCGGCTTTGCACATGAAACTAAGGATTGCCATGTTATACAGGTTCTAGGGATCCCGCATCACGTTGAAAAGGCCATTTATATGCTGAAGAAGTGGGGGATGGTGGTACAGTGCTTGCACTGCCTTTGTAAGTCATGATATAACATGCTGGCTGATCTAGGTCTGACAATACATTCCACGATATAGGACGGGTTTCACGACGTTGGGAAGCGGAGGATGGTGGTGCAGTGCTTGCACTGCTTTTGGTGAGCCCTCATAGAACCTTCTGGCTGTTCCAAGTCTAAACCTAAATCTCCACAGTATAGGTTAAACACTTCCAATGGGTGAAAGATTTCCTAAAGTATGGACTGGAAAACATAAGAGTTGCTTGTCCGTGATCAAGATTACTATTACTATAGGGTTTAAATCCACTAGCTTTTGGGCATTAAGCCGAGGACGCATATTCACTTTGAGATTTTAAAATCGGAACTGCACTTGTAGCCATATAATTGCATAGCCTTCGATTCAGTTAAACCATCATCTAGGCAGTACCTACCTATCACACGATTAGGAAGTCTATGAAACGTTCTCTTTGCCGGCGTCATGGATGTATTCAGCCAACATGATGAAGATGGCATAAGTTCCTAAGTATTAATTACATTTGTCGCATTGTAGTTTCTAGCTGCCTCCAAACTTGAAACTCAACCGTGGAGTGAGCGCCTGACCTGAGAAGTAGGGCTAGAAGATGGCCCGTGCGTCTGGCGCCGGACTTTATTCTCACGACATGTCACATGGCTTCAACTTGACCATAACTTGACCTCACACACCCATGATACTTCGCTGTCGGGGCAATTTCCGCCCTGGGTTATGCAAACACCGCCCAACTGTAATCACAGGTCCAAAACAACAGTGCATCATGACAGACAACGGCACATCAAGGCATCAATCTCAGAGACCGCACAAGAAAAAACGACAACCTCTGACCCATTTTCTTTGCCTGCCTCTGGTCAACGCTTCTTCAATCACCCAATTGGAGTCTTCCCTCACGGCCTTCAAAGCATCTCACCTACCTGGCCCTAGGTCATCTCCTCCAGCATCTTCCAATGGCAATGCTAGCCCGTCAAGTTTGACCGTACCCAGCGGCGCCTTTCGCCCATTAGGAACCCTCCATCTTACACTTGGTGTAATGAGTTTGGGCAGCAAGAAGCGCTTGGAAGAAGCTTTATCTTTTCTTTGCTCTCTCGACTTGAAAGCTTTAATGAGTGAGGCCGATCGAGTCGCTACTCGAAAGAGAAACACCCATAATTCATTGGAATCATCGGTGTCCACCCATGTGCCTGCTGACGCACAGCCTATGATTGTCTCGCTTGAATCACTTCATGCACTGCCGAGTGCCAAGTCAGCAACCATGCTTCATGCCTCTCCAGTCGATCCCACGGGCCGGTTGTACCCATTCTGTGTGATGATTCGCGACAAATTCATCGAAGCCGGATTCGTCCATAATGAGAATTCAAAGCCTTCCACCGAAGAAATAGCTCAAGATAAATCCTCTACCGATGATAGGAAAGTAGCAAGCGGGAATAAGTCTCCACAAGTAGGGGAAAAGCCTCTTGAAAGCTCAATCACAACAGGAAATATGGACCCATATACAGCTGCATTGTCCCGAAAACCCAAACCCCGACCACTTCTTCTACATGCAACCCTCGTAAACACAGTTTACGTCCGTGGTAGGCAAAACACCCAAAGCAAAGGTGCAGATGGGAGGAAACCACCAAACCGGATCACATTTGATGCTCGCGATCTGATATCCCAGTACAAGGATTACTACACCGATGAGACAAGAACTAGTGCACTACCAGTCGACTCCAAACCAAAGGACTCCTCTAGGTCAACCTCGGATGTCGGAGGTAACAGCAAGCAACCGGGGTCTTTTACGCAACATCCTAACTCAGCGAATTCTCGGCAATTGAAGCCTACCTACCCTTTCGTCTGGGCGAGAGATATCACCTTGGATACAGTCTGTATCTGTGAAATGGGCGCGAGAAAAATTCCTTCGAACCCCCATGTGAATAGCAATCATGATCTGAACAATCGGCTCGGTGAAAAATACACGGTTGTGGGCGCGAGAAGCCTGGGTGAAAAGTAGATAGCTATCATGTCTCTGACCGACTAGGTTGAGTCTTTGCGTGTAAAACCGTCGCTAAAGAGAACTACGAAAAGTGCATGTTAGACTGCTTCCTGGATAATTCATGATTTGAATGATTTTTAATAATAATAATTTTCCTTGTGCTGTTGCTAGTGCTATTAATGCGCGAACAACAATCCCAAGCCTGCTTGAGTTGAGTTGCTACATGTAATGGGGGGTCTTCGTTATCGCATGCGTAGCCTTCTGACATAGCTTCAGGCCCGCGATGAATTGGGCCATGCAGTAATGCAGTGATATGCAGTGCCAAAGACCTGGCATTGAGGTCCAGTGGCTAATGCATGGAGCCCGGCTTGGAGGACAAACAGGACGAAAAACAACATTGGCCATTCAACCTTGAAGATGATAGACGGCGTGCTATGATGCATTGGAAGTTCTGACCTGACATGCTCATATGATGGATTTGAAGAAAATTGAGATCCATCAGATGAGCCCAGGATCGCGGCTGAATCATCTTAATCGGCTCATGATAGTTTCCATTCCTCGCTCAACAGACAACTCCGCAGCCTTGGCCTTGATTGAGGAGATCATGCTACGCTCGAAGTCATCACGGGTGCGCAGCACAGCCTCAACCCAAGAAAGTTGTAGATCCCAGTACTCCAACTTGAAGGACTCATAAACTTCAACAAGTGCAGGCCCTTTCTCAGTTGCCAGCAAGCGAACGAGCCAGTCGACGAGTCGCCACTTCTGTTTGATCGTACCCTCGAAGGAATCGGGGTAATTCTCGAAGAACGCAAAGACAGTAAGGACGTCGTCTTTGAATTTCTCGGTGAAGGGGTCGACCTGGCGTCGGAACTTGACGCCCTTGTTGCGCACGGCTCCCAGGTATCGCACGAGCAGCTCGTCTGATAACTCTTCCACCAGGATTTCGGCTAGTGAGGGGTGCAGCACGGGTGTGTAATCTGCCATGTAGTCTTCGAATGTGGAAGTAATGCGTTTCATGGCGTACTCGCCATACCATCTGCTTGTGTAGATGTCTGGTAACACAGAGTCGAGATCAATGGTGAAGACAATATTGACAAACTTGGCGAGACAGTGCGTGCTTAAATCGACGTAACCATCGCGCAGAGTTTCCAGCTCGATATTCGCCCGTGTGGCCATGTACTTAGCTGTGACGAGAGTTTCAAAGTCGTTTTTGAAGCGCGTCAAGTAACCAAGCTGGCCTATCTCCTCGTTATCATCAATGCAGGAGATTTGGTCGTTGGCCACACCAATCGTCCAATCCTGTAGTAATTGCACGCCTTCGGCTTGTTCAGCGCTTGCGGCTTGATGTTTGGCGCATTCTTCATCGATGAGTGCTTGCCATGCGCTCTGGCGTGTCTTGAGTGCTCGGAACATGGCATCGATCACACCCTCAACCACGTCTGTGCGGTCTGATGCTCCTGATGCCATGACTTGTTCATGAAGCATGCGCCACATGTCTGCCAGGGTTTTAGTACGGAAGTGACCTTCGGCATTGTTGTCAAGGGCATCTGAGACTCGGTCCATAAGGGATCTCTTGTCGGCGTTAAAGATGCGATCCATCCATTCTTCGACTGCGTTGATGATGACGCTCTGCCATTGGCGCACCAGTTCTGGCTCTCGGTCGTCCAGGATGTTGGGTTGGAGCTCTGCTGATGACCAGCCGAGCTTCTTCATTTTCTTGTAGTACTTGTCGCTCCAGTGAATGATGGTAAGGAGATTATCGGCTGGGAGCTCGGGATCGTCGATCATGGCAACCAAAGAGTCGTGCATTAGGCGATGATAAATGTCTGTGTATGTCTTGTAGATCTTCCATTTCTTCGGGACAAGACTTTGCATGCCTTGCTTAACTGTGAATAGATCGTTGAAGTACCACCGGAAGCTCTTTTCCAGGTTCTCGGGGTCACCCAGGAAATTCTCCAATGTTTCTTCAAATTGACCTTGGGCGTATAGCTCAATAGCTTGGGTAAACTTGTCTTTGTACCCGCGCACAGTTTTTGGTCCAATGTTCATAGACTTGAAACGACTTGCGAGATCCTTGTGGTCTTTTTGGGCCTCTTGCAAAGCACGCACAGTGTCGTCATTCTTTTCTTCGTTCATCACCACAACGGCGAGTCGAACAACCATACTCTTGTTATCAGATTGCACCAAGGGGATGAGATTCATGCATGCGGTTCCAAGGTGGTCATCGAACCATTCAATGACAGAGTCCAATCCCTCGAAGTACTCCGTCAAAGTTTCCTGGCTGCTTTGATCATGGGCTTTGCAAATCTGATCCATAGCTTCATCGCGGAAGTCCCGCAGTCGAGAAATCTGCATGTGAGCACGGAGAAGATTAGGCTGATTCTCCATGTCCTCATCGTCCTCCCTGAGCAGCTCTTCCACTTCTTGAATGTCGCCGCCGAAATTTTCCAATCCACGTTTCATCATGAGTGTTGCATCGAAGTGCCGTTGAATCCGAGCTAGCTGATCGATCTGCGCGAAGTCTTCCACGCTTTCTTGTGATTCGGCGCACAACTTGTCGATGCCATGGAGTTCATCTTTGGTTTTCGCGACTTGTCGCTGGCCCTCTGTCAGAGCACCAATGCTGCGTTGTACAGCCTCCAATTGGTCCCGAAGACCCTCTCGCAACCGTGAATCGACCGCCGCCTTCTTCCGCAAGTAGTCGGCCTTTAAACTGCCAATCTTATCTAGATCCTCTGGGTGTCGGAGAAGATCCTCCAGTCTTGGCATGGCGACAGTGGGATTTTCGGTGTTGACTTGCGCCATGATTGCGGTGGAAGTATTGCGTAGGCGCGGCTCAATGCTTCGAGGCTGTCGAGGGGTGAGGTGTCAATAATGCGGGCATGAGATATATTCTTGTGAGAGTAGGTCACGAGAGCTTTGTCTAGGTTGGGTATATGAGTATTTACACCCAAATCGCAAAATCCATAGTCTCCGTTCGCTCAAGTTCGTTATTGTCTAGCAAGGAAGTAAACCGCCGTGCCGCTGCGGTCATCGGATAGCGGCAGAACACACACGTGACACACCGCCCTTTAATTGAATTTGCGGGATCCGCGATCATCTCCAGCTCCAATTCCCACCTCTCGTGCAGGAACATCAGGGACAATTTCGTCGCAGGTATTCTGTGTACTTGATATCTGTCGATAATCTTCCATACTCCAACCCACTACACGCAAATTATCCGTTTCGAGTGCGATTCCATATCCCCCGACACCGCCGAACCATCAGAACAACAAATATCACACCTCCGCTATTCTCCGCCATCCTCCCAAGCAATTACACAGCCAAAATGAGCTACTTCCGCATCACTCTCATGCGGTCCGCCATCGGTCTGCCGCGCCGTTCAACAGATGTGCTTAAGGCCCTTGGTCTCAAGAAGCGTATGGCCACAGTCTTCCACGCCGTTTCACCATCCGTTGCCGGTCAGATCATGAGAGTTAAGGAGCTGGTCCAGGTCGAGGAATGCGAGAGTCGCCTCACAAAGCAACAAGTGCACCTGGAGCGGAAACCTGACCCCGGATACTATGTGGAGAAGACCGTGGGTCGGCAACAAAAGGAAACGCGCCAGCCATAATTCTCTCGTGTTCTCTTTGAGCTGGCCGTGTTGCCTTTGATTTGATACCTGTGTCGAATGGATATTCCGTCGACTTGTGATTTCTTTTTCCCGGTTCACCAAACATTTGATACCCGCAGGGATCTTGTGCCCGGGGACAGGACCATGCACTGTCAGGGTCTTTCTGGAGATTGATCTGTTCGGCATCACCTGGTTTTTCTATTTTCTGTTTTGGCTTTCCTTGCATGGAGCGGGTTGCTTTCTTATTCTGATCATGTACTCTACGTATTCATTTATCGAGCAGATATCTGCTGCAACCATTGTATTATACACTTTTGACATACTGCTCCCTGAGGTTTCTCCTTATTCTCGGAAGGACTTGTATCGTGACTTCGCTCTTTGGGATTGGATTCCCGAAAGATAAAGAATTATCTCAATGCGAGCAATATCTCTGTCGCTGTAGCCCGTAGGCTCACAGGATTAGGACCAGAATTGACATTACGAGGAGGGTGAAGGGCTCGTTGCATCTCTTCAGACACGTCATATAACGTTACAGTACAAACAGAGAAGTAAAATGTAAGAAGAAAGCTCCAGGCTAGGCGAACAACATCAATCTTCGCCAGATTCGGTTGGATATAGTTACCCATTACATCGGACGACATTTCTCTCCCGATTCCTAATATAGCAGGATTGAATATCTGATTCCAAGTCGGGTTTCTAGCACCTATGTTAACTAACTTATGTGGTGGTTACACCCTCTTATCACATGAGAAGTGTGTTTGCAATCAACGTTACTGTGAGTGTCTATAAGAACAAGTGCAATGCGCTACAAGCCAAGCAGATTGGTACAAACATAACTCAAAAACACATCGTTTAATCTTGCAAATATTATAATGTAGTGATTCACGTTGAACGAATGGTCAACCATAGGGGTCCGTATATCCTTCCAACCTTCTCTATATCATTCCAATAATCGTTTACTCGTATCCAATAGCCTTGGGGTACCGCACATAGGACAGCTGTCCTGAGGGAGCCATAGCCATAGGGTTCTGTCCGGAGACACCAGGCTCCTCGCCAAGCATGTTCTGAGGGAAGCCGATATCGAGCGGCTTAACAGCCTCAAGATAGGCAATCTGAGCATCAGTGAGACGAATGCTCAAAGCCTTAATGTTGTCGTGAAGGTGCTCGACCTTGCGACCACCGATGAGAGGGAATACATTAGGAGTCTTGGACAGGACATAGGCCAACGCAATTGCGGTGACTGATTCAATGCCATGTTCAGAAGCAACCTTAGCGAGAGCCTCACTCATGCGAACCTGGTCCTCACCCTGCTCAGAGCCCATCATCTTACGCAGACCCTCGCCGCTAGCAGCGCGCTCAGCGAGCGCAGCCTTGGTCTGGAACTTGCCACCGCCGACGGCGTCCCAGGGGGCGAGAGCCATGCCGAAACGGCGGGCCATAGGGATGATCTCACGCTCGAAGTCGCGGCTGAGGACGTTCCAGCGGCCCTGGTAGATGCTGAGCTGAGTCTTGCCCGTCAGGCGAGCGTATGTGTTTGCCTCACTGACAATCCATGCGGGTGTGTTGCAGATTCCGAGATAGAGAACCTTGCCAGACTGCACGAGAGCGTGTAGGCTGTCCATAATTTCTTCCACGGAAGTTGTGTAGTCCCACCAGTGGACGTACAGAATGTCGATATAGTCAGTGCGTAGCTTCTCCAGAGAGTCGCGGACGCTCATGAGCAGGCTGCGCTTGTGGTTTCCGGCATGGTTAACAGTCTTGCCCTTGCCCTTGGCATAAGCTTTATATTCGCCGGTGTACTTGGTAGCGAGGACGAGCTGATCACGGTTGTCGCGCTCAGCCATCCACTCGCCGATCCATGTCTCGGACTCTTCATTCTGGTAGTTGTTGGCTGTGTCGATGAAGTTGCCGCCTGCCTCTGTGAATGCGTCGAGAAGTTTGTAAGAGGCTTCCTTGTCCATTGTGCCCATTGCGGCGGACCATGCTGAGCCGATGGACATAGCGCCGAGTTGAAGAGGAGACACGCGGATACCAGCTGTCGAAGACAAAACTCGGTAGCGGCCAAGCTCTGTGGGAGGGGCTGGGGCTGGGGCAAAGGCGTCCATTTTTGATGGTTGATAGGTATAGGTCGGCTTGGGGTAGAGGAGTGGAAGGAGGAGGGAGCAACCCAGGGGGGATCGGCTTTATATATGGCTTAGTGGGACTATAATCCATGGACTTGACAGTGATGGATCAATCGGATTGTGCTATTTATTAGACGAGGCCCACTGCTCATTTTCCTAATCGAGGATTTGTTGTGTTGTGGTCTGTACGGAGTATGCTGGGGTTGATCTACAGCTTCAACTATGGCCTGATATGGAAGATCTCTAATTTCATGTTTTGAACAACACAATTAACAGTATTATAAGCTAATAATATATATACACAGAAAGTACCACAAGATAACACCGCAAAGTACCCAGTACAAGGATCAAATGTTATTCAGGAAAAGGGAATGTGTTTAGTTCCCTGTGATTGTCATCCTCTTCACGTTCTCCCAAACATTTCCAGACCGCTGGAACACCTTCTCGGCCATATACTTCATCTTTTTGCCTGAAGGACTGGCAATAAAGCCTGCCTCAACGAGGAATTGCACGTTGCGCCGCACCGTGGCTTTGACGTGTTGCTTTTGTGATGGCGATACCATGTTCGGATCGAGCGTAACATCACCACCAAGACGACCCTCAAGTGCGTCAAAGACCTGCGCGACGGGCCACAGAGGGTGTGAGTTGGTATCTTTTTGGATAGAGTCACGCATGGTCTCCAGCCAGGTGTTGTGGTCCACCTTGCGCAGAGGGTACTTGAGCTCGCGATGGAAGATCTCCCAGAACTCACGCTCAGTGATACCCTCGGTCATGAAGGTGACAGTCTTCATTTCCTCAGGTGGGCAGAACACCTGCTTGAGTGATTCTTCAGCAACGCGGGTGCTGCTAGTCACGTACATCCAGCCGTTACCATAGTCATCACTGAAGGCACTGGCATCCACAACTCCCGATGCCAACCGCCAGACAAAGTCATCAGTGTTGGCAACACCTTCCTCAGGAGTACCGAGAATCAAGCCAGGCTTCACAATACCAAATTGATTGGGGTGGGTTTTGGCAAACTGCTTAACCAACAGCTCAGACAAGTACTTTGTCTGGGCATATCCATTGGCATGCGCAATCTCGTTGGCAATCTCCTGGTCTGTCTCATTCACGTGCCAGCGAGAACCACCGGAAACGTAGGACATACGAGGACGGGCCGGGGAGCTGATAGCAGCCTTGATGAGCTCGGTAGTAGAGCCGACGTTGGCAGCTCGGAGGACCTCAGTACCGGCGTTCCAGTTAACAGCCGCACCAGCGTGAATGATGGCGTCAACAAGACCATCGTTGGGGCTGTTACCACTGAGCGATCCCCACTGCTTCGGATCCAGGCCTAGACGGGGTGCGGCGAGGTTACCCGACCAGACCTCGAGTTTGCTCAAGTAGTAGTCAGACCACCATTGAGCACGAACAGCGGCATCCTTGACCCGGTTGAAGGCATCCGATGGGCTCTTGGCGCGGACATGGGCAATGACGCGTCCAACATCGGGACGGTCACAGACTTGACGCAAGATCTGTGTTCCAAGGAATCCAGTTGCACCCGTGACAAAGACGGTCTTCTGTGGCAAAGTATTGGCAAGGATGTCCTTGAAGAGAGCATCGGCTTCCTTCATCGCGTCAAAGGCGGGAAGCTCCTCTTGGACTTCACCGGAAAGCTCGGCGTCAATCAATGCAGACAGCCCACGAACGGTCATATGACCGTCAAGAAGACGTCCCACATCGACCTTGACGCTGTAGTGTTGCTTGATGAAACTGGCCAAGCTGATGGCTTGCACGGAATCAATACCCATGGAGGCGATGTTGAAATCACGGCCCTCCAGAGGGGTATCCTCCCGGCTGACAAGGTTATCGATCTTCTTGCTAATAGCAAGAGCCTTGGTCTCATCAGCCCGTAGGTTGGAGGTGGTAGGGCCCTCACGCTTAGTGCCCAAGGTGGGCTCAAAGTCGGAAGGCAACTTTGCGAGCCACTGGTCCACTACCTTGCGGTCAATCTTGGTGGAAGAAGAGCTGGGGATCTTGTGCACGACAATCCAGATGACAGGAACCATATGCACAGGCAGGGTCTCCGAAAGATGTTGAGTCAGGGCAGGAAGATCAAAGCCCGACTTTTCGAAGTCCTCGCTGGACACAGCGGTCAGATCAGAGCCTGCTGTCGAGGCAAGCTCAAGGATACCAACCAGCTTGTGCGCATACAGACCGTTCTTAGGATAGGAAGCAACTGCCTGTGAGACATCGGCTGGGAGAGCGATGTGGTACTCGATCTCACCAAGCTCAACACGCTGGCCGCGGATCTTGACCTGTGTGTCCTTGCGACCCATGAATAAAATGGATCCGTCGGCAGCATATCTGACCAAATCACCAGTCTTATACAAGCGATCACAGCGGTTGAATGGTAGCCACGAAGGACGCTCGATGAATGCAGCCTCAGTCTTCTCCGGGTTGTTCAGGTAGTAACGAGCCAGGACGTTACCCTCGATAAGGAGTTCACCAATGGCACCGATGGGAGCAAGCTTGTTATGGTCCTCACGGTCTGTGATCCAATTGGCGGAGCCAACGGAAGTACCAATGTTGTTGGGTAGCGTGCCAGGAACAACTTTGCGGTTGGAAGTCGTGCAGACGCAGCATTCCGATGGGCCATACCCATTGACCAGGCGGACATATGGTGTCCATGCGGCAACGTGGGCGGCACTCATAGCCTCACCAGCCAAAGCCAGAGTCTCAAGGGTGGGGACAGTGCTCGGCTCGATGGTGTTGACGAATGACGGGGTAAGCACAGCCCAGTTGACGCTCATGCGAGTCATTGCCTCGGCAATGTCTCCACGACGCTCAGACTCGGAGGGCACGCAAACACAGCCACCCTGCACGAGAGTTGACAGGATCTCGAGGATACTGGCGTCGAACGCATAAGAAGCGAACTGCAGTACACGGCTACCCATCTGCAGACCCTCCTTGTGGGCAAGGGCAGCGGTACAGAAGGCGCGGTGCTCGATGACAGAGCCCTTGGGAGCACCAGTACTGCCAGAGGTGAAGATAGCATAGGCGGCATGGGTGGGAGCTACGGGAGTAGGAGGTGTCCCAGGGATGCTGTGATCACGGAGTCCAGGGCCAACGGCAATGGCTCTCTCGACCAAGCCTGGGCAACGATCAAGTTGCTCCTCGGAGTGACACATGACACGGGCGTTGACATCCTTGGCCACCAGCTGCATACGACTAGTAGGCTGGGAGGCATCCATGGCTACGAAGGCACCACCTGCCTTCATAACACCGAGCATGGCAACGATCGTCCACATAGACTTCTCAAAGCAGAGAGGAACAAACACATCAGGTCCAACACCAGACTGGATCAGTTGGGCGGCGAGCTTGGATGACAAGGTCTCAAGCTCGGAGTAAGTCAGATCACCGTCCCAAGCACAGACAGCAGGAGCCTGAGGCTGGCAGAAGTTGTTGCGCGAGATAAGGCTGTGAATGCAGTCATTGACTGTCTCTGGAATCGAGGCATTCCACTTGAGGAGGTCCTCCTTGTCAGCCGGGCTGATCACCTCAATGTCAGCCAACTTGTCAGCGGAGGATGAGACGAGCTGCTGCAAGACATGCTCGAACTGGGCAACAATGCGAATCACTTCGGGACGCGACAGCACAGCGTTGTCAAAGTGGACATGGATCTCAATGGAGCCATCAGTGGCGAGGCTGCATTCGAGAGTGAGAGCAACGGTGCTGAAGTTGGCCTTGGGGGCGGAGAAAGGCTGCATGAGGCTGTCCTCGGAGATTGAAGTTGCGGGTTGGATGACAAGCAAGGTCTGGAAGTTGCAAGCAGCAGCGGCACCTTCTGCAACACGTGCAATGTTTTGAAGACCATAATTCTGAGCAGGTGTCATCTCGATGGACTGCGCATTGACACGCTGGAGCCACTCCGTGACGGACTGCTCTCCGTTGATCTGAGCCTTGATGGGAACTGTGGCAATCACAGCACCTACAATGTCCTCAACGCCAGGGACAGGGGCGTTTCTTCCACTAAGAGTGCAGCCAAACACGGTCTCTGGGGCATCGCAGTAACGTGCCTGCACCATAGACCAAGCAGCACGGATGAGTGTTGCAGTAGTGAAGTCGGAAGGACCCTTGCGGCTGAGCTTGAGGTTGTGGACGAATGACTCGTTGGCCAGAGGCTGGTGGGTGGCAGAGGGGAGAGTTGGGAAGGTAGTCATGTCACCCTCAGAGAGCTCCTTCCGCCAGTACTCCTCGGTGGCCTTGTCAGCATTGTTCTGCATCGTGTGTTGGATAAAGTCACGGAATTGAGTGCGAACAGGCGGCATAATACCCTCAATGGCCTGAACAAGGTCATTGAACATCATCTCCAGGGACATTCCATCGTAGATAGAGTGGTGGATAGTCAATACAAAGGTGTTGGTGGGACCAGTAATGATGCCGTGGTGAACAAGGGCATTTCCCATACCCATGTGAGACTTCTCGTCTGATTCCATGTAGCTTTCTAAGTCTATGCCATGAATCCACTCGACATGAGCGCGGTCGACAACCTGGACGGTACCGTACTCATCGGTCTCGACGATTCTGGTTCGGAGGACATCGTTGTTGGTGACGATTTGCTCCCAATGTTCTTTGAATTTGTCGACAGTAACAGTGCTGGGAAGCTCCAAAGTATGGCGAGCAATATAAGAGCCAGGGACCTTGCTGGACAGAGCCATCAGACCGACCTGCAGAGGACTGCAGGGGTAAGCATCCTGAATGATGCTAGAAGGCATGCCAGTAGCAGAGGCGATGTTGGCATGGACGGTGGTGGTGTCCTTATCAAGCAGCTCGAATGGAGCGACCACAGGGACCTGAGATGCAGTTGTAGGTACCATGGTCTTGGCCATCTCACTCAGAACCAAGTTACCCAAAATATCACCAACCTGAAGCTGGAAACCACCAGCACGGCAACGGCGAGTCAAATTCATGGACTCAATTGAGTCACCTCCCAAGTGGAAGAAGTTGTCGGTGGCAGCGATGTCCTCCACGGGGTAGTGAAGGATGTCAGACCAGATTTGACGGAGGGTAAACTCAGCCGGGGTATTAGGCATGCGGCGCTCAGTGGAGGTGGTATTGCCGGCGGCAACGGCGAGTCCATTCAAGGTAAGGCCGTCACCGAAGGAAGCGATGAGACGACGGTCAGTCTTTCCAGAGGCAGTCAGGGGCATGAAAGCCAAGGGGAGGAAGACCGAAGGAATCATATAGGATGGCAATTGCTTGCTGAGCTCGTCGCTCATCTGAGCAGCAAGAGCAACCACGGATGTCTTATCAGCTGGAGAAGAAGAGAATTCGTGAGGGAACTCAGGCCCAAATCCACTCTTGCTGGAGATGAAAGCAGCCAGCATTGGCTTGCCAGCCGGGGAAATCATGGCGACCGCGGTCTTAACGGTGTTATTGATAGCACGCATGTGAGCCTCAATCTCTGTTAGCTCGACACGCTGACCCCGAATTTTCACCTGCAAGTCCTTTCGGCCGATCAAGTGGACACGACCTTGGTCATCATAGCGAGCCAAATCACCAGTCTTGTAGAAGCGGCGAGTGATGCCATTCTGGCGAGCCCATTCCGGGTTTTCAATGTAGACGGCCTTGGTCTTTTCGGGGTCTGCGAGGTAGCCACGGGCCAGAGTAGGGCCCTCGATGACAAGCTCACCGATGGAGCCAATGGGTACCAGACGGTCATGGTCGTTGGGATCAACGAGCCATGAGAGACCTCCAGTGGCTCTACCAATGCAACTCCTTGGTGTATCGGCGTACATGCGACCGATCATAACGACACTGCATTCGGAGGCACCGTAGATATTAATTAGTTGAGCAACAGGGCCCCAGCGATCGATGATATCTTGCGCCACAGCCTCACCGGCCACAATGAGAGTGTTCAAAGAGGGAATGTCTTCGTGGTGGATAGAGCGGGCGAAACTGGGAGTGAAGATGGCCCAGTTGGCATTCAAAGAGCGGATGGCGGGCCGAATATCAGTGTGTCGGTCATGATCAGATGGAATGCAGAGACATCCACCAAAGATTAGGGTAGTAAAGATTTCAAATGTGCTGATAATGAATGTGTAGGCGCCGAATTGGAGGGCACGAGTATTATTAGAGATATTCATGGCGGACGCGTGATGCAGTGCGCTGGAAGCCACAGAAGCATGGTCGTGGACAACGCCCTTTGGCTTGCCTGTGCTTCCGGAGGTAAACATAACGAATGAAGTATCGCGTGGTTGTGAGCGGGAGGTGAAAGCAACCTCGGGCGTGTTTTGGATATAGGAGGGATCGAGCACAAGGAGCTGGGAGGCGAGTCCCTGAACAAGGTCCTTGTTGGATGCAGAAGTAATCACTGTGCGAGCTTCCACAGATTGGATGATGGTATCCAGTCGCTGCCGGGGCTGCTTAGGGTCCAAAGGCACCCAGGCTGCGCCCAACTTCCAGAGAGCAATCATAGTGACGATAGTCCACATGGTTTTCTGGAAACAGATGGGAACAAGATCGCCACGCTTGACGCCGGCGGACTCCAGGTAAACAGCCACCTTGTTAGCAGCCTGATTAAACTGAGAATATGACATTTCTCCATCCCAAGACATCAAGGCTGGGGCATCTGGAGTCTCCTTGGCGGCTTTCTCGATCAATTGATCGATACACACGTTTCTACCTCTCGGGAGGATACGGTTCCAGGTCTCGATCTGAAGGGCATCTAGCTCACTGGGGTGGCACACATTGGAAGCAGTTTGGAATGGATCCTCGCAAACGATCTGGAGGTAATCGGCAAAGGTGTTGGCGATGTACTCGGCTTGGGCACGAGAAACATGGGGCTTGTAGAAGACGAGGTCCAATTTGGACAGCGAGGGATCAATCTGGACGACATAATCGAACTTCATGGCGTTAAATCGGAATTTGAAAAGAGTAGTCAGGATATTTACTTACGGTCCTGTCGTTGACAGCATCGGTCAAAGACAGCTCGGCCTTGACTTGGGGGTTCTTGAGCCAGATAGCTGAATTGCATGGCTTGGGGTCTAATGTAGAAAAGATGCTCAAGGCCTCGGGGACGGAAACCATTGACTCTGCTTGGAGCAGGCCTTCCTCGCGGGTCGTATCGAGGACAGAGATAACGGAGCTGTCATGCTCCAAGCGAGCCAAGCAGACAGAAGTGTTTGTCCATGGCTGCTTAGCAGATCGTGGGTTCATGCCAATGCCAGCAAACATCACATTGTCTGCGCCAGAATAGGAACGCAGAACGGCAGTCCAGGCGGCCTGGACAACCATCAATGGGGAAACACCACACTGCTGGCAGCAAGCATGGACAGCAGCCATGTCCATGGGCACATTGAGACGTCCAATTGGAGACTCAATCGGGTTTTTCGAGTAGAGCCCCGAGGGAAGCTGTGACGGAGTCACATCGGTCACCAGCTGCGTCCACAGCTGGCGAAGCCGACTGGCATCATCGAGGACTGTGGCCGGCATTTTTATAAACAAAGAATTACTATATCCAAGACCAATGAATGGCGGTCCGGTCTGACAGACTGTGCAAAGACAAAAACAAAAAAGAACGCATGAAATCTGGGAAAGGAAAGGAAGTTAGGTTTGTGGAAGCAAGAATGCTATGAAGTACTGGCCCACTCTATTATGTGATCTTTTTTTCACATGGGGTTCCAATGATTCTCCCGGACTTCGGGGACCTCCTATTGTGGACTGTATGGGTACTTGGCCACTGAATCTGAAATCTGAACCAGCTGAGAGGCAAAGCGGGTCCGAGTTGAGCATCGGGACAGGCGAACTAGAGTTTCCCCCAAGTGGCGCCAACCAGGGCGTACACAAAGCACTAGTTTCGTAAATCACTGCGACTAGGGTTCGTGTCATCGCAGCGCCTCCAAACTCTGCCCATTTGCCGATCCGGTCTATCGGTAAAAGCAAATGACCCCATCCTGACGTGGATTTGCAAAGCAGTGGACGGGATATAACCGAGGGTTTGACAAATTCTGTTTCCCGTGCCTGAATGTACCTGACCCAATCAGTTTAAACGATCTTCGCGGATCAATTAGCGAGCCGACTTTGACGTGTACACTGTAGCATAAACTGTAGATGTCTGATGCCCAACACAACCATTGAACTCAGAATTAGCCCTTGCGTGTGCTTCTCAGATAAACAAACCTAAGTTATAGTGGGTCAAATGTGCAACCAAAAACCATGGAACTCAGGGGTGTTGATACCCATGTTGTCACAGACAGCTGTTGTGGAGACGGGTTGAGTTGAAGATGAAGATGTAGATGAGGTTGTGCCGTGTGGAGCCTCAGTCCGACTACGGCTAGCGCCATCGGTGGGGCGATAAACCGAGTATCACCGTCAATACGTGTATTTGGTAATTGTCATTAATACAGGTCGTATGTAATCTATGCGCTCTACTGTACTGTATGTATATCACAGCCTCGCCCGTGCGGTTTCATCGATCTCATTCCGCCAACTCCACACCATCTCCACTTTCCAAAGCTGGAAGCACTTGTATACGTCTCCGATTATCTTTTCCCTATATGACATCTGATTGATGTGCTGAGTGCTGAAAGAATAGTTATCTAATCACCACTCGATCCACAATGTGCCAGCTCCTTGGGCATTGAGCAGAACTCTATGAGGCTATGACCCACGAATACAAGTACTGTACGAAAATCATCGAGATATCCGTGCACCGGTACGGTGTGCTGTAGCTGAAAAGTGAAAGATTTGCGAGAGATCGGCCAGGAGAAATTCTAGTGTCTTTGGGAGAACGATCTCATTCGATCGTAAGCTCCGTTCACGGCAAGGGTAGGTTGGACCCAGAGCTCCGATCCAGCTCTATCCCTTACAAAATAGAAAGAAATGGAATAAATAATAAATTTGCACATGTTTGAGGAAGGAGAAAGGAGGTATCCTGAGAAACATTTATAGCTTCGCCAACCTGCCGGGTGATTCCATATCCAACCCTTTGTTATCCAGTTCTTCTTCCATTCATATCAACATGCCTAGCGTTTCAGCCACCACTCTCCTGAACACCTCTGATATCGAGCTTCTGCGTCAGAAGCTTGCCGAAGATGTCCGGATCGAAAAATACACCCCATTGGCGCCCCCCGAGCTTGTCCAGTACGAGATCAGACACACTGCCAACAGCCTTCTCACAGTCTTGAACAGCCGTATTGAGGCCCGTCAGATCATCCGCCGCGAGTCTGATCGTCTTCTCGTTCTTGTTGGTCCCTGTAGCATTCATGACCCCGAGTCTGCTCTCGAATATGCTGGTCGTCTCCGCGAGCTTTCGGAAGAGCTGCGGGATGATCTTTGCATTGTCATGCGCGCCTACCTGGAGAAGCCCCGTTCAACTGTCGGCTGGAAGGGTCTGATCAACGACCCCGACGTCGATGAATCCTTCGACACAAACAAGGGTGTTAAGATTGCCCGTCAGTTACTTGTAGACATCACCAACACCGGTGTTCCCGTCGCTTGTGAGATGCTGGACACCATTTCTCCTCAGTACACTGCGGATCTCATCAGTGTCGGTGCCGTTGGCGCCCGTACTACTGAGTCCCAGTTGCACCGTGAGTTGGCGTCTGGTCTCTCATTCCCTGTCGGTTTCAAAAACTCCACCGATGGCACAGTTGGCTCTGCCGTAGACTCTCTGAAGTCCATGCGTGCCCGTCACAACTTCCTCAGTGTCACCAAGCAAGGTGTCATTGCCACCACTACCACCAAGGGTAACGAGGACGGCTACGTCATCTTGCGTGGAGGCTCCAAGGGCACAAACTTCGATGCCGCCTCTGTGCAGGCCACTTGTGAGCTGCTGCGCTCCAAGAACGAGCGTGAGGTCGTCATGATTGACTGCTCTCATGGTATGTTCCTTTTCTCTTCCTCGAATTGATAGAGTCATCACTGACAATCACAGGTAATTCTCAAAAGGATCACCGCAACCAGCCCAAGGTGCTTAAGGTCATTGAGGAGCAGATGCGCCAGGGTGAGAACGGCATCATTGGTGTCATGGTGGAGTCCAATATCCGCGAGGGAAACCAAAAGCCCGCCAAGGGTTTGGAGGGCTGCGAGAAGGGTGTCAGTATCACTGACGCCTGCATTGACTGGGAGACCACTGAGCAGTCAATGCGCTCGTTGGCTTCGGCGGTCCGCGACCGCCGCGCGCGTGCTGCCATTGGAAAGAACTAAAAGTCATGCTTGTTTTCGGAGTTCATAACTGTATTTAATTAGCAGCTGCGTATTAGTCGGCTTAATATATTTTCTTGTGTCAATGTCAATGTTAATGTGGATGATTAAAATATATCTTTAACCAATGTATACTCACAACTGGACCATCTTAGTTTGTAAGGAAAGCAGTTTTGGATAGACACCAGCCTTTAATAGAGACATAAGTCAATGGTGAGCCGTAAGACCATGAAGTCTCTTTGGACTTCAACGATTCAAATCGGGTTGCAAAAGATCCACATCAGACATTCAGGTTGTTAGTGGCCATCTTTGATGAGTGTCGGCCTTAATCAGCCGCCGCTGTATGGTGTAAGTTCATCAACATGATATGCAAAATGAACTAGCAAAATTGAACAGATGGTGGGTAGGAGAGGAGAGTTCCTTATAACTGAACTACAATTACACACAATGGAAGAGATCTACATTGACCGGAAAAGCGTTTAGGGGGCTTCAAACACAGTACATTAAGCTGGCCGGGTAATCGGATAGCCACTATGGAATGTAGCCCTAATTGTGCACAGCCCCTTCCCTTTCCGTCCTCCATCGTCCTCCGTTCCTAGCCGTAACCCTACTTCTGTCCACGGGTTCCAGTTTCTTGTCTAGCGATATGTCAGTTGCCGTTCCGCTATCCGTTCAGAGGTCTGTAGATCTAGATCTTCATGTACAATACATACCGTGCCTGTCGATCGATCGATCTAGCATAAGCGAAGGAAGGAGATGTTGTTGGTAACATCGCCTTCATTCACAGGGTCCACGTTGCCGTCACTCGGGGGACCGGAGCGCTGAGCTTGTTAGTATAGTTCTGTTGATATTGGGCTTGGAATCAGACTTACCATCTTTAGCTTCCGCTGTAGACGAGTTTGGTTAATCAAGATTTCCAAAGAACATAGATCGGGTTATCTTACGCACTGTTGCAAATTAGTAGAGTTTTCGATCTAAGGGGAGAGGGGTCAACCATACAAGCTGTAATCGGTGAAAGAGACATCTTAGCAAATGCCATGTCATCATAACTGAACAGGTAATCATGCACTTACGCTCTGTAAAGGGTTAGCATACACATTCATCCAGTTCAAATAGTAAATGGCTACTTACCAACTAAAGTCAACCAATCGACAAGGTCAGTTTGGCAACACTTTACTGACGTCTTCGACGGGGATTCTCACAAACTGCAACAGTTAGCATACCATACCGCGATCCACCCGAGATGAACACTCACGCTCTGTTGTTGATCAGCCGTGTTCGATAGTCATCGTAGTCAGCCCTTCCATAGACCTCGGGATCACCAAATACTCACGACCTATGAAATCGTTAGCCGAATACTGATACAGTCAGACATTGATCCACTTACATTCTGTATGAATCGTGTCAGACATGCTGGGTCGATTAGAAGTCTCGGCGTAGATCAGAGCCACTTACGTTCTATATCTCGGTTAGCCAGATCCGACATACAATGCAAGGTGGATAATAAACTTACTGTCTGGACAGCTCGGCAAGCATTGTGTCAGTGGAGTTCAGCTGATACATGTGTTGGTTGAATAAGAGATGTACATACCACCTAGTGTCAAAAGTTAGTTACAGTCTAGTCAGATATCACAACACCAAGAGATATACGTACAGTCTGGTACCAATCAAAATACCGGGTTAGTATCTAGATCTTGGGCACTGTCATTCATAAGACACTCACGCCCTGGCTTGTCAGTATAGATCAAAGTGACATGGCGGGAACGAGTCATACATTCTGTGAAATGTTAGCACAATATAACCAATCAGCGATGAAGCAACTCACGTTCTGGAAGCTCGTTAGCAATCGCGGTTTTTCTGTCAATAGTAGTCTGTAGATCTTGAGAATGGAGTCATACAACCTATCCAGTATATTAGATTTCGCTCTCAAGATGGAAATGATCAGATCAACTCACAGGCTAGAAATGTCGATCACGCCAAGTTAGCAACTCAGGTCGGACACATCCGATCGGGTGGATTCACGTACAGCCTGCCAGGTTAGCTTGGAAGCATATCAAAGACAGAAGACGATCCTTACCACATCACCATTCTATAAATCGATGACGAAATATCAGTAAATATTGCTTCACAGAACAGGACGTGCTTGCGAGAGCGGGAACATACGGGGTTGAATGGGTTGGTCGTGGGAGCTCCGAGACAGCCGGCGACAAGGGCCGCAGTGATCCAGGCGAAACGCATGATACAATGGTAATCGTTCGATTAGGAATGAGAAGCAAGACACCAAGAGAATAAAAGTGGGGGAGAAAATAAAAAGAGGGAATGAGAGTCGGGTTGAAAAAAAAGAGGGTCTCAGAAGGGTAATAGCAAAAAGTGAAGAGATTGAAAGAGAGACTGGAGAACTAAGGAAAGAGGGAGAAGGTAGGAAAATGGGCAAGACGAAAGGTCAGAAATTTCCAGGGCTCCATCGCACAGCTCCCGACGATCAGGGGATCGGAAAAGTAGCCAGATAGAGTGCGGGCTTTAGTGGATCGGAAAGGGGCGGGAGTGGATATAGATCAGGGTCGATCGTTTCCCAGTTTTGAGGAGATGATCTAATGGTATCCACTCGGCGCTTAAGCCGCTTTCCATCTGCAGCGCATGAACTATAAAGCTATGGGAAAGAAACGACCTGTGTTTGTGGTTGTCAGGGTGAAACAGACCGTGCAGGAGAACCATGGGCTGCCCATTCCCTCTCAAACACTGGAACACGCGAACAGCTACAAGAATATCCAACCTGTGGAGAAATAGTGGATCGATGGATCATTACAGGTTTGAAGGGGAAATTTCACAGGTTTACGATCAAGCCAGGTGTTCTGTGGGTCCTCGGGAAATTTTGGTATTCCGCATGGAAGCCACGATTATTGGGATCTCAACCATACGAGAAGATACAGTACCCCTAGTCCATAAGGTTCCCTGATCGACATGTTGACCCACTGTTGATGATTATTTTGGTTTTTCCTTGTTTAATCTATTAATCTATTAATCTATTATGGTTATTAACCCTTATTCCTGTTTTGACCGCAATGCCGAACCTTGTTGCCGGTTTGATAGTACCTTGCAGATCAAATTATAACATGAAGTTCGAATTAATTATACACGTACAAAATACTATTTACACAGAAGGGTGTTGTGTCCGTGTCGCCATCATCGTTTCACGCACAAAGTTAACGCCTCCGTAGAAGCTCCCGATGACCGTATCGGGCCGCGAAGTAGGCGGCAGTGATACCTAGTCCGAACACGGCAATCTTCTTTCCAAACCGGAGGAACGCGGCGCGCACGACTGTCGCCGACTTTTCTTTGAAAACAGCAGCATCATTGGCCCGCGGGAACGGAGTCTCGGGGATGGGCTTGCCTAGGAACTGGCACAGTGGCTCCCATCCTTCCTTGGGGTTCCATTCGAGGAGGTTGTCAGCCGGGACAACTCGGCGCACATGATCATAGTGTTCGACAAAGGCCTGGCGACCATTGCGCTCGAAATCTCCGCGGAATAGCCCGTTAAAGCCAACACGACACATGTGGTTGCCAACACCAAAGGCCTCCCAATCGATCCAGCCCATGAGTGTGGCCATTGGGCTGTAGGTCTGGGTCATAATGGTCTTTTGCATCGAGCGCACCCAGTCATCCGGATCCCGCAGAGTCAGTACCACTTTAGCATCGGGGTAGGCCTGGGTCAGCTCCTCCACGAAGACGGCACCGGGGAAATCGGTGATAGCCTCAACGTGGCCAAGCAATTGGTCCCAATCCTTGCGTTCGTAAGCCCTTCCTCTGTGATACTTGGCTTGGAAAGCCTCAGTCCACATCTCTGCGTCCTTAGGGTTCTGCATGATAGACGTCATGTGGTACGTGTCGTAACCTAATTCTTGGAGAGCAAGCCATGTCGCTAAAGGATGTCAGTGGCGTTCGCCGAGGCAAGTCGAAGGATTTGATCCAAGACATTGCGAGCTGTAAGTACTAACATAGGGTACCAGTGCGGCACAGTCCCAGGACTAGAACCTGCATAGGCTTTACGCGCTCGCATGTGCGACGGTCAATGTTGCCTTGTACGAGTACACTTTCGGTGTCTTGCATGGTGCTGATGTGATTGATGCGACTAACAGATAGAAACTTTTGACGTGAAGCGAAATCTTTACTTCTTATTAATTTCTTATGAACATCACTTTCGCTTTCAAAGTCTTAATCTCCCTTTATGGGGTCCAGGAACGTAGTTACCTTGGCATCCATCTCCCGAGCTCAAATGCACTACTGGATTACCAATTGACCTTACCGTATAAGTTGTACACATTTCATTTAGTGTCAGGGGTACTGTAGAACGAACGCAGGTGGAGTGAGAGAAGTGTGAAAAATCTGAGAACTTACAGTAATGTACGGTGTTCAAGATGGTGGATATGTTTGGGCCGAGAAGCCGGTGTTAGGTCCACTGGCTGGTGATGTTCCTTGAAATTGCCATTTTAGGACGCCCACATCATCGGTGAACATTCTGATCTCAGTGAGGGCTGTCTAGCTTCAGAATTGACATTCGGAATATTAGAATTGCATGTGTGTTATTTGGGCATGTATACAGCTTCAAGGTGTGCCATGAGTGCCATGATGGCCAGTGCCACCCATGTAGAGATGGTTGTGCAATTAAGAATGCCGAGCGTCACACAGCGCCAAAAGAAAAACAAACACAAAAAATAGCTCAAGATCCCCGAGCCAATGGAAAGCTAAAGATCGACCCACATGTTTGTATCGATCTTAATCTGTATCACGAACGCCAAGACACTACCAAAACGATCTCGATACGATGTTATGACTACGTATTTACAGTAATACCCTGTGGTCCCGTTCCATGGAATTTCTTCGGATACGCTGCGATACACATCTGATGTCAGACCCACCTTTTGCCATCTGGATATACTTCAACCGCATCCACATCATTCAGGTACCCTCCACGGTGGAACCACCCCCTTTCAAGCTATCTCAACTAGTTTGCCCCTTGGTGGTTGATCCTAGGTTCACGATGGGTCAGATCGGAAAAGGTCATGAATTTGTAACCGAGCCGTGGCTTACAATTGAAAAAAAAAACTTTGCAGATCCGACGCGAAAGTAGTCGATCATATGAAGGTTGTTGATGATTCACCTGTCAGTCTTCTCAACTGTCGCAGTCCCTCACAACTCCCAGCTTGCCCCTCGTTCGTCATATACTATAATCCTTTGAATTTCAGGCCGATATCTCGCCCGATTTCGATAATTTCTTTTCATCACTATGTTGGTTGTTGTGCCTGGCTCGTTGGACATCGCGCCATGCGTGTTTCCCACAGAGAGCCTCGAGGGACGGGGCTTCAAATCTATCCCACTAAGCCTGCCTGGATCCAGTCAAATCGACAGCGAAGTGCTGCTGCGCGCTTGGGCTGTGATTCTGCGATACTATGTCGGCAGTGATACAATCTCGTTCGGCAGTGTTGATGACGGCGACTCTGCGTCGCAATTCGCGGTCTGCCATGGTGACATTGATGCATCTGCTGCGCTGGATACATTGCAAGTTTCACACGCTTCGGGCGAGTCAGATAGCTCGTCTATTTCAAAATGGATCGCATCAAATACCTTCAACACTCTTGTGTGGAAGAGCGCAAACCCCTCACTTCATGATTTGGAGAACACATCGGTATGTTGCTACATTCTGTAGTCGACTTTGGGTTACTAATTGTTGCAGTGCTCTCTTGCCCTCTTAATTTCCGATACCCCTTCCTTAGCCTACGCTTCACATACCATTGGCGAAAACGTGGCCACCGCCGCAGCTGAAGGCCTGGCCTATGTGGCCAGCATAATTACCAGCTCTCCCCAGACCACAATTGGCGCGGTAGATCTCTTTGGTCCTGCGTCATGGTCCCAGCTCGAAAAGTGGAATGCAGAGCTTCCCGAAATGATCGAGGAGTGTATGCATGAGATTATCGACCAACAAGCGCAAGCTCGTCCCAAATCCACGGCATTGGAGTGCTGGGATGGCTCCGTATCGTACGCGCAATTGGTAGACTACACAGATCGACTGGGCAACTTTTTGATCTCGCAAAATGTTGGCCCTGAGGTCTTTGTGCCTGTCTGTTTCGATAAGTCTCTTTGGGCCGTAGTCTCCATGCTGGGTGTCTTGAAGGCTGGTGGCGCCTTTGTATGTATTGATCCAGCACAACCAGTAGATCGGTTGCAGACGATCATAAGTGAAGTAAACGCGCAGATCGCTTTGGGAGCCCCAACTTACCGCGATCTGCTATCCGGCATGGTTTCGAACGCCATCTCAGTCGACGCCGACTTCATTCTCAGCCTTCCTACCTCATCTCCTCTTCCTCATCGTGCCTCCCCCCACGATGCCGCTTTCGCCATCTTCACCTCTGGCAGCACGGGCAAGCCGAAGGGTGTCGTTCATGAGCACCGCGCTATGTGCTCCAGTGCTAGACGACATGCTGCGAAAATGAACATTAACAGCGAGACCCGCACCTTCCAATTCGCTTCCTATACCTTCATCGTCAACACATTCGAGTTGTTCACTCCCTTGGTGGAAGGTGGTTGCGTCTGTGTTCCCTCCAAGGAAGATCGACTGGGACGCACCGCTGGTGTCATGCGTGACTTGAACGCCAATTGGGCCTGCTTGACCCCATCCTTCCTCCGATCGCTCAAACCCGAAGACATTCCACAACTCCGTACCCTCCTACTGGCTGGCGAGCCCGTCCAACAAGACAGCCTGGACATATGGCGCAGTCGGTTGACAATGATGAACATGTACGGTGCTTCCGAGGCTTCAGTTTGCGTGACTGGAGACCTATCTGGTAAAGTTGAGCGATCAACTATTGGAACTGGCACTGGCTGCATAACATGGGTGGTGGACCCGACAGACCACGACAGACTTGCACCTCTTGGAGCAACTGGTGAGTTGGTCGTCGAGGGCCCAATTCTCGGTCGTGAATACATCCACCAGCCTGAGAAGACAGCCGAAGTTTTCATTTCTGGAACACCCTGGATGCAGAAGATGCGTGGCGACGTGCCAACGCGTGCATACAAAACTGGTGATTTGGTTAGATATGGAACTGATGGCCGCATCAACCTTGTTGGCCGAAAGGACATGCAGATCAAGTTGAGAGGTCAACGAATTGAGCTGGAAGAGGTCGAGTTCCACTTGCGACAGGTACTCCCTCGAGGCACTGAGGTTGTAGTCGGTCTGGCGAAGCCCGTCGACCAGCTCGATCGACCCATGCTTGCTGCCTTCGTCGCCCTTCAGAAGGCCTTTGGTGACAACTTTTACCCTGTTGATGAGGAAACCGCCGGACAGCTTGAATCACAGCTGACCGGCTGGAAGAGCAAAGTGGCTGAGCATGTTCCTGGGTACATGGTCCCATCCACCGTCGTTAAGCTGAAGCATTTGCCATTGACTGCGTCCGGAAAAATCAACCGTAAAGCAATTGGTGACTTTGCCTGCACACTCACGGTGGCTCAGTTGACCGGAGCTGTGAGCAAGGCCTACAAGGAGCCTGCCACGAGCTCCGGAAAGCTGTTGCGCAGTATGTGGGCGGAAGCTTTGGACCTGAAGGAAGAAGCCATCTCTGCTGATGATAGCTTCCTTGAACTCGGAGGAAACTCCATTGATGCCATGAAGCTCGTCAACTTGGCCCGTAACGCAAGCATCAAGCTGAGCGTGGCAGAGATCTTCACCCACCCTGTTCTTGATGAGATGGCCGAATCCGTGTCGCAGCTAGATTACCAGGCTTTCGAAGATGTTCCATTCTCCTTGATCAAGGAAAATGCTGGCTCTCTCATCGAGGAAGCTGCCAAGCTGTGCCAGGTTACTGCATTGGAGATCGAAGACTTGTATCCATGCACTGCGATGCAGGAGGGTCTGATGGCTCTCTCGGATAGCCGAGATGGAGCTTACGTCGCACATCACACGCTCGCTCTGAGCACAGCTGTTGATGTTGGCCAGTTCAAGCACGCCTTCCAGGAGGTTGTGACAGCTCATCCTGTTCTTCGGACATGCATCGTCTACCCTGAGCAGGCTGGGTCGCACCAAGCTGTTATCAAGGGAGATATTGAATGGCGCACCGCCGATAGTCTTGAAGCTTACATGAAAATGGACAAGGAGCGCCCGATGAGGGCAGGACAGCTTCTGACCCGTTATGGCCTTGTCCCTGATGGACAAGCATGGACTTTTGTCTGGACCGTTCACCATGCTGTCTACGATGCCTGGACCCTGGACTTGACATTTGATCGCCTGGACAAGGCATACAAGGGCCAGGTCTTGGAGCGTGATAGTACTTTCAAGGAGTTCATGGCCCATGTGGTCAGCACTGATGCCGACGCTACGAAACAGTTCTGGCAGGAGTATCTGGCAGGTGCCACACGGAACGAGTTCCCCTCGGCCGTTTCTATCTCCAAGCAGCCGGTGGCAGATGCCTCAGTGGCACATGAAATGGCCATCAATCGCACCGACGAGCTTGCCGGCATCACTATTGCCTCTATGGTCCGCGCCGCGTGGGGTGTTCTCATCGGCTCTCATTCGGAGGCAGACGATGTTGTATTTGGCTCCATTGTATCCGGTCGCAACGCTCCCGTTGCGAATGCAGACCAACTGTTTGGTCCTGGTATTGCTGCAGTCCCATTGCGCGTCAAGTTCCCTGATAACGATACTTTGACAATTCGCGATTTCATTGCTGAGCTGCAGGCTCAGTCTACAAGAATGATCTCTTTCGAGCAAGCTGGCTTGCAGAACATCAGCCGTGTGAGTGCAGCTGCTACTCAGGCGTGTGATTTCCAGACCCTGCTGGTGGTGCAGCCCCATAAGGAGAAGTATGTCCCAACTGACGAGATTGACTTGCGAGCTGTCTCTGATGTTGATGCAAACTTTGGTACCTACGCCTTGACTCTGGAGTGCAGTCTCAAGTCGAATGGAGCCTCTTTTGTTGCCCACTATGACTCTAGCCTGGTTTCCGAGAGTCTTGTGCAGCGTATCCTTCATCAGCTGGAGAACCTTGTGCAGCAGATGTGCTCCGCTCCGGCTGACAAAAAGCTCAATGATTTGGTCTTTATCAGTTCCCAAGATCAGAAGAGCCTCCGCGAGTGGAACAAGAACATCCCAAAGCCTATCCAAAAGACAATTCACCAGATGATCGGAGAACGCATTGCCGAGCGCCCTGACCATGAAGCAATTTGCTCCTGGGATGGCTCTTTCACCTACTCTGAATTGGACCAGCACGCCTCTCGTCTTGCTCGCTGCCTGCGTCAACTGGGCACCCAACCGGAAACCTTTGTCCCGTGCTGCTTTGAGAAGAGTCGCTGGGCTTTGCCCGCTATGCTTGGTGTGTTGCGTGCTGGAGGTGCCTTCCTCAACCTTGATCCATCCCAGCCTGCCAACCGTATTCAGCTCATGATCAGAAAGCTTAAAGCCAAGACTGTCGTCTGCTCCCCCCAGCAATACGATCTTTGTCGCAGCATGGGCGAAGACCTTAACATCGTTGTTCTGGATGCAGAGACACCTGAGGCGAATCTTCCAGAGCCGTCTCCGTCTACTGTGAAGCCAGAGAACGCTGCGTATGTCATTTTCACATCTGGAAGTACTGGTGAGCCCAAGGGTACCATCATTCAACATGGTCACTTTGCCATTGGCTCGGTGACGCATGCTCCAGCAATGCTCATGGATGGTAATAGCCGAGCTCTGCAATTTGCCTCCTGGACCTTTGACGCCAGTATTGTGGAGACAATTACCATTTTGATTATTGGTGGCTGTATCTGTATCGCATCTGAGGAGCAGAGAAAAAGGGATGTGGCCGAGGCAGTCCGTACCACCAGAGCCAACTGGGCGGCACTCACACCATCCTTCGTCAACCTGCTCACCCCTGACGATGTTCCATCTATCAAGGTCCTGATTCTGGCTGGAGAAGCTATGTCTCAATCCCACATCGAAACCTGGGGTCACCGTGTAAGACTGGTCAATGGATATGGTCCGTCCGAGTGCTGCGTTGCCTCCACTTCCAACATTGATGTGACGCTTAATACTAGCCCACGTAACATTGGAACTACGTGCTCTGGTGCTGCTTGGGTTGTTATGCCCACCAACCACCACCGATTGGTGCCTGTTGGTAGTGTTGGAGAGTTGGTTCTCGAGGGTTGGAACGTTGGTCGCGGGTATCTTGATGAGCCAGCCAAGACAGAGGCTGCGTTCGTCGAGAACCCGCTGTGGATGGATCTTGATAATGAGATGAGACCTCCAGTTGTCTATAAGACTGGTGATTTGGTCCGTTACAACGCGGATGGGTCCCTTGACTTCCAGCGCCGGAAGGACACCCAGGTCAAGCTGCGTGGCCAGCGTGTCGAGCTTGGAGAGATTGAGTATCGCATTAAGCAGAGCTTGCCCAACAAGCCAGATGCTGTCGTCGACATTGTTTGCCCCAAGGACGCTTCTGACCAGCCTCGTTTGGTTGCATTCATCCCGGTGCCTGTTGAGGAGGCCCGCCGGAAGCCAAACTCGATCTTCATGCTGAACCAGCCTGAGACAATCATCCCTCCGCTGAATGAGCGACACTTGACTTCAATTTCTGGTCTTGAAGACCGCTTGTCGGACTTCCTTCCCATGCACATGATCCCCAGTGCCTATCTTCCGGTTTATCACATTCCTAAGATGCCCTCTGGCAAGGCAGACCGAAAGACCCTGATCAAGATCGGAAGTGGATTTACGCACCGCCAGATGGCTGAGTACTCCGGTGCTACTGAAGATACTCGCCCGGCCACTACTGAGATGCAGATCATCATGCAGCAGATGTGGGCAGAGGTCCTGAAAATGCCTGCTGCGCAGATCAGCTTGAATGACAACTTCATTCGTCTAGGTGGTGATTCTATCACTGCAATGCGACTGGCTTCGGCATCGCGTACTCGAGGCATCCCTCTGTCCACAGCCACCATCTTCGGACATCCGACTCTTGAGGCCATGAGTACCCTTGCGGAGTCCATGTCGCAGCAACGGCTACCCCAGACCTTCGAGCCCTTCTCTACCCTCAAGTCAATCTCCAAGGACAGGCTTCTTGACGATATCATTCTCCCCCAAGTTGGTGTGCCTGCATTCCAGGTCCAGGATGCCCTGGAATCCACTGACTTCCAAACGCTTGCCATCAACGGTGGTCTCAACCAGACCCGCGGGTGGAGCAACTACTTGGTCTTCGATTTCGAGGGACCTATTGACCTTCATCGATTGCAGACGGCCTGTGAGAAGCTCATCGCCCGTCATGACATCCTCCGCACCGTTTTCGTGTCGACTGGCTCCGCACTGATCCAGGTTGTGCTCCGCTCGGTCACCCCCGAGTACAGCTTGCACTACCAGGATGAGCAGGACCCAACTGAGAAACTCATTCGTGATGATCTCGCCCGCCCGCCTCATCTAGGTGAGATTATCACACGATTCATGCTTGTCAAGAACGGTGCCACTAAGCACCGACTGATCATGCGCGTTTCGCATGCTCAGTACGACGGTGGCTCCATGCCTCATCTGATGCAGGATCTACGTGCTGCTTACCGCCGTGACGAATTGCCCGATAGAACCCAATTCGGTGACTTTGTGCGTATGCAGCTCCACAGCAGTGAGAATGCCGAAGCCTTCTACAAGGAGATGCTCGCCGGTGCGAACATGACCTCGGTTGTCTCGCACACCACATCCTCTAAAACCAACGTGCTCAACACCATGGCAGCCGATATGGTGCCCCTAGTGGCATTCAAGAGCCACGGTATCACAGCTGCCACTGTCGTCAAGGCCGCCTGGGCCCTGACCCTCGCCGACATGGCAGCAACACCAGACGTTGTGTACGGACACATGGTCTCCGGACGTAACCTTTCACTCGACGGTGTGGAGGGCATCGTCGGCCCCTGTTTGAACATTGTGCCAGTGCGTGCCAACATGACACAGATGACCACCGTCCTCGAGCTCCTGCACCACATCCAACAGCAGCAGACCGACACCATCCCCCACGAGAGCATGGGCTTCCAGCAAATCATCAACAAATGCACCAAGTGGTCTTCAGCAACCCGCTTCAGCTCCGTGTTCCAATACCAGGACTTCGGCGGCGAGGAAGCCGCGCCAGGCCAGCCCGTGAACTTCGAAGGCATCCTCAAATGTGCACCTGGCTTCGTTTGCCCTTCGCCAGACGCCTGTGACATGTCCATTCTGGCCACGCCTGCCGGCGACAAGATCCGCATCGAGATGATTTTCTCGAGCCACGCCATCCCGCGCGAATTCGCCGACAGCATGCTGAAGAAGCTCGGCTCCAAGCTCGCCCTGATCTCCAGTAACGTCGAGGGTCCATTGATCACGCACCAGATGCTTTCCCAAAAGCCCCAGATTCCTCTGCCCGAGCCAGGCGTCAAGGTCGCTCCTGCTCCGGCCCCTGTCGATCCTCCTCGCAAGAGCAGTGGTCGTGGTCTCAGTGGCGTTGTCAAGGCTATGGTCAGCGGTATCAACTCCCACCTCTCGCCCCCGAGTAGCCCGATCACCCCAACTACCCCCACAATGCCAAATAGCCCGACCAGCCCGACTGGCTCGGATCGCCCGTTGAGTGCGCAAAGTGGAGGCCTTGCTCCGCTTGATGCTAAAATCAACTTGTTGGCGTCGGTGAAGATTAACTGATCTCTTTTTTTGTATAAATTGTTAAATAATTGTTTGATTCTGTATATATTATGAGCTGAAGAAGCAACTGCACGATTTATTACCCACAAAACCTAATCATCGATTAGGTTTGACCCAGACCCGAACTCCCCGTACTTTTAAATCAGCCATGTCTTTGTCAAAGCAACTCCCGATGAACCCGTCCCATATGTTCGGCCATATTGTCCTTCCGATTGAAGACCCTACCACACCTGAGGCAATTGACCGAATGGGGAGCGACATGCTGTGTATCAATGTGACGCATCAAGGCCCCTTTGCTGGAGAACATATCAGGGTATGTGCAGTCTTTCCAGTTGCAACCAGAGTAACCGTTGCTGGGGTGGGAACTGGGGTTAGTAAAATCGAGAAATTTTGAAATGCCCTCGGCGCAAGTAAAGAGGGAACTTACTCCTGTTTCTGTCTGGAGGCTCCATGACGAGCACAGGGTTTCTTGTTCTTGATTCTGACTTTAGGGCTCACTTTTGGCCCATTCGCCTCGTGTATACAGAGACTAGGGACTGGCGAGACTAGAGAATCGTTGTGACCAAGGTCAAGGGGACTTGTGACCGATGACTCGCCACGATGGTCTCTTGTTGGAGGGTGAGGTGCTGCGTTTGGGCGGACGCCCTGTATACCTGGATCAGTCCGGGTATATTGGTGCAATGGCCTTGGGTGGTCTTGCCAGTACGGATTGTGCATGAGAGAATGGTCTTGCGGGATACTTTCGGTCATCATGAAGGGTGTTTCGGTCCTCAGTTCGGACGGCTGCTGCGTATAGATGCTTTGAAGAAATCCGAAGTCCTCGGTGCTCCATTGACTCAGATCAGGCATGATGGCCCTACCCGTTGAAGTATTGTATGGAGATGATTCCATTTGAATTTGGTCGACGAAATAAGCAGCTCTAAGCGCAAGTATTAAAAGACAAGATCGGTCAATAATGAAAAATGTGAGATTCCAATCTTATTTCCTCAAAGGCGTGGGGTACTTATATAGTACACAGATTCCTCTATTTCTAGGTAGGATCACATATATATCACCTGAATGACTGAAATTCAAAAAGTATGTTAGCGCTTTCTTCCTTTGCGCGACCAATCGGATTTTCGGTCACCCATGCCCAGAGACGGGGAGTGTGGAGGCGGAGGCATAATCTCGATGCTTGTTGGGAAGTTGGTAGACATGGTCCGGTGCAAAGGAAACGCATACGAATAAATATTGGTTTCGGGCGTCCACGTGCCCCTCAAGGTCCGTCGGGGTGCAGCCAATTACCATACATCTAGGGCTGTGAAGTTGGTGCCCAAGATTCAGTATGCATAAGTGAAGCTGTTTGCACCTGGGCCAGAACACTCTGGGGCTTCTAAGGTCTACGACTGGCTGTGAGCAAGCCGCCACAATAGGGTTTCGGGTTTAACCGTGAGGATATGGCCATTCGTTGGAAGAAGGCATTTGCACTGCGACGTCATTTGGAAAGATGTCAGACATACTGTAGCCTTGATCGCCTATCGTTGACGAATCACACTCTCGCAATCTCGGGTTCTTATGAAAGACAATACACCCCTTCCCCCGATCTCGATATGATACCAGGAGTTAAGAAGCAAAGAACAAGCCTTAGAGTAGGCCGACCCAAGGTTCGCCCAGACTGTCACACGTGCAAGCAGGTGGGCACATCTACTTCCACCGCGACTGGTGGAACCAAGCCAAGTAGCTCCGGCCAGCACGGAGGGGCGATACCTTGATCGATTCCGACGGCTGCAGCACGTACCAGAGATATGGCCGATGACTGGAAGGGCCGTGTTCACCAAGTGATACCTGCAGCACGACACGCTGTCAGAGCCATCATCTCGAGGAACTGGAAATTCTAGAACTATGAACTGGTCGACTCTTCGAACTCGGGGTCGGTGTTTGAGGCTACGCCTCAGGAGGATAGGACGTTCTCTTTTGCTTTACAGCAGGGGATTGAGGCTGTGGAGAATGCCTATGCCAAAAGCTGTTTGCGCATGGAGGCAGCTCTTAAGACGTGTGTTATGTTATGTTGGCATCGCTGTCTCTCTGTCAGTCTGCCTCTAATATCGGGCGAGGGCGTACTATGCCATGCGAGAAGGTCGATTTCAGCGGGAATCCCTCTAGGACGATCCGTATGCGAGTGTTTCAAGAGCTGAGGCTACATCGGTTTACAGTATCTTCTTCGCCGCGGCTCAGGCGTGGTCAGGAAACGCTTTGGGATATGGTCAACCAGAATCAGCCTTTGTGAAGGTATTTGGATTCCCGGAGTGATCTTTCAAGGACTATCGGATCGAGTTTCTTGACACATTATCCACTGGACTTTGAATACCGCGTGGGATCCAAAGTACACGGTTTGAACACTGTACTTGACAATTTGGTCCGTGAAATAAGGACAGTGTAGAGAAGACGCTCAAGGGGCGATTCCAAGGCTACAACGGAGAGCTGTTTGCTTTCGTTTCGGCCCATGGGAATACATTGTTTCCCCAAGACCGCGGTTGGGTCATTCTGATGGAGGTCAGGACCAAGAGAATGGTGACTGATTCCGTTAGGGAGAAACTATGAGAGTATGACGAATGAAGATGTCTAGAATAGGTCAATTAAAATGATAACTAAGAAAAGCCTAAGTTCGAAAAGACCCTATTCCCAAAGTTGCTCGCCGAACAAATAACACAAGCCAACCCAAGCATACTGGAAGAATCCCATACACAACCACGTATTATGTACAACCAAAGACACTAGAATAAACCAACGATCTAGTTCGCGCTACCGGCGGGGGCAGCACGAGCGGGGGCGTTTCCAGTAGGGCCCGCGCGGCGGCTCCTAGTTCCATTGTTAGACGGTCAAAGATATTATCGCAGAGCAGATCCACTTACATCATGGTACGGCTGAAGAAACTGATGCCAATCATGAACAACCAGCTGGGGACAGCACCGAGAGCCCAGATAGCGTAGCCAATGACAACGTTAAGCTGGTACTGGGCGAGCCAGCCGTCAACGGGGTGGAAAGCACCCTCGTAAAGGGGGGACTCCTCGTAGGTCTTCTTTCCGTGGATATTGTAGATAACCTCGGGGGTAACGGTGGTGGCGTTCAGGTGGATAGCGCGGAGGGGAGTAGGGGCGCGCTCCTCGCCGGCGGGACGCTCCTGGGGAACCTGGTAGTAGTAGACGGCAGGAGCACTGGCAGACCAGATGGCGCAAAGGACCTGGTTGGCCTCGCAGTCCAGGTAGGCGAGGTGAGGAGAGGTAGGGTTGGCAGAGAACAGAAGGACGGATTCCTAAAGGGTGGAGATGGCATTAGATGGGAAACCTGAGAGACGCGTCGCTGGGTTCTCAACTTACGTTGAAGGCCTTCTCGGCGCGCTCGCAGCGACCAAAGCAGGTCTTGTTACCACCGGTGGTGAAGATCAGCCAGTCCTCTTCCTTGGGGCCGGGGGTGAGGATGGACTGCCAGTTGTTGAGGGTGACTGGGGTGACGCGCTGCTCGGTGACCTTCTCGGCCAGCTTCTCGACCGGAGCAACCGGGGCGGCTGTAGGCACATAGGACTTGACCTGGTTGAACCATCCCTGCACACGGTCGGCGAGGGGAACTTGCTCCTGGGCCAGGGCCAGGGCAGGAAGGAGGGTAACAAGCGACGTGAAACGCATCTTGAGGCTAGAGCGCGGATCGAGTTAGCGGGATAGTCATGGTGAAGTCCAGCAAATAGATTCACTGGTACAAACAGATTAAGAAGCTCACCTGAGACTGAAAGGCGCGATGGGCGATGGGATTGACACAGTCGGAGACAGAAGAGGAGTGAGGAAGTTCAGGGCAGCTGGAACGACAGCTGGCCTGAGCGCTGACCAACCACGTCTGTTTCATTTACTTCGCCTTGTCCACCACGCCATGTCTCATTACGGCCGCATTAATGCATGGAATATTCTTGGCTAGTCTAGGAGTGTTTCTAGTCATGTACTTTATTTCATGTCTATCTTATTACTTATTTGGATATCAATTGAATTCCTGTTCCATGTGGATTCTGGCTTGCATATCTCCCCGTCTCCACAACTTAGAGTGGCGTTATTAAACGGATCAATTTTACGGAGAACGGAGTCTTCCGATGAATGTTAGGCAATTGGATCGATATAGTGGTCAAGTCAAAGATAACTTCATGGGTGGTGGTTTCTATTTTCAATTGCGGTTGAGTAAAGCCGTAAATAGGGGGGTTTGGTTGGCAATGTATATATTTGTCAACCCTCAACACATGCAATCCGATCAACACGTGTAACTTTATACACTATCATGCTAGGCCTTTTTTTCAGTTTTGTAGTGAAAATCATTAAAAATCCCAATCACATTTACTACAATTTATTGTATTGTGATAGGACAGAGACATAACGGTCACGCCCCGAGAACTGTTGACTTCCAAGAGCACGACACAACAGTATATGATCGATGCTTCCAAGGTAGACATTCAACTTAATGAATTTAGATCTTGCTTACAGAGACTGTCAATTATTGATTGATTCTTCATTGTAAGTGAATATTCACCTGGGCATACACTGGGCAGCACAGAATGTTTCGTTGTGCAACATGATACCACATCAATGCATGCATCTGATAACATAGATATTGAGTTCCACTAAGAACATGGCCCACCAGGAATTGAGATTGATCTATGTATGAGAGCCTTGGTAATGGGATCATTTAAACCTTGGAATGCATCAATTGATCAAGGCGCTCACGTGCACTGGATGTTCAGCTTGTCAATGCGCAAGATCCAAAATTGGAATCTCTGCAACATCTCCAATAGACGACTGTGCCATCGACGTCATCTCAGAATGAACCCTACTTCCGCTGTTTACGTGTATTGTATGTATAGCAGTTTCTCCACATTTCAAGCATGTGAGGTTGATAAACACGATCGGGGTAGATCACCGGAGACCACAAACGAGGTGACATCAAGACCCTCTGAGCACTAGGGCTACTACGATGCTTGACCTAGGTATCTTATCTGGCGTAAGTGAAGAGCCGACGATTATCAATATCGAGGGGCCGGTGACAGTCTATGGATGACTCAGACCCCGCAGGTCCGATGTCGGGTATAGGGTATAGCAACTGTACCCCAAAGTGTAGGGGAATTTGCTTCGACTGCCAAAGGTGATGAATTTGGGGGGTAATTGCAGGTACTGGAGAAAATGGCAATGATGAGCATTGAGTCATAATAGCACCAAATAATGTACAAGTTCAGCATGCAACGGAGTTTAGTATCCTATGACATCGTTCGCTCTTCTCCACCCCCAGGCGAAATTTTTCAGTTTTTTGCCGCCGAGCGAGCGAAGGCCGATTACTACGCAAATGGAAAACCACACCGCCCGCTATATTTGCCTATGACTCTTTCTTCTCTTTTTCCCCTCGAAAAAGATCATAAATAGCTTGCATCTGGATCATCTTTCTTTAAGATCCAAACTTTCGTCCATTGCTTCACTCCCCGAGTCTTGCTTCACCTACCCCTCCATACTTCACCCACCCCCACCATCCGCGCACAATGTGTCCCGGTGCCGACCCCGAGCCCAATGGGCAGACTCCTCCTCTTGACTCCAGTACGTTCAATGGCGATCTATCGGTGGGAATCAACCATTAATTCATAGACAGATGGCGAGCACCCCGGTTTCGTTGGCATTGAGACCCGCCAGAACCCCCACCCCTCTGCCTCCCGCAACCCTTACGGCCACAATGTTGGCGTCACCGATTTCTTGAGCAATGTCTCCCGCTTCAAGATCATCGAGTCTACTCTGCGTGAGGGAGAGCAGTTCGCCAACGCTTTCTTCGATACCGAGAAGAAGATCGAGATCGCCAAGGCTCTCGATGACTTCGGTGTGGACTACGTGAGTCATAACGGACAATAAGACAATGCATTATGAATGATCAGAGGTTGACTGAAGTTGCTGCGATAGATTGAGCTCACCAGCCCTTGCGCTTCAGAGCAATCCCGCGCTGACTGCGAGGCTATTTGCAAGCTCGGCCTGAAGGCTAAGGTATGATTGGCTTTGCTCTTAAGTTTCATCAGGATGGATCTAATTCGTACCATAGATTCTCACTCACATTCGTTGCCACATGGATGATGCCCGTATCGCCGTCGAGACCGGTGTTGACGGAGTGTAAGTCATGTTTGTATGCATTGTGCGGAATTTTTTACTGATAGTGTCTCTAGTGATGTCGTCATTGGCACCTCCTCCTACCTCCGTGAGCACTCTCACGGTAAGGATATGACCTACATTAAGAACGCCGCCATTGAAGTCATTGAGTTCGTCAAGTCCAAGGGCATTGAGATTCGTTTCTCCAGTGAGGATTCCTTCCGTTCCGACCTCGTTGACCTTCTGTCCATCTACTCCGCCGTGGACAAGGTTGGCGTCAACCGTGTTGGTATTGCCGACACTGTTGGATGTGCTTCTCCCCGTCAGGTCTACGAGCTTGTTCGTGTCCTGCGCGGTGTTGTTGGATGTGATATTGAAACTCACTTCCACAACGACACTGGCTGTGCCATTGCCAACGCTTACTGTGCCCTCGAGGCCGGTGCCACCCACATTGATACCTCCGTTCTTGGTATCGGTGAGCGTAACGGTATCACCCCTCTCGGTGGTCTGATGGCCCGCATGATGGTCGCCGACCCCGAGTACGTCAAGGGCAAGTACCGCCTTGAGAAGCTCAAGGACATTGAGGACCTCGTCGCCGAGGCCGTTGAGGTCAACATTCCCTTCAACAACTACATCACTGGATTCTGTGCCTTCACTCACAAGGCCGGTATCCACGCCAAGGCTATCCTCAACAACCCCAGCACCTACGAGATCATCAACCCCGCCGACTTCGGCATGACCCGTTACGTCCACTTCGCCTCCCGTCTGACCGGCTGGAACGCCATCAAGTCGCGTGCCCAGCAGCTCAAGCTCGAGATGACCGACGCCAACTACAAGGAGTGCACTGCCAAGATCAAGGCTCTTGCTGATATCCGTCCCATTGCCGTCGATGATGCTGACAGCATCATCCGTGCTTACCACCGTAACCTGAAGTCGGGTGAGGACAAGCCCCTCCTCGACCTTTCCCCCGAGGAGCAGGCTGCCTTCGCCGCCAAGGAGAAGGAGCTCCAGGCTGAGGCTCAGACCGCCGGTGTCATTGGTTAAGTGTCTGGACGCAAGATTCTATTTTGCCCAGATTCCCCATTTGCGCTTCATCCCACAATGGCTTATCCCAAGTCATATGTGGTAGATCTTTGATGATTTCATGTTTTTTTATGTGTTTGGGACATTTATTTTTTGGGTTTGAAACGTCTTCCCCTTTTTTTGGAGACTCAAAAGAATGATCGGTGTTAGGAGAGAGTTCTCTCCATCTTGTATATAAGCGCACAATTCCATCCGTGACTTATTCTTCAAAGTTGGACAAAGTAGGCAGCCTAGACCAATTACGTCAGTTTAGACAGAGTAGAGCGGAACACTAGAGTACGGAATAAGTATGAATGACTTCAAATCCATTGCCGCGTATTAAATAAAGACATTCATTCAAATAGTCACATAGATATAAGACATACTGTAAACATTTCATGCTCGAACACGCTCAAAAGTACAAAGAGTCAGACGTTGAGCGCCTGCTTCATGTGGCTGCCGAGGCACGCTAGGGTCAACCAGTCACAGTCAAATGCAACCTCCCCCCATCGCCACAACTCTTTCCTTATTCCACCATCCCTAATGAGCTCGTCAATGTTACCGGTCGCCCTCCAGAACAAGCTGGTCGGATACGGTCGGGCGTCCAGCGCGCACCTATCGGCCCTGAACATCGACCTGTAAGACCCTGTTCCCCGCGGACTCCAAACCGGGGATGATCGCTGACGCATTTGCATTTCGCGCCTAGAATCCGCAACATAGTATTTATTCTCTTTATTTTCCGGTATACTCGCAAGACCTTCTATTCCCTCCGCGGCTACGGCATCTTCGGAAGCATTCGCAATGTCTACATCTCAGTCCGCCTGTTCTTCTACGGAATCTTCCTGCGCATTCCCGGCGTCCGCGGCCAAGTCGATAAGCAGGTGAAGGAGGCTATCACCAACCTAGAGACCAAGCTTGTTAAGAGTGGTCCCGATGTTGTCCGCTATCTTACTTTGCCCAAGGAGGGAATGACACCAGAGCAGGTTCGCGCTGAACTGGACAAGTTGGCCGGCCTTGAACATACTCGCTGGGAGGACGGCCGTGTTAGCGGTGCTGTTTACCACGGTGGCGAGGAGTTGTTGAAACTTCAGGCGGAGGCCTTTGGTCAGTTTGGTGTCGCTAACCCCATTCATCCGGACGTGTTCCCGGGAGTTCGGAAGATGGAGGCTGAGGTTGTCTCTATGGTATGACTCTTTTGAATGACTCCTATACGATAGGCGCGGGACATATTACTAACGGGTCGTTAGGTTTTGGCTCTCTTCAATGCTCCCTCGGATGGTGCTGGTGTGACTACCAGCGGTGGCACGGAATCTATTCTCATGGCTTGCTTGGCTGCCCGGCAAAAGGCTTTTTTGGAGCGCGGTGTCACAGAGCCTGAGATGTGAGCATATGCCCGGATATGCATAAAAATTTGAGATCACAGCTAATAAATACTCTTAGGATCATTCCCGATACCGCCCATGCGGCATTCATCAAGGCCTGCAACTACTTCAAGATCAAGTTGCACCGTGTCCCCTGCCCGGAGCCCGAGTTCAAGGTTGACGTCAATGCCGTTCGCCGTCTGATTAACCCCAACACTGTTCTTCTCGTTGGGTCTGCACCTAACTTCCCCCATGGTATTGTTGATGATATTCCTGCTCTTTCCAAGCTGGCCACCAAGTACAAGATTCCCCTTCACGTTGACTGCTGTTTGGGATCTTTCGTCGTTGCACTTCTTAAGAAGGCCGGATTCCCCGAGCCCTACGAAGAGGAAGGTGGCTTTGATTTCCGTCAGCCTGGTGTGACCAGTATCAGTGTCGACACCCACAAGTATGGCTTCGCACCCAAGGGTAATTCCGTTTTGATTTATCGTAATAAGTCCTACCGAAACAACCAGTACTTCATCTACCCTGACTGGTCTGGTGGAGTCTACGCCTCGCCCTCCGTTGCAGGCTCTCGCCCCGGTGCTCTGATCGCAGGTTGCTGGGCCAGTTTGATGAGCATCGGTGAAACCGGCTACATCAACAGCTGCACCGAGATCATCAACGCAGCGCGCAAGTTCGAGACATCTGTCCGCACCGAACCGACCATCTCCCTACACATGGACGTTATCGGCAACCCACTTGTCAGCGTAGTCGCCTTCCGCAGCAAGAACGGCGCAATCGACATCTACGACATCGCCGACGACCTCTCCGCCAAGGGCTGGCACCTCAACGCTCTCCAGTCCCCAGCAGCCATCCACGTCGCCTTCACCATCCCAACTGCCAAGGCTGTCGATCAACTCATCGCTGACTTGATCGAAGTCATCGGCAAGGAGCTCGAGAAGGCCGAGGAACGCCGTGCCCAGGGCAAGGCCTACATTCTCAAGCGTGGTGACACCTCCGCCCTATACGGTGTGGCCGGCAGCATTCCTGATAAGAGTGTCGTCAGCCGTCTAGCAGAGGGTTTCTTGGATACCTTGTACAAAGCATAAGCCTTGGAATGCCTCCCGCTTCTTCGCTTTTCTTGTATTCTTTTTTCCCTCACTCGGCTTTCCTGAAAACGTTCATAGCCGGTTTAATACCCTAGCTGTCCTTACCTTTCTTGGGGGTATCATGGAGTATACTTATCCAGCCTTTTCAAATTGCACATAGCTTTCCAATCATCAGGTTCTTATTAAGTAGAATAATACGTCTACCATAGATGTCTTAAACGCAGACAAGGTCTTGAATGTATTTTCTCATGTCGAAGGTGCTTCCCTTTATTTTCAAAGTATGGATGTTGTTTATCTTTGAGGCTTTGGCACCGTTGTGTGATGAGGCTCTTGTTGCTGCTGCTGCTGCTGAGCTTGCGGCATTGTTGATAGGGCTGGATTCTGAGGTTCGGACTTCTGATTGGATTATTGCTGGGACTGAGGTAGCTTCTGATGGTCCTTGACTTGGGGGGTTCGTGTTGTGTTGTGGTGTTCTGAAAGATTAGGGCTCCATTGGTGGGCAGAGTTGATGATTGCCCTACATTGTAAGTTATACCATAGGCCATAGAAAATGGAAACTGGTGAGATTGACAGGTATTTTGGACGTTTGTTTTCTATATAATTGATTGTACTTCTGAAAATGAAATCAATATACAAGGTCTGTATTAGACTAGCTTTATGCAATTGATTCATATTCCCGCTGCAAGATAGGGCTCTGAAGCTGGTTGATGGTAACGACTGGAGGTTAACAGCAATTGATAAAAAGACGGTTAAATCCAGCAAATTTATAGCCCGAGCTTTAAGAATAGCGTCTATATTGAGTTACCCAGGTCGCTAATACTTCCAACGTTGTAAATTGGAAAGCGTTGGCAAACGCTTGATATCAACTCCAAGGCGGTCGAGCTCTCCTCCAAAAATTATTCCGTTCGTGAACGCCAACATCCCAACAATCACCCACCAAATCAAAATGGCAGCCCCTGTTCCACTTGATCGTCTACCCCCCACGACAACCGCCTACGTGATCGCAACGGCCATCATCGCAGGTGTCACCGGCTACTTCATCGGCCAAGGCGCCTCGCTCAGCCTCTTCAAAGAGAAGGAAGGCTGGCCAAACAGCTACAACGTCAAGGTCCACAGCCACTCTTCCGACGAAGAAGAGGAACAATCCGAAGAAGAGAGCGACTCTGAAGACGAAGGAAATGGCGAAGAACTTGCCAGCTTCAAGGACAGCACCGAGGAGGTGAAGCTCGTCCTGGTCGTCCGCATGGACCTGGGCATGACCAAGGGTATGTGATGCGCTCCTCCCCCCGGCGGCTTGTGCCCAAATGTGCTCCAAGATTTGCGCTACAGATTGCTTACATTCATTTCATTGACAGGTAAAATCGCCGCCCAATGTTCCCACGCTACCCTCGCCTGTTACAAATACTTCCTCGAATTCGCGCCCGACTCGGCCATCCTCCGGCGATGGGAGCGCGGTGGCCAGGCCAAGATCGCGCTGCAGGTGAAGTCCGAGGAAGAGCTTCTCGTTATGCAGGCACAGGCTATGAGCCTTGGACTTTGCGCGCGCGTTATCCAGGATGCTGGCCGCACTCAGATTGCTAGCGGCAGCAAGACCGTGTTGGGAGTCTTAGGACCCAAGAGCGTTGTCGACGGTGTGACGGGACATTTGAAGCTTCTGTAAATTACTTTCGCGGTGTTTGATACAGGCGATATGCATGGGCAATTATGATCATGACCTCAATGAAGAGCCTTTCTGTGGATCCACTGCAGCAGGCAGGTACATGTAGCTTGAGCGCATGATGTTGGAACGCATTGCATGGGCAATCCGGGACAGTTTCCTAGGAAACGCAAGGGAAATACCAGACATGTCTACAAGATACACAAGATTACTAGCTAGATAGAGATGTTGGCAGGTCATGGTTATTCCCTAGCCTCAGCGGCCAACGGCCAATCGGCAAAGAGATTAGGAATATGACGCCGTCCGCAGCCAAGCTGTCAAGCCGAGCTCACCAGTGGGAGCTCAAGACCCGCAACACAAGGCGCAGACATTTAATCTGAGATCTGTCAACCGGAAACCGTAAGTGCCATCCACGCGAAAAATGATGGCTCCAATGTCGTTGAACTGCCCAGCTCTCAACCATCACACAAAAACCCGAAGGAAATCATGGACAGGAAAGCTGGACACAGATCCGTGTTTTGGTAAAGAAAAGAAAGAAGAAGAGAAGAGGGCGGGAAGGCTGATATTTATGGTCTAAGATTTTTGACGCGCTAGGCCTGATCAGGGCTAGCGTTATCAATCAGGTGATCAGGTATCAGGAAAGAGCGCGGCACTTGGGCGACATCATTATTCTGTTCAGTCCTCACTTTCTTCTTATTTTCGTTATTTTCAACGTCAATATGGCGGACGCTCTATCCATCGAGCAAAATAACAAGATCCGTGTCGCCTTGGGTCTCAAGCCACTCCCTGTCCCCGGCGCCGGACCTGCATTCAAAGAAGACGACAGCTCCTCCGGCGAGGAGGAAGAGCCCGCGAGCACGGTCGAGACGCGACAGGCAGCAGGATATGATAACTGGAAAAAACTTCAAGATGACGCCGAAGCGAAACGGAAGCGCGAAGAAAAGAACGCCGCCATCAAGCGTGCGCGCGACATCGCCCAGCGAAATCTCAAGCTTGAGGGATCTACATTGGGAGACGCGAATGGCGACGAACTTGATACAAAGTCTTGGCTGATGCAGTCTAAGAAGCGCTCGAAGAAAATTGAAAAGGAACGCGCTCGCAAACTTGCTGAAGAACTGGAAGAGCGGGAACGTGCCGCAGCCGCCGAGTACACCGCAGCCGATCTCGCTGGTATCAAGGTCGGACACTCTGCTGGTGATTTCGACGGTGGTGAAGATCACATCTTGACATTGAAGGATGCGGCGGTGGATGACGACGAAGAGGGTGATGAGCTCCAGGATGTCCACCTGGTCGAGAAGGAGAGGACGGAAGAGAAGCTGGAACTTAAGAAGAAAAAACCTGTCTACGATCCTACAGCCGAAAACCAGGGTATCCTTTCACAATACGACGAGGAGATTGATGGCAAGAAGCGCAAACGATTTACACTCGATGCTCAAGGCTCGACAGAGGAGGAGCGTGAAGCAAAGCGACAGGAGGTTTCTGATCGCTTGAAGAAGAACGTCATCAGCCTCGACTTTGAGCCCGAAGTACCATCTTCCGATTACATGGATATCAGCGAGATCAAGATTAAGAAGCCCAAGAAAAAGAAGGCCAAGGCGACGAAACAGAGAGCCGTCATGGACTACGATGACAGTGCCCCCTCAGAGTCAGTGGCACAGGATTCAGCCATGGATATTGATGCCAACAATGGCGTTCCAGTTGCTGCTCCCCGCAAACCTATCAACCAAGATGTCTCATTCGTCGATGACGACGACCTCCAAGCTTCTCTTGCTTTGCAGCGTCGCGCAGCATTCAAGAAGCGCAAGAAGATGACTCCAGAGGAACTCGCTCGACAGCTTCGAGAAGAGGAAGAACAGATTCCAATGGATGTAGAAAACGAGGACGAGGAAGGACCAGGCCTTGTTATCGACGAGACCTCTGAGTTTGTGTCAAATCTACAAAAGCCTACACTTCCCGAACGGGACGAGAGACAAACATCAACCCCTGTTGTCGAAAATCCCGCCGAACCACAGCCCGAGCCCGAGACAGACGGCGTGGAAGTGGATATGGACCGTTACGCCCACATCGAAGATGAAGAAGAGCTGGCAGCACAAATCCAGCGCGATGAACAAGCCAAGGCTGAACCACAACAACAGCTCACAGGCACTGGTTTGGAAGAGGAATCTACTTTGGATTCGGGTCTGGCCGCTACATTGTCCATGTTGAAATCTCGTGGTCTGGTGAAAGAAAGCAACAGCAGCAATCAAAACGCACTCATGCGCGACCGCCAACGCTTCTTACAAGAAAAGAACAATCGCGAGTCCGAAGCCGAGCGACGGGCCCGTCAACAACGTGAGCGAGACCGTGCCTCTGGTAAATTGGACCGCATGTCCGCTCGTGAGCGCGACGAGTATGCACAGCTGGAGAACAAACACCGCGACCAGCAAGAGGCGCGCCATACCGCCGAGGCATTCAACAAGGAGTACAAACCTGATGTCCAGCTCCGCTACGTGGATGAATTCGGTCGCAACATGAATCAGAAGGAGGCTTTCAAGCAACTCAGTCATCAATTCCACGGTAAGGGCAGTGGCAAGATGAAGACCGAGAAACGTCTCAAGAAGATCGACGAGGAGAAGAAGCGGGAGGCCATGAGTACTCTGGACAGTAGTCAACACACGGGTATGAACAACGCTGTGGGAACTGCTGCGCGGAAGAACCGCCAAGCTGGAGTGCGCTTGGGTTGAAGGCTTTAATGTACATGTATCTCTGGATTGAGTCCCAAACTACCACTATTAACGATATCCCCCGGGGGACCAGTTCCACCACCGCTGTTTCTGTCATGTCCTAGCGAAATAATTAGCGTAATAAGATGCGATCGCTCCGTGTGGGGGAGAATGCGGGAATTTCCACAGAAATTAACCGGGGGTTAGTATTCGCTAGTTCACACCGAGCAAGGGGCCTCTCGGGAACACCACTACGTACGTGGCAGACAACTGTACCCCGACTGTGTGAGGGGAAGTGTGGAGATTCTCGATCAGTTCACCGGGCATTCGAATTCCCGAGCGAAAAAGATGGGCTGGTGAAATGGCGAAACTGTATAGAAATGGGTTAGGGTTAGAGCCCGGTGAGGGGATATACGATTAGGCCATTCCATAGCCAGCTCCATAGCGATACTGTGGTCAGTACTGTAGTGTACAGTAATAGTTTGCATGATACAATCCTCACAACGTTAGAAATTGAGTATCACGAAGCTCGAACAAGAATATCATTGTATGTTTTCCATTTACCCGTCAAGTCTCGCAGTTCAGATGTATCTGGTACTTGGGCCGCGGCTGGACAACATACCATAGGGCAGGTACCCGGTACCGTCATCACATGAGTCAGGCAATACATCGGGGCGACGTCTCCGATCCTTTATTATTTCTCTCCTCCCGGTTCCTTCCTTTCCCCTTCCCATCCTTAGAGGTTCTACCCTTTTGATTTTTCCTGCCATCATCATGCTCTCCACTCTTAGAGTCGCCAGCCGCTCGGCGGCCCCCCAGGCTAACCAGCGCATCGTCGTTCTCGGAGCTAGACAGGCCTCGGCCTGGGCTAACGTTCCCCAGGGTCCTCCTGTAAGCTTTGTTTTGGAGCTTGCCATCGACGTGATGATGGGTTAAAAGGCTTCTTCTGACTTAATTGGCTCAATAGGATGCTATTCTCGGTATCACCGAAGCTTTCAAGGCCGACTCCTTCAAGGAGAAGATCAACCTTGGTGTTGGTGCTTACCGTGAGTCTTGACTTCCATCAACAACCAGCTTCGTGCAATGAATGATTAACCATTGGTGTTCAGGTGACGACAAGGGCAAGCCCTACGTTCTGCCTTCCGTCCGTGCCGCCGAGGACAAGGTCGTCGCATCGCGTCTCGACAAGGAGTACGCTGGCATCACCGGTATCCCCGCCTTCACCAGCGCCGCCGCCGAGCTCGCCTACGGTGCCGACTCCTCCGCCATCAAGGACGACCGCCTCGTCATCACCCAGACCATCTCCGGAACCGGTGCCCTCCGCATCGGCGGATCTTTCCTGAAGCGCTTCTACCCCGGCGCAAAGAAGGTCTACCTCCCCAACCCCAGCTGGGCCAACCACAAGGCCGTCTTCGCCGATGCCGGACTCGAGGTTGCCAACTACAGCTACTACAATAAGGACACCATCGGTCTGGACTTTGAGGGTCTGATCGCCGATATCAAGAACGCTCCCGAGAACAGCATCATCCTGCTCCACGCTTGCGCTCACAACCCTACCGGTGTTGACCCCACTGAAGCTCAGTGGCGCCAGATCAGCGATGTCATGAAGGAGAAGGGTCACTTCGCCTTCTTCGACATGGCCTACCAGGGCTTTGCCAGTGGTAACGCCGACAAGGATGCCTTTGCTCCTCGTCACTTTGTCAAGGAGGGCCACAACATTGCCCTGTGCCAGTCCTTTGCCAAGAACATGGTGAGTTGTAACAGATTTTCGGATCGAAAAACAAGAAACTAACAGCTATAGGGTCTGTACGGTGAGCGTGTCGGTGCCTTCTCCCTTGTTTGCGAGAACACCGAGGAGAAGAAGCGCGTCGAGTCTCAGATTAAGATTCTCATCCGTCCCCAATACTCCAACCCTCCCATCCACGGTGCCCGTGTTGCCTCCACCATCATGAACGACCCCGCTCTCAACCAGCAGTGGCTCGGTGAGGTCAAGGGCATGGCTGACCGCATCATCGAGATGCGCTCTCTCCTCCGCACCAACCTCGAGAAGCTCGGCAGCAAGCACGACTGGTCTCACATCACCAGCCAGGTAAGATACAGCAATAACCTCGATATCAAGTTAAGTGCCTAACAAAAACTTTTTAGATCGGCATGTTCGCCTACACTGGCCTGAAGCCCGAGCAGATGGACGTCCTCGCCAAGGAGGTAAGCACAATTCACTGCGCCACATGCATTTAAACAAAAACAATCCTGACAAATAACACAGCACTCCGTCTACGCCACCAAGGACGGCCGTATCTCCGTCGCCGGTATCACCTCCGGCAACGTCGACAGACTCGCCGAGTCCATCTTCAAGATCACCGGTTAAATTACTTTCCTCCCAAGAGAGAAAAGCCTACCCAGATACGCGAAGAAAAATCGAGGGATAGATACGATAAAACGAACGTTGTGGGGTTGTAACAAAATGGGAGTTCTTGGTCATTCTCCGTCTTCTTGACATTGACATGGATTGACACAACGGATTCCGGGCCCTCTGTACTGATATCTAATGCCTCTGTGTCTCATATTTAGCATTGTCCGTTATAACGGGGTTTTTGGATTCTTTTTCTACAAGCAAGATGATTGTAAGAAAGGCAAACATGGATGGGATCGTAGGATAGACGGAATGAATGCACGGTAAGCACAGAGTAGTAAGCCAACTTGCATCAGCAAGCAGAACAGGAGAGATAACAATGAAGTATAGTATGTATTAACTTAACGGACAAGTTTGATAATATGCAATCGAAGTAAGAAACAAAAGTCAAGTCAAGTCAAGTCAAGCCAAGTCAAGTCAAATGAATCCAGTCCAATCCAACCCAACCCAACCCAATCCCAACCCTAACCCCCCAGAGACAACACGAGATAACACCAGTACACTCCAACAATGGAAGCCCTCAACCTCCGGCGATTGAAGCAAGTCACGAACAAATCAGAGCCCCATCATTCCACTGACACCCCCGTCAAGACCAGTCCCAGCGCCAGCCCCCAAAGAAGGACAAACACACCCAGCAGGCAGATTGGCGGGATACCAACCCCCAACGGGAGAAGGAACAGACCGGCCCCTGCCCATAGCACGAGCAATGATGCTGACAGGCGTACCGGCAGCGCCTTCGCCCTCGCGGGCATGTAGAAGACCGAAGCGGAGGAAGACTTCGGCCATGGTGACGATGATGGAGATTACGATTAGGACGATGATTATCCATGTTTGGTCTGTAGTTTTTTTTTCTTGGTTAATGTTTGATTTTGATGATAGGGTTGGGATGCAAATTGGATGAGGATTGGGGGGGGCATTGGAGTGAGTAGTAGCAGTAGAAATGGTGATAGGGTATACTGTACGTACGGGAAGTGCGGTTATCAGCTATTGAGTCTGACAAGATCTCAGCAAGATCTAAGAAGACGCGGCATCGTTCGTTGAGGACTTGGATGCGGGGTTTGATTTCGAGGTATTCGCGGACGGCGATGTAGAGGGGGTAGAGGGTTGGTTCACTTTCCCAGAAGAAGTTCGGAACGTCGAGCATGTTTGATGCTGTTTTTTCTGTTATTAGTAGGTGTTCGATGTTGAATGTCTTGATGGAAACGTACATAGGTTGACTTCGACACGACTCTTGAAGAGCCGGCCTAGGATTCGGAAGACTTCTTCGCGTTTCATGCCTAGTTGGCCTGTGACGGCGAGCCGTCTCGGGACGTCCTTTGCTTCGTCCATTTGGCGGGCCATGACTTCTTCGAAGAAGCATAGCTTTGTACTTTGGGATATGCCGTGACTGATGGCCAGCTTGATCATGTGGTCGCCACTGCGGAGGGTGATCATGTCGTTGTAGACACGAGGACGAAGAATCTCGGTCGAGTATTCGAAGTGGAATTCTTCTGTCTCGAAGTCTTCTTCGTCAAGTGGCATTGTCGCTAGTGGGATGGGGATACCCGTTGCAGAGGATGTGGCGAAAGACAGATCGGCCAGGAGATCTTTCTCTTGGCGTTCTGTGAAGTTCCAGAAGACGACGACACCGTAGCTGAAGACGAACATCTCCGCGACGTTGTACAAAGTGCGGGCCGGGGCTTGGGGCGTCGAGGGCGCGGATGATGCATGGAGTGGTGGGGAGGGACGATCTCGGAGTAAAGCATGGCTATCATCGGTGCTATGTCGACGACGACGGAGAGCAGGCTCAGGTGATGGCGGGCGATTCTCCTCAGCCCCATTAGACTGTGGAACATGCTGCAGCGCATCGACGCTCTCGCCAGAGCTAGCAGCGTGCTCATGCTCGTCTGGAAGACGATGAGCCTCTTCGGTGATCCGATTCAAAAACTCCGTCCGCTGCTCTTCATGAGAAGTATGATTGTCCGAATCCCTCGGCGAAGCCTCATAATGATGCTCCTGATCAGGACGATTCCGACCACCAACAGAATGCTCCTCCGACTCGACGCCGAAATCATCATGATGATCGCGGAGCTCATTGCGCTCAATTTCCTCATCCAGCAAGGACTTCCCACCGGGATACTTCAGCACAGGGCTACTCCGCAACCGATAACCATCATGACCAGGTAGAAGCGGCAAATGATAAGCCGTATAAAGACAATCATCATAAAGCTTCGTGCGTCCACCATGCGTCTCCTTCACAAAAGAAGCAAGCGAGCCCATCTTATAAGCCTGGGCAGTACAATAAGCCGTCACACGCGCCAGCTTCTCCGTCCGACGCGCCTTTGGAAGCCGCTCCGCATAACTCTTCGCTCGCTCCGGCGCAACACGCCGTTTCCTTAAGATCTCCTCCTCAGCAAGCAACGGTGCAAGATCATTGTCGACGCCGAAATCGCCACCAAGTCGCTTCTGCACTAGCAATTGATGCCGGACCATTTCTGGATCGACGTTTTTCTCGCGGGCAATTCGAGCAACGACCTCCTCGTCCACGACGTCCGCATCGTCGGCATCCTCCCCCTCGTCATCGTCGATCTCGTGTTCTTCCAGCTCGCCCGTGTCGGGCAGGAGGACTAGCTTCTCACTGACTTTCGTTGTTCGGGGTGGAAGACGCGGCTGGGCAGCTAGGCGGCGGGCCTTGCCTCCTGCGGCTACGGCGCTGGAGCTGCTGCTTCCCGAGCTGCCGATTAAGCCTCCAGCGGCGGATGCTAGACGCCTGGATCTTGAGATCGGTGGTGGGCCTCGTTGTTGCATTGAGGGAACATCCGACGCATATTGCAGGACATTGTCTACGGTGATGAAGCGGGTTGCGGGGGAGCGTCGGCGTCGGGGTGTTGAAGGTGGTTGCTGATCGCGGGAATCTGTGACCTGGTAATTGGAACATGTGTTAGTAGAGCTTGTATCAATTGGTAGTACGGGGGGATGTCGTACCAGGACGGTCGGGCTGCGTTGGCTAGTCCCCCGTCCTCGGGCCGGGGGCGTCATTTTCAATGAAGCTTGGAGACTGTGCTCTTGGGTTATATGGTGACTGCAAGGATTGTTGCGAGGTGAAAATCACCAGAATGGGGTGGGAATTGGCCGTGGGTGCAATCTGCAATGTATGATGCTCCGAGCCAGCAAGTTCGAATGTCTGTGGCACTATTCCTGATAAGAACTAGTGTGGCTGATTATCAAATGACGTGGGACAATCATGTGATTATGCTTACTGAGCAGTCTCATCCCGTGATTATACCACGTGGTAGCTAGCCAATCAGAGGTGATACGGGTAGCCCACTAGGCTGAAGTGGGACTAGTTGGGAGATCTGGGGTAAAGTGAAGATCAACCTTGAAGTTGACAAACTACGTGATTTTACGGTGGAAGACGCAGATAATAATGATGTTTTTGTTTATTTATTTGTGGGTCTTGCCCAAATGTATGAATACTCTAGAATTGGTCCAGACAATATCATAGAGGGAAATCATAAAGATGTGGGAATGTCATGCGATAGGGGGGATAAGATGCAGTATGAAAGATAACAGGAAAATAAAAGAAAAAGAAAGAAAAAGAAAAGTGAAAAGGAGAAATCATGCGCCATGTAAACTGTCGGTTCATTCGATGACAACCATGCAGAATGGTTATGCAGATGGGGGGTAGATGGAAAAGATCAAAACAAGATCAAGGGCGGAGACCGTCCCGTAGCTGCCGATCTTCATCCCAAATCTCTTTTTTCATGCGACGCAAGCGATTATGCTGGCGCTGCAGACGCTCCAGGTCAGCTGGAGCGGGGTCGGCAAGAGCCGCTAGGGAGTCATGCAAGGAGCGATACTTGGTGTAGTACTGCTTGAAGGTCTGGCTTTTCTCGCGTAACTGCTGACGTAGAAGCTCGTAGCTCATAGGAGGAGATGCGCTGCCGGTGCTGCCACCGCTTGTTGATGGGCTGGCTGCACGGCGACGCTTAGCTTCCAAGTCTCCAGTGGGACGTCCGGCTCCGGCAGTAGCGCGCGAAGCCGACAGTCGGTCAGAATCCGCCTTGCGTTTCAATGGATTGACAGTGGGTACATTCTTGACCCCATTGATCTGTGCAGGTTTGGCGACTGTGGAAGCAGGATGAGTGTCCTTGTTGCTATTGCGAGCTGACTGAGAAATCAGAGGCGAAGATGAGGAGGATCCAGATGACTGGTTCTGGCTGTCAGAACGGTTGCGACCAGTGGCATCAGATGCATTCGCAGGGGGAGATGAGCCGAGAGGAGACGGCTTCTGAGGCGAGGTGGAAGGACGGGACGGAGGGCGCTTAGAAGCTGTAACCTTGGTGGCTGGTTTGGTTGGCTCAAGTTTGGGCTTCGGAACTTCGGTCTTTGGGGCCTCGGCCTTAGGGACCTTGGAAGTAGACGGAGTCCCGATAGCACGAGGCTTCGGTGCTGGCTTTTGTGCTGGCTTCGGTGTGGGCTTCGTGGCGGATGGAGTTCGCTGGTGCCCTTGCGGCTTCTTGGGGGCTGCAGCGGGAGCGGGAGCGGGAGCATCAGACATGGCCACATCTTCGTCGTCGTCATCGGAGCTGTTAACAAATTCGGCAGACTTGATTTTGCTGTCAACCTTGGCTGCAGGTTTTGCAACGGTCTTCTTGGTAACTCGGCCAGTGAGTGTAGTGTTATTAGCGGCCTTGGGTTTGGCTCGCTTGTCCGCGGGACGGGGCTTTTGGGTCGCGGCTGCTTTTGCGGGCTCCTTCTTGTCTGATTTGGGAGCATCCACCTTGGCAGGAGCGGTCCGAAGCTTCAGGCGAGAAAGGCAGGTGCCCTTACCGCGCTCCTCCTTGGGCAGAATCATCTGCCAGGCGGGATCACTCCGCTCGAGGCGCATGCGATCGAAGGCGCCAATGCAGTTGTCAATGGCGGCTTTGCGATCATCCTCGCTGGGGAACTTGAATTCCCAGACGTCGAGATCTTTATAAACCTTGTCTCTGAGATGGTACTTGTTTGTGTCAATGCGGTGCTGGAGGCCGTACTTCTCGGCGAGAACGGTGCAGTCTTCGGCGTGGGAACGAGTTGTCTGAGCGAGATAGCGGATGGACACAGCCCGAATGGCCAGGATATGAATCAAAGGCTTCTTAAGGGCAATCTGCCTCGGATTCTCCTTAGCCTGCGACATCGGAGCTGAGGTCGGAGCCATTGTAAATGAGGGCGATTTGGGAGGGAAGGTGGGACTGGCAGATGCAGAAGAGCGGGCAGCTTTGAGGAATCTATCCTTCTCCAACTCGACTTTGCTTGTGGGAGCTTTGAGGCCCGACTTGGAACCTCGAAAGCCTCTCAGCTCATCGGGGTGAGAGATGATGTGAGTCTTTTTGGACTCCTTTCCTCGCTCAAATGCATTCAGACTTTCTTCCAAATTGGCCAGAGCCTGGTCTGTGGCCGCCGTAGCACTTTTTGCCTTTTCCACCTCCAAGCTGTGGCTCAAGACTCCCGTAAAATACAAGGTTTGTTTATCATCGGAGCTATGGTAGATCTCGGATCGGTGGGTTTCGGGATACGCATGGAAGGATTGGGACTTGCCCCCATAGTGAATCGACGGGTGTTTTCCTAGGCGGACTCGGACCGGTTGATCCTTCCGGAGGCTCTGAATCAGATCATCGAGGGTGCTCTGCACCAGGTTTAGCCGCATGATCTGACTAGGCTTGGAAGAATCTCCAGACTGGTCTCCTTGACGGAGAGCCAGTCCAGACGGTGGGATCTCTAGAGAGGTAGACATGAGGTCAAGAGGAAGGAGGAGATCGAGGTGAGCAGGGTCGGATGGCAGCGTGAGAGCTGCAGGTCAGGCGGCCAACTGCACGGAGAGAGGCACAACCATACGCCATAAGATCAAGGAATGACTGGACCAAAGTAGTATGCTATGTAGTATGAACAATGCAAGAGAGTGAGTGAGTGAGAGGGAAGAAGAGAGGGAGTCAAGGCGAAGCGGAGAGTGGGGAGAGCTGACGGATGGTAAAATTACAGGGGCCCGTTATATTACACAGTAGATACATCTTTTTTTCTTTCTTTATTTTTGTAACGTTACCTGGGAGTGAGTTGTGATATGTAGTCAGGGTATACAACAAGTGAGTCGTAATTCATGAGTAGTAACTATTCTGTTTATCAGCTCTTCCTTTTTTGTTTCTGTTTCGTTACTCTCTACTCTCTACTCTTCGGGGACAATACCGGATACCGTGAGGAGAAGCCCGAGTCCAGACTTTACGGGTGTGTCCGGGCATTTATTACTTTCTTTATTACTTGATTACTTGATTGACTGACTGGATTCCTTTATTACTGCTTTATTCCTGCACTTCACCTCTTTGTACTCTTTATTTGTCCTTCACCTGACTCTGGCTCCCACTGAAAACACTTGAAACTGGTTCTTCAACATACCAAATCCCCTCGGACCTTTTTTCTCCCCCAAGAATGCCAGCCTTTGCCCCTCGTAAGTGTAACAGTGGACCTCCGGACTCTTACTCCTTTTAGGTCTCGGGCAGGTAATATAGCCTAACGTATGCTAGTCAGAAAAAAAAAGAACCCCCATTTCCCGAACCGATTGGACTATTGACTCTTGTTTCACAGGTCTGGTAATACCAGTCACCTCGAGTCTCGATCCGATCAGATGCACATTCCTACTGGATGACGCTGTGGCAAACATCTAGAGGAAACGAAAAGTAACAAGCCGCAAAGGCGTGGATCCCCTTGCGGTGTAGTCTGAGACAAGGGGAAAAAAAGCCCTGCATCCTTGCTCAAACCTGATCGACATGCAATTGTTAAAGGGCCATGTCCCAGATGCTGCATGGGGTCTGAATTCTGGATTCTGTTCTGCCCATTTACCATTCATTTACCAAGGTTAACTTACCGGTGACCTTACCAGTTACCCTGTACCATTTCCCACTAATTCCAAATGCGATACTTTAATAACAATAATCCCCGAACTCACTAATCCACTGGCCTCGTTTTACTATTTTCAGTCCCGTCCACTCCCCAAATGGCCCCATCAGCCTATGCCAAAAACAATCCGTACCTCAGGTATTCTGCGCCGCTGCGCCGCTGCCGCAGCACTTGCCACTGGCCCTGACAAAAGCAACCATATCGCCATAGCCGCAGTGATCGACACCGACAACACACGCTCGACCAAATCGACACAATACATGTTCCCGACAATCGAGACAACCGCCCTCGATCGTGCCACCTTCGACGCGTCAAGCTAGCTAGATCGAGAAGGTGATTGCCAGGATATCTCGGGTACATACCCATACCCGAGCGTCAACAGATGCCATAGTGTGCATGTACTCAACCGGAGCCGAACAGTGCTGTCATTCCAGATCCACCCAGAACAAAGTCCCAGAGTTGGACCTATCAAGCCTCATCAGCTGCCCCCCTAGTCTAGGGCGTCCAGTGAGGTCGCCAGGGTCCCTGGTACCTCTGATAGGATGCTTGAATTTAGCAGCCTCCCGTGAGAAGGAACAATACATGGGATCAACCCCAGCGTTGGGGCTGTACTTGACGCTGTAGAAAGACGAATCGAACCATAGATATTAGTACTGTAGGCAACGATGTCAATTCCAAATTCAGTACAGTACGCCTATCCAATCTGCGCCCTTTGCCGACCGATACGCTCACAGTACTCTGGTCTGCACCCGCGCCTATCTGAATCTCACTATGGTCTCGAACAAATTCCTTCCATACAAATATTGCCATAACAACAATGGTCATCTGCAACACAAGGCCCATTGTCCTCACTACAGAACGGGTAGGTGTCATCCGTCGATCGGCATCTTGTTCCGGCGCAGTATCCTGAACAGCAGGTTGGACCAGAGCCGGGGGTGCAGGGTGCTAGTGTTCAACATTAGTGATTTCTACGGACACTCGTGTCGTCCAGGTAGGTGCGATATGTTCCAATGCTTTCATTTGGTTCCGTATTTGGATCATAGGTAGATGCGTATATATGCACTTACAGTAAACTCCCGCGCAGGTCGCTGTCGGCACACAGGTTGTTATTGTTGTCGTTGAGGGTGAGACAAAGGTTGCTGTTGTGCAGAATTCAGTTCCAATGCAGGCTTGGGCCGTGCCGCATCCTGATGGTGCTGGGCAGGATGCGTCTAGATTTGTTAGTTGGGCTGGAGTTGCCTGACTTGGTGGGATACATACTGCTCAGGGTGAAGTGGGCGAGGGTAAGAGTGAGAAGGGTCAAGACATGCATCTTCGTTCCTTTCTTCCCGCAGTCTTGATTCGGTTACAGTAACAGTGGTTGTTTTGCGAGTAGGAAGAGAAGCCCTTCGGTGGTTAACAGGTGAACTATAAACGTGCTGTCGGCACATTTATAGCAAGACACTTCTACTTAGAACATCGCAACCTGATCAATGTACGATCCAGATGACCCATATACGAGGATACATAACATTACAAGAACTGATGTTCCTCTCTACAGGGTTTGGCTTTACCCCGGATTTACATTCTGAACCGCGGTTTGTGTTTTCCGCCACCTGAATACGAGGTCTACACGAGAAAGGACCCGGGCAGAACGAAATTCAATTGGTTTTGTTTAAGACACTGATGAAAGTAAATTATTGCTGCTGTCTGTCTTTCCTCTGGATCTTATAAATCAGTCATGAGTCCTGACATATGACCATATCCTTCCTGCAAAGCATGACCGCCCGACCAATCAACCCGTCAGACACACCAAGTATCTCTCATTCCGCTCTGTGACAAAGAAGAGCCAAGACACGAGGCTGAAACAGGGTACCTGAATCTACCCAGGAACTGCTGTTGAAATTTACAGCTCATTCGATATGATCGCTCCAATCCCCATGCTGTCGAGAAACAACAACCTCCAGACCCCACGAACCTGTAACACCTGACTTACAGTAGACTCAATATTGCAGCTCGGCCAAACGTTACACTAAGCCAGGTATCGTGCTGCAGTCTAAGCATAGACGTCTACTGGACTGGGCTCGGTGCCTCGTGCTTCGGGGCTGCAGAACAGACTTTATTTGGTGTTTTCTCCTCCTGATTCTAAAGGCAGAGACCGATCAAGTGATAATAGCCGGTCGGATCCTTAAGCTTTCCGGTATTTTCCACTTGAGTCTACTTACACCCCCGCCTTGGACTGCCCCAAGTGTACTCCGTACAGTACGCGAAATAGGGAGTGTTGCACCTCTCCCATTCCCTGTGTACCCCAGCAGGACATTTGATTCCTCAATTTGCCAATGCCGTGTGACTTTGACATGTCTCTTCTGTATCAGGTACATCCCATCCCATCCCGCCTAGAACAGGAACCCGGGAAATAAACCCCGGTACATTGTATTCCAGGTCGTATTGTCCCCGAAAGATCCTGGTAATCAGGCCCTGGTAACTTGCCACAAAAAGAATGCAGTATCTGACACTCTCAAAGAGACCAATCAGAAAAGAGTTCGCCGTAAGCCTCTCGCTTCCCGGAGTGATATCGGCGGAGATCAAAGTTACGGACTGCCGAGATTCAACCCTAATCGAGACAAAACTAGCGACTGGTCGTTCCGGGTTGGATTTCGATTCTGGACGCGCTTTTTACAATTGTATTGGTGTAAGCAGACGGAATGGAATTATTACTTAGGGTTGCCGGTTGAATGGATGTTAGTCGATCCCCAGGGCTGAGTTTGACAGGTTGTGCCTTCACCTGTCGCGCGCATCTCTCCAAGCAAATGATAGCATGAACGTCTGACTGCGTGTCGTGATCATGTGTAAATATAGAACATGATCCTTTCTTCCGGTTATAACTGGTAAATAGGACTGAAAGTCGCATTCCTGGGCTTTGAAGGTTCCAGGGTGGTGTAGTTGATCCTCATTGTTTCCTCCATTGTTGTAAGGTGCCTGATGTGGTCTAAAAACGTAGTGGGAATAGTGATAATGGGGTCCACGTAAACTGTGACCAAATTCATGTTTCTTAGAATACAATCTGCTTGCCGTTGCGCGTAGGTTGAACTACTGCAGAAGTCCACTGGTGCCACAATGAAAAGTTCTTGTCCTGGGTGTGAGTTGACAGCCAGTTTTCACCAACCGTCTAGGTGAGCGGCCCATTGGTAGAAGAACTGAGCTGCACTATATCAGGTTTGGTATGCCTTGAGGTGAACTTAGGGAAATGCGTGTATTCAAGGTTCCAACGTGCCAAAAGACGCAGCAATTATCCAAATGTTTCTCATGTCGGAATATGAAGCCAGTACATATAGGCATCACAGTAGGAAGACCTATATGACGAGTCAGCCTTGCCCCACGTCCGGCGTACGTAGGTCTCACACCTAGCTTTTCGATGAGGGATGAGAGAGAAGAAAGATGTGAAAAATCTCTTAGAAAGTCATCACCGAGTAGTTGCCTGTAGCCTAAATCGCAACTGGTGACTTTGAGTTCCCGACAACAGGCCACTCCATGTAGAGTGTTTGCACGGAGCAGGCTTGAACTCTCTGCTTAATTTGTAGTATCAAGGCGCGAGAGGAAGAAGAAGTAAGCCGAGTAGATGCAGAAGGAAGCACCTCTCAAGAGTCCATTGGCTTTGGGATTGGATCAAAGTGTTAAATATATCATCTCAAGAAATGCCACGATCTATTATAATCTTATGGATCTCAACTTTCATGCTACATTAGGGTTGTTACTTTTTTTTATGCAATTTAACTTGCATGAAATAGCAGATGTTTGTTTCTTCGTGTAGTTGCTTATAGTCCGTCTCATACGAGGTACGGAGCATAGCTTGTTCCTGAGACATTCCTCACCAATATACCTGGTCTATATATGGACTTCAAGTTGTCTAAGGTCTATGAACATTATAGCCATCGTATTCCCATGTTCATTCTCATCTATATGCAGGTAGCAATCAGGTTTAAACTGAGTATCCTCACACTTAATTACTGATCAGATAGGGATGCAAAATATCAACATGTGCGAGTTCAGTAAGACTCACTTCTTGACTTAGACTTTTCATCAGGAATCGGTCACTTCAGGCTCTTATACCTCCTTCCTCATCTACGTGAATTGACAAGGCACAGAACTTTTGACAATTATCATTATCATTAACGATATTTATACTCTGACATTGGCAACAAAATTACATGAATCGTATTAGGGCCACCGCCCTCCCCCCCGTAATCTTCTCCTCCTCCCACTTCAACAAATGAATTGGCCCTCACAGGGCCACGCTGACCTCGATGCAAGGGTCGAAGTTGATGGGAACCTCAATCCCAATTTCTCGCCCAATGCCCTCAAAAGAGAAGCTGACATGAGCGAAAAATTCACGTCCAGCAATGCATGACTGGAACGAAGTCATCATGTTCTCCCCAAGGGGGAATTGAATAGGCACAGGGGCCCATAGGACCCACTCAAAGCCCCCTGTGAGCGACAGCATGGAGTACTCACTCCATTTAACGTGGCCGACCACGAAGGTCTTTTCATTCAGGACATTGGTCTTGGTCGACTTCTTGCGTTCGGCGGCATCGAGCTCCTGGAAGGTCGTCTTTTGAATGAGCTTTGTTCTCACGTAGTTCATTGGAGGCATCTTCTTTGGCGGGTGCATTGGCAGGAAGCTAAGCTTCGTCATCAGGACGATGGGTGCGCTTTTGGCTTTGGGAGGCCATACCAGGTAGGTCGTCTCAGTGCCGGCTATCTTCAAGCAGAGGCGGCCGATGCTCCATGTCTTCTCCGCAGAGATCTGGTTGCCACTAGAGTCTCTCATGGGTACGGAAATCGCTTGAATCTTTGGCTTGATGAGAACTGGGAGGTCCTCGTAACATTTGACCGTGCCATTCTCCCAGAGTGTGATGTGAACATTGTAGGTAATGCCGATGAGGTCCGCAGCCTCATCCTTGTTTGCAGTTCCATCATTGTCTGAAGCTCCATCGCTGTCTGTAGTCTCGCTCTTGATAGCTGTACTTGGTAGAATTTGGCGGTGTAGTACAAGGTGTTGCGCGGAACTGGAGCTATCCATGGGGTGCTTGCATCTTTCTGCTCTACATTCGTTCGGAACTGCCACAGAAAATCCGAATTCGTGAATGGGTGCTTCGGTAGAGTCTTTTGGCAGCAATCGGACTATTTCGTGAATTTCAGCAAAGGGATTGATAAAAAGGTGCTTGACATCGAATAACAAACGGTTGTGTTTGACTTTAGGCATCGCGATACGGATTCTGCCTGTATGAAAAGTTTAGTTAGTAGCTGCTAAGCCGGATGATTATGAGCATGACGGGTGTGAAAAGACTTGCCCTGAAGCGCAACATTTAGCCATATCCCAGGGGCCTCTTTTATTTCTCCATTTGGTGCAGCTTGCACATTCCCTGCAACTTTCACGTTGCCCGCGATAACATCACCAACCCAGCAACTGGGAATTGGATCAGTAACCGACGCACTGTTTATCGAAGTAATGTGTGCCTGTTTAATGAGCTGTTCCTGTTTAGTTGGCTCCATTGTCTTGAAGATGACGAGTATGAAGTGATCGGTAGGAAATAGTAGACAGCGAAGCAAATTCGATCAAGAACAGTTGATTGCAGCTGCGATGCTTTGATGATGAATCAATGAAGAGTAGATCAAAGCGATCGATAGAAAAGATGCAATAGAGTGCACAGCGTAGGAAGAGACGCTGTAAGGTGACAAGATACAGCGTATTGTAGAATGCAGAGTGACATTTGGGCACAATGCACTAGGGAGAGCAACACGATGAAGAAACACTGTGACAATGTAGTCACAATGAAATAGAGAACGCAAAGTAACCAAGAGCCCAGAGCAATGAAGCAATAAAGCAATGAAGCAATGAAGCAATGAAGCTAAGATCCACACCGTGGATATCAAGCGCTAAAGCAACAAAGCAACGAGGCAACGAAAATGATATCAGAACAAAGAGTATGAGCTCTTCAACACAAGAGATTGAAGTAGGAGTGGGGGAATCGAAGAGTGGAAGAAAGAACAGAGATGGGACGAAAACATAGGACTGGGGACCAGAGCGCCAAATCTGGCTGGCCACCCCAGAGGTTGAACCAGACCAGATGAATGGCTTGGATGAGATGTTTCTTGCCAGTTATCTCGAGCAGTGGATTGCGATGCTGAAGCTGAGACTTGGAAAGACGAGTGAAACGAAGATTCAGAGAGGAGGGAAGAGATAAAGGAAGAGATGAGAGAAGAGAGATGAAAAGATAAGAGACCGAAGATGCGCTAGAGACGAAGCTGCAATAACAAAGCGTGTCAATAATCATGATGAACAGCCTCGCTTTTTACGACGCGTTCTTTTTTCTTGATGAGTCCCAAAAGACTCAGGCAGCAGGCGAATGGTTACCGGCAGACAACTGCTTTGTTTTGAAGGTACTTGGTGCTCATGACAAGCCATGAGAACAATGTGCTTCTTTGTGTACTCTGTGGCGTATTGATGTAGTAGATTTACTCCATTTGCACACTTCTTTGATGATTTTCTGTCTTTGGGCATTCGCGCTCATGATTTGGCGGGAGTACAACCACCAAAAGAATGATTAGGTCTTGTCCATTTTTGGCTGTATTTGCAGGCCAGTATTAATCCAATTTGCCCTGGAAGTGTTCTCTGATATTAAATGGCAGTTTGTAAGGCTATCTAGCCCCTCTGAGCATGTGGCGTCTTGTGTCGTCGTCGCCTTGATATTAGGGCACATTGTTTCTGCCTCAGGCCTCAACAACCAACTTCCACCCAACTTCCTAGGAATTGAACTCAACAACAAGCGGCGGATTTTGGTTGATGTTGGAGCTGTGTTCTAAGCGACTTGGTCCAGAAGACGAGTAATGAATTACTGTGATACGTCTTGTGTAAGTATTCATCAACCTTGAAGTTAGTAAAGTCTGCAAAAGCCGAGCTTGGGAGCCTGTGACCCGCCTAGGGACCATATAACCCAATGAGCTTTACTTAGCAGTGGCTACCAAGGCCACATCGGCGCTGCTGCCATCAACCTGCATGGCAGGACCCTCAGCGACCGGGCCGCTCCATGTGGTTTCTGTCCCCACATACTCTTCTTTTCCGCCTCTATCTTAACATCCTCTTGACTCAGTTCCCAGTGCTTTCGGTCATGTATTCCACAAACGAGCTGCCTAAAGTAGGATATCAAGGTGATTGGACCCCTATGCGACCTTTGCGACTGGTCAGCCATCTTCCGCAAGCTGAACGGTGGGGCAATTACAAAACTACTGTGCTGTATACTGTACAGGCCCCCCATCCACCTGAACTGCTCTGCCATACAACAACCGTCTTACCAGTGTACGAATTTCAGGATATCACCAGTGTGCATGAAGCTCGCCATCTAGGGTCAACCCATTATTCATTGGACTTTGTAGTCGGAACTATCTGACGATGGGGTTGTCAAAGCTGATTCCAGGCCTGCGCGGCAACAAGGCTTGAAATTCAACATGTGTGATCTCGAGCCAGATACTGGGTCATATGGTATGGAGCTTCCTAATCACGATGGCCAATTGGCTTCTCCACAGTATCCCTGTGAATTCTGGATCGACCATCTTTGTAAAGGTGCAAGCCGACTCTCTGATGATGATCCCGCATTCGTCTTTTTGGAGTCCCATTTTCTTCACTGATTGAGAGTCTCAGCTTACTTCACAAGCTTCCCAGTACAACCTTATCAATTAAATTGTTACTGGACAAGGCAAAGGCATGTCATTGCCATCTTTCGTCACTTAGCTACTCTTCACGATAGAGGCGCTCATGGGAGTGACGGAGTGCAGTTCTGGGATACTGTCACTGGAAGGCAGAAACAATGGATCGAAATGAAAAAAAATTATTCACGATCGCACTCTCGCCGGACACGAAAACCACGGCTTGCTTACAGTTTGGTCAGGAGGACAAATGGGTTCAGTTTCGGGTTTGGGATGCTGCCTCCATAGTCTGCAGGCAGAGTCCCAATATCGAGGCCAATTACCAGTGCATATAATTTTACATCGGATAGAAAGTACCTGAAGACACACGAGGCCATATACAGTATTGAGTCACCGATGGGGGTTTGGATGAGACGCCTGATCTAGAGGCTTCGTGCTTTGTTATGAACTGTGACGGTTCATGGATCGCTTGTGGCGGCAAGAGAGTGTTTTGGGTGCCGCCTGACTACAATGAATATGCCATTGCTTACCACGAGAACACTGTTGTTTCAGGGAGAATCAATGGTGAAGTGGTCTTGGTGGAGTTGGCCGATCCGAGTGCACTATATTGCATTGTTTGTGCCCTGTCTCAGCATCTTATTTTACATCTTTGGATATTTTCCAAGTACTATGGTGAAATCAGCTAGATTCTTTGAAACCAGGGGCGCGAAAGGAGTTATGACCCTTTTTGTACCACTTCGAGATCTTACATTCAAGTTAATACTTCCAATTGTGTCATCTATCAGATACAAGGATACAAATGCAACCTCGTAATGGAGGTTCTGTCGTGTAACGAGGATATATGCATGGCGCTTTTTAAGGAAGCGAGGTATCAGTTTGTACAAGGACATTGTCCTCATTGGCTGATTGCTATGAGGAATTAGTATATACGTCTTTCTCGCTTTGTCTCATTGTGTAACAGATCGCTGGATATCTTTCCAATTCGGCCAAGGTATTACACATGAAGTTACTATCTACAGTAGCCATGTTCTAGAAGATGGGATAACTTATAGTTTAGTCTACGATAAGTCAGTTCTGGGTACAGACGGAAAAGGAAAAACAGCTATATCACAAGCAGCCTCTATTAATCTTGATCTATCATACACAAGGGATCACTGGTATAAGACGACGCCACAGTTTAAAAACAAACAATGGTATTTGACGCAGCAAAAACCAAAAGCACAGCAGTAAAGACCAGGGCAATAATGAAGAAGAGCAAATGCAAGAAGAGAAGCAGCACGGCAGACAGTAATTAGATATATCAAACACGAGAACAAAACAGTAACACAAACGCAAGGAAACACGAATCGAAAACCCATAACCAGCATAACAAGCAAAACCCAACCCCTTCCGATTCCGAACCCATCCATTGTTACCCAGAAAAGATAAAATCCTTAATCCCACGCTTCTCTATCTATCCCACAGATGCAGATCCAGATTCCAGATTCCAGTCCCAGTTCCTCATCTGATCGTGTCCCAGAAAGCAATACTATCCACGCGCCAGCAATCAACAAAGGAAAATAACAGGGATAAAGTGGTAGGCAGTGAGGATGAAACAGATAACCCGAGACAATAACTTGTGAAAAGCACAAGGGTTTGAGGTCCGAGGTCTGTTCTTGATATAGACTCTGGAAACACGATCAGATGGTCCCGACTCCTTTCCAGTTTTGCTGGTTTCCCATGAACATCAATATAAATACAAACGGGCAAGAAAATGCATCGAAAAAAAGACAACAAACAAAGGAAATAAATGAAATTCGAGATGGTAATTCTCTCGTGGGAATCAAGGGCTTATGCAATGAAGTAATAAAACAAAGGAAATAAAGGGTGATGAACTTCAGCTTTGTTCAGCACACTTGTTCACTGTGCATCATACGGCTGTGGACCATGAGTGGTCGCCGCGAGGCTTCATCTCGTAGTTCTCCGGCTCCGTGCTGGTAGGACGACGGATAGTGGAGTTGGGGAAGTACATGTGTGGCGGCATGGAGGTGGGGTATGCCGGGCCACTGGGCTCGGGGTAGGTGAAGTCGTTGGCTGAGCCTGGGGAAGGCATGCTGCCATGCGAGGGAGATGCCCAGCCTAGACTGGTCATGTGGGGACTCCCGCTGACGCTGTTGGGCCGGTGATCGCTGTTGGCGGGCGGCTCCAGCGGTTGGGGCGGAGCGTAGGGATGCGAGGTCATAGATGGCCGAGCATGAGGCGCACTGCCGTAGCTGGATAGCGAGGGGGATGTAGCAGTCGGGGAAGCCCGGGGGCTGGCTTGGGGGAAATCCCCGCGCACGTGAGGTGGGATGGGCCCGGTGCCCATGTAGTAGTCGCCAGCGGAGCGGTGCATGTTCAAAGGAGGAAGCTCACCACCTGGTGACATGGATGGGTGCTGACCAGGAGAGGGTGTGGAGTGGATTGAGCCGTGTTCGGAGAACATCCCTTCGCCGGGTCGACCGCGGTCCTTGTTTTGGCGCAATTGAGCCTCGGTCTCAGCCGCGGCCTCCTCAATGGTACCCGTGTGGTGATTTTGGT